CCACAAATTTATTACATTTTTATATATAATAATCAAAACAATACAGACCTTTAGATGACAAGGCAGATGAACAGACAAAAAATTACACAAGGCTGACATGTGTAAGATATGCAGTATGCAGTGGTCCAAGACAATTTAGTGCATATTTAAATGGTGAGTGATTCATAAGGAAAAATTTATAACTCAATTATTGTTTTCTTCTGTTACATTGTTAAATGGGTGGGCTCCTGGTGTGATGACCATTTCTTGTATACCAAATATGATTCATTTCAAATCAATGATGCAGGGATAAATTACATTTCATTGTCCTTGTAGGTTTGTTTATTATTTCAGTACATTTTACGCAGGAGTTGGTGTAGGAAAGAGAAGTGCTGGAACTCATCATTAACTTGAAAAAAAAAATAGTGGGAGTAACTACTGTACCAAGCAAATTACAAATTAATCTATATATTTCCAGTTCTCTGACATGTTTGGAATTAACTTTGTAGATATGTTTATTTAGATATGGGAGCCCTGATATTTGAGGTAGTTCATGGTCCATCACTTATAGTACTTGGCCGAGTGAGACTGGTTGATGTCTCAACACTGTCAGCAAGCACTCCCATCCAGGGGTATGTATCAAAACATGACAAAATTTACAAGTGCTTCAGCCAAGATATTAGCCGCTGGTTTTAAAGCGATCACTGGCCTTAACATTCATTGTCATGAAATAGTAATGTAAAAGACAAATTACTCACCCTAAGTGTTTTGTTAGTCCAGGTTATACTTTATCAGTAGCTATTTGTTTTACTGGACAGCAAAATGCATCATGTTAAGAATACATAATGTTCTGGTACTGGAAATGATATTTGCTAGAGGCAGTTCTTCAACCAAGATGTCTCAAACTAGGAAAAGATATGATAACTGAGTGGTACACATCACACACTTCAAGCATGGCATTGTTTATTGTCAGTAGTTGTCATATTCTTACTGCTGATCAACTTTCCCATTTCAACTGTTCTGTTGTTCACCTTTGCCACAAAAATTGATACAAGCTATATTCTTTTTCTAGCTTCTTTAATGTTATGTCTACAACATTACCTAGTGAAAAGCTGGCTATTTTGTACATTACTCTGAGATTTGAGTCAACATCAGGTAGGAGACAGTTCAAATGTGGTATAAATTTAGAATGCATGTTTGTTTTACAACTGTTATAACTTTATCATTTGCCAAATGAATATATTTTTTTACAACAACACTAAGTACCACTGATAGTTAAACCAAGGGAGGTTTGTTCTAGCCAGAGTAGGAGAGTTATAATTTTTTGCTTGCTGCTGGATAAGATTCAATGCATTTAATATTAACATGGAAATATTTCACACATGGAACTTTTCAGCAGCTTACAGCCAGCTGTCATCTTCTCTGGTACCTACTGTAGACATGGAAATAGATGCACAAAGACAGGCTATTGATGAGAGTGATGCCAAGCCAACTCCTCCCCCATCCCTGTTAAATCCAGTTGAACCAATCCCTCATCCAAGACAGTGGACAGAGGACATGGATCTCTTCATGCCACCTGCAGTGCCTGCCAAGGTCATTAGTGATAGTGTTTATAAGGAGAAGAAAAATGCTCATACGTAAACTGGTTTGGAAAAAATTGAGAGAAAAGAGACCTGAAAAAATAAGGCTTTTCCAAGATTTGGGTCCAATTACCAACTTTGCTCAGGACCATTTGGTATTGACAATGGGAATTTAGTGGCTTCTGTGTTTAAGGAACCTGTTCACAATAACATGAAGTGAAGTATAGTTTGACTTGAGGATAATAGCAACCAACAAACTATACACATATAGGTGAATTGTAAGGAAGCTTTGGTAGAAAAAATTATTTGTGGGGTCACAGTTGTTTCAGTGTGTTTGATCATAATGAGTATCAATTGAAAAATCATAATTAAATTAAAGATTAATTTTTTGTTAACACCTAGTATGTTTTTTTAGGGTGTGAAATTTGCTCTCACTTCACCAGAGAGACTTGAATACACTGCAGAACAATCACTAATTTCAACATCAAGAACAGGCAAGAAACAATCAGGTTACTGACAAGGTTCATGTATTGGTCAGTGTCCTTCTTTATGCTTCAGAAAAGACATGTTTACAAACTAGCATAATATAATTTAGATGTAAAAATGTTTTCCTTTGGTTGCTCTAAATGACTCTCTTTCCATGTTTTTTTGTTTAAATGGATACAAAATGGCAATTTGTTTGTTTGTGAACTCAATTTTTGCTCCACATAATCTCTGGATGAATAAGAGTCAGAAGTACAAAATTTCATCCAAACTCAATTTTGTGTCAGAAATTGATTTTACTTAAAATGTGTCTTTAGATGATCTCGAAACTAAAGAGAGATCTAAAGAGCTGACCAAATCAAGTGAACCACTTCACATTGCCCACAGAGGTCAAAATGAATCTTCTGATCTGATTGGTGTATTACTTCATCGAGGGGAGAAGCTAAGGGAGGCAATGGTAATGTCGGCAGATGAGGCCAACAATGAAGACGAAGCTGGAGGAGCAAGTGTTGTTTTTGACAGGTTTGTCCATAACACTGTTTTTAAATCTCAGTCTACATTTTGGTTATTGTCTGTAATGTCAGTTATGTTCAAAAACTTCCCGTTTCTTAGTCAGAGACAGTGCCATCAATAAGTTTTTGTATATGCTGTCATTCAGATATTCCCATATTTTAACACATTGTGTTGAATTATAACATCAATTGATATTTAACACTACACTAGTTTTTTTTTCCTATCTCTATTCAACCTTTAGGTGAAAATGTACACATCTACTGTGGTAAAATCAAGAATATAACTATCTAGCAATCAAGAACTTGTGTACGGTCAAATATTTAAAGCAATCTAAGAGTGTTTAAAATTCAGTTAGTACTGTCCCCAATTAGCTCATATAGCTAAAGTGTATTGACACTTAAATAAAATTTATTATTATTAATAATAAATTTAATGCTAAAGGAATCATAGATCAAACAAGTTTAATCTTAGCTATTCATTTAGGAATCATCCATTTATTCTATACAACAATTAAAAGATTAGGTAGGTTCAGGGTAACTGCATGAACACTTTAGAAGGGAACTTAACTCACTGTCAGTGATAATACTAAGCTTAAAATTGTATCAACAAAGTTTAAAGTTCATTATATATAATTATACAATACTCCAAGTTCTGGCAAACTTTGACAATTCTGTTCTAGTAGGCAGTGAGCTTATATTTGAACTTGGCATATTCAGGAATGCACCATCTGGCAAACTCCTTAAGGAAATTCTTACTTCTACTGAAATCAAGCATGGACTTGTCAAGTCTGGAGGAGAAGAGGATTCTGTAATCGAGTCAGTATTTTTACATAATAACAAAGCTGTGGACTTGCTTCTTGGTGAAGATGAAAAGCTTTATCTGGACGAATCACTCAACACCTCCCCTGACAGTAGCATAGTTAGTGAGCCAGGGGATCCCCTACATGATGACACACTGTTGAAAGATCTTTTTTACACCACCTTAGTAAGTTACAAGGCTTTACATTACAAATGTTTCACCCTGCTAGATACATTATCTGTGATTATCTTATTCAGTGGCCTTTGTGACTCAGTAAGTCATTAATGTAAGTAAGCTAACAACATTGTCATTCAAAACACAGATAAAGTTGTGAAGTTAAGAATTAAGAGAAGGGTTCACATGGCTATTTTTGGAATGTTGGCCCCTCCAAAAAATTTTCTTTGACTTCTCATGCATTGCCTTACAATATCACTGTACCTTGCTCCAAGAATCTTAATTTTTGCTTTAGGCTGTAAAGTTATCTTTCTGAGAAATACTTTTAGATACATGTAATTTACAAAGCTTGTAAGGGGTTGAGGCACCAATATCACTTCTATCAGGGTTACACTTGCTATGTTAAGGGTGGCAGATTCAGACAGCTATTGTACTACTAAGTAGGTAGATACCTGTGAATGTCATAGAGAGTGTAAGGATGTGAGTTAGTCACAGAAAAATAATCATTCACAGACTATCTTTAACTAAATGGTGAGGTCAAATAAATACTAGGTTTGAATAATTGATCAATAGAGTTTTTAACATTTTTCAGATAGTACAGTCAGATACAGATTCAGATAATACAGTTGTCACTGATGAAGACAACTATGATGATGGTAGTGTTGATGATGACAAAAGTGTACAAAATCCCTTGCAAGAAGATCAATTTGAAAAGGTACAAGTTACAAGTTCAAGTTCTAAAGTAAAATTAATATTTGATAAAATGGAGGTACGGTTTTATATGTGATACCATGACTAATGTTGGTGTAATTTGTCAAGACCATTGAACACTCAGGCTCATGGGACTGGTAAATTATATTTAAAGATTTATTGTGGTAATGAAAATTAATATTTTGATGTCAAGATAAAAGTGTTAAGTGTTAATGTGATACCCATGTTTTTTCCTTTTAATGTTTTACATTTTTATTGTAATAAAAATATCATACTAGCACAATTCAGAGCATAATAACCATTACAGCATACTTCCCACTGATGTCCATGGAAATCTTAATTGTAAGAAAATGATCAGACTTTTTATGTGATTATGATCAATGCAGCTTTATGTTTCTATTAACCTTCGGTCATAGTGGTTATGTTTATAATTATGATTGTAATTTCACAAGTGAGAACCATGCTTGTTGATGGATGTTGAAAACTAGAGTTTTCTACTTAATGTTAGTAAAGTTTACGTTATTCATTGAATTCATTCTAAGCTACTTGCATAACCATAATCAGTATGTTTTAACATATTTGTAGTACCTACTAAGCATTTATGTCATTCTAAAAAGGTATTAAGTGAAGCAATAAGCAAGGAAAGATCTCCAAAGACAGCATCTAGAGACATCAGTACAAGGAATGGGAAGGAAGTGAATCATGTACAAAACCCTGGAAGAAATGATGAGCTTACTAGTTTAGGTTACCTTGATAAAAAACAGAGCAGTGCTGATGACACAAGTGAAGATTCTAGAGGTAGGTCTCTGGGCTCAGTATGATGTAGATATTCATGGGGATTAGGGATACAGGAAGCAAAATAAGGTTATGCAAACATAAGTCTAATGCTGCCTAAACTTAATTACCTGACCACTGTAGTTTTACCTTGCTACATTACAACAGATTATCTGCTGAGACTTTAATAAAATTGCGAATCAAATGAAATGATGATAATACTGTTGTAGCTGAGGTAGAAGAATTTGTTTAGCACTTTGTCAATGTAACTCAGCAGAAGCATTGCATTATCAGTGAATTAAACTGTGGTATTTTCCATGTTAAGTGTAAATATTGTTACTTCTCTTTACAAACTGACTTGAGATAAATCAAAGTGTGCAATTTTTTCCTATGATGGTGAAGACAGTGTACTTTGTATGTCAAGTGATTCATTTACATCAGCACCATTGCATGGGAAGCCACCAAGGATAGATCCTGATGCCTTCATTGAAAACCTTGGTCCTGAGAAACTTACTGCTTTGGGCAGAGTTGATGCAGCACGCGTCATGGTGGATAGTCTTCAGATTGCAAATGAAACCATTAAACCTGGGTAAGTGCAAGTGAGCTGGTTAGGGAAAAGTCAAGTAATAGGTTGGTCAGGTAAGTTGTAAATTGCGTTTTAGCATGGGTGTGGGTTGAGCTATGAATACTATCAACCATAACTAACGCCTTTTATACAATTACCTATTTTAACATTTTTTCTCTAGTGAGTAGTTCTCTTCAACATAACTCCTGATTGAGTCTCACTGAGTCAAGGTGCCTCACATGTCTACTTATTAGAATGTTATCCAGCAACCATCAGTATGGCTATTTCCAGATGAAGAAACTTGTAGTGATCTTGACATCAATATGTAGGGTTTTCTGGGGAATGCCTTATTTTACCTTATTATTATTATTATTATTAATTCAGAACATTCTTTGTTGAGTATAATTTCCCAACCTCAACCCCAACACGTGGTCAAGACCAAGATATCACTATGGCAACAGAATTAACCAGAATTGCTTCCAAGAGAATTCAAGACAGAGGTGAGTGAAAGACTCATAAGCAGTATTACATGTGTATCTTTTACAAGTCTTTTCCTTTCAATTTTCTTGTCATTTAGATATCAGTGTAATTAAGATATGACCAAGAAAGATAGCAGGGGCTTACAGCTTGAAATAATTTCTGAAATGAGAGCTAGTGCTTTTGTGTATCAGATTACTTAGCTTTCTTGAGTTTGATATTGAAAAAGCATTTCATATTAGAGCCTATAAGAGTCTAATGACATGTTTAACACTTGTTTTCTATACCATATTGCTCACTCATGTCAAGACTCTTGTTTGTGCATATGGTATTAATAACTCATGAATTTAAATGATATCAGGGTCTTAACAGGTAAGAGTATTTCTTGTTGTCATATGATATTTACAAAGAATGATAAACAACAGATCAACTGACAAAAAAAGGAAAGAAAAACAGTAGCATATTTTTTTCACACATGCTGGGTATTGTTGACCTTCCAAGAAACAAAATTAACTCATTCATCATTCTGTGTGTCAGTGGTGTCACTCAAGAGTAATCTATGCATTCACATCATGAATGTTAGTTTTAAAAGTTAGAGAACATGTCTTACAGTATTGCAACAATTTGTTGAATGTAATTTTTTTTCCTACAGCGGTGCTATTTGGCCATCGTTCTGTATTCCCCTTGCTGTTTAATTCTGTTGTTATAGATTACTGGTGGAGACTTCCTTTGACATTCCGACTTTACTTCAGAGAGTCTAGACAAAGAAAAGTAAGTTTTCCTTTCGTGAAGTATGTGCCCTTCGTCCCCTGACACTTTAACATTTGATCAGAAAAGGGCACATTCAGAAGTGGACAGCTAAGATTAAAAGCATGTGGTCAGAATGCTTGGCCACATTCTTGATGTAGTTTATGAAGCAAGTCTTGTGAAACAAAACAATGCTGTATAAATGATTTACTGAGGGTAGAATTTAAGTGATAACATAGTTATAGCACATAGACAGTAAAATTTTGAGCTGTAGCAAGTAATGAAATGTTTTTCCCTAAAGGCTAGGAATGTCTGTACCATTGGATATAATATTGTTGAATTTTTGAAAAAGTGAAATAACAAGTTTTATACTGTAGGGATAAAGAGTGCTTTTTTTCTTGTACTGATTGGCCAGTTCAGAAGTGATTAGCAAGTTCTATTCACCTCAGAGTCTCAGAGGGGACAAAATCATGTGTCAGAGTTTAATTTCTGATCATTTTTTGGTATATTGAGAGAAATAAACTTACTAAATATATATATATATATATATATTTTTTTTTTGTAGTATGAACTAAAAACAATTGTTTATCTCAGTGTAAGTAAAAGTGTTAGATGTATAATAGTGAGATTTTCCTTCCTTTTTTTTCCTTTTCTTTCTTTTCTCCTTCCTTGTACATATGGACTGCCCCTTTCTTCCCAGCCTTTCTCACAGTAATGTTGAGTTCACTCATCAAAAATGCACCTGTAATATAGGATAGTGTAATGAAAAGACAGTAAGGGTTGAGAGTGCTTCATTATTACTCAGTGACTGTAATTTATAATGGTAATAGGACTGAGTGGAGTCCAATTTGGTCTGAAATCATATAAGAGATTAACAAAATCCAACCTGTTAATGAACATGATTACAAGCAGAATTGGATGACATGAAGTCCAGTTACCACCTAATCAAAACCATGACAAAATTTGAAAGAAACTAGACATCTGTTATACTATTTCATGAAAAATAAAAAAACAGCAGTTTGTTCAGCAGAATATGCAACAACAGCGCATGTACATGATGTGTACTGTCCTCTTACACAGGCATGACATTTCAACTATCCAATTACAAGCATGATGCTTATACTGTCCTATTAGTACTCAAATCAGGCTAGCGATAACCAATCATGTTTGAGAATTTTGTCATAGTTTTGATTAATACAGTAATTGTTATGGTGTTATAAATAGACCCTTTTTTTTAATTAGTTGTCTATTTTGGGTGTTGATTAATTGTGATTGTAGCCAGTTGTTATTGGAGTGGCAACATTCCCTTTGAAGACAGTTCTTCAGTCTAACACTCTCAGCTCCTCTGCTTTGCTGCAAATCAAATGTGGTCTTCACTCTAAAGAAAAAGAATCCTCTTACTCATGGTCCTCTTTACATGACTTCAGTGAATCATGTGGTCCATTGTTGGTAAGATAGCTAAGCTTCAGCTTTATATTCCTAAGTTACTACTTTGTATGTCAATAATTTTAAGAAAGTCACTGTCCACCAAGTTCTCTACATAGATATGAACAGCAAATTTACTGGAGTGGTTGTTTTGTTAAAGGAAGCATTCATCAGCAGGGTATCCAGTCATTTCATACCCAAATTAATGCAGTTGATGTGTACTAAGTTTGAGTTGGTTTGTACCCAAACCACTGATAAATTCTTACCTGATTCTTACCCCTTTTAAATTACATTGATTCAGAATACCTCACACAAATGAACATATGTCAATTGTTGTGTACAACAAGTTAGTAAAGGGAGTATTAAAGATACAAAGAAAATTTTTTTGTATACTTGAAACCTTATTGCCTGGTGCAAGGTAATTGAGATATTTTAAATAGAAAAGGGTATTGTTTATACTAGAGACTTTTTCTAATAATACCAGCTCGAATGAGCGAGATAGTTTCTTGCAAAATAAATAAATATAAAAACAATATGTTTCTGATAGAAACAGTCTTAGTCTTATCATGCCTCTGTCTTACGACTCCCAGATCCCCATTATCAGTTTCAGGCCTTACATTAGGTGATTTGGTTTTGTTGAATAAGTTGATGATGTAAATTGAATGCACTCAGTGGTCATGCTTTAACAATGGACACCACATTAGCAAAACTTATTTAATGCAGGTAATGTTGCTATTCACAAGAAGAAACCAACCTTACTTTAACATACTTAACATGGAAACATACTTTATTAGTTTGGGTATGAAACAACCTAGCTAGGTACAAAAAGACTGGTTACAAAATGATTGTGGATATGAAACAACCAGTAACCATCAGCAGAGCTTTACCAAGAATGAATGTACAAGGAAATACCTAACCATACAGTATAAGCACGGTTTTGAAGATTATTCCAACTAATAGGAGAATAATAAACAGTAGCCAAATCCAAGATAAGTTTTGCTTGCCTTTCTTTTCTAGTTTTATAAGGGGCCATTTTTCACCAGTGACATCCCTGGTCATTAGCATAAATAAGATAACTTTTCTCTTTGATTTGACTTTCTCTGTGAGTTTGGTCACATTGAAGCTATAACTTTGCCAAGTGTGATTGCTTTTATAAGCTCACTGTCTGGTTAACAACTTGCATTTCTTTCAATTCTTACATTCATTTTCTTTCTTTTTATTCTTATTTTCACAGTAAGTGTATATTTTAATACTTCCTTTAGATTTGTATCCGTGGTTAGATACTTACATATCTTCATCAAATTTTGTTTGACTGTCCTGCAGGTGAAAGTAGAGTTAATGGCTGATGGAAAGAAAGTTCATCTGAAGACCAACATGAACAGAAAGCCTCCACTTCCAACTACAACAACACTCACTACCACTGAGCATATGCATACTGCAAGACCTGCTTATACTGTTGTAAAGAATGTTGGGAAGGTCTCAGATGTGGAACCTCTTGAGATGAAAGAAATTCTGAAGACATCAAGTAAGCGTTCTCTCAAAGATGGTAATCTTGAAGATGGTATTCAGTACGACAGAGATCCTTTAACTTTATACAGCCTGCTATGGATACCTGAAGGAAAACAACTCACCCAACAAGGTTACCGTGTAAACCAAGATACTCTGACTGGTCTTGTTGTTAAGAACAACCTTTACCTTATGTGTCGAACTTTCTGGTGTGAAGAGGTGTCGAAATCAAGGGTATGTTGGGGTGAATCAAATCCATCATTTGGCTTCAAACAGGTTAGTTGGCAGTGCTGCAGGACATTGATTGATTATTTTAACTGTTTGGATGTTATGAAAGTGTTTTAGTTATTAAGAAATCAGTTGAACAATGATAATGAAGTATTAGAACTCCAAATATCCTTTGCTATTCACTTCTGAACTTGCGCATGATTCACACTGGAAAATATTGCAATTGTTAAATCATCTTTTTTGTGCTACATTGTCCCACTGTTTTGGAATAAAATCAACCATTCACTCTAGGTATTAGGTAATCTTCCCCACCCCCCTTCCCCTAGCAACTCATAAAGTCTCCCTTACATTTACTAGCATGTATTTATACTAGTGGGTGTAGAAATCAGGTAGAGTGGAATTTAAATATCTCATTTAGGGGGACAATGCATGATTTGACCAGAATGCAGTAAGGAAGTACTAAAATATACAGTTACTGTGAAAATAAGAATAAAAAGAAAGAAAATGAATGTAAGAATTGAAAGAAATGCAAGTTGTTAACCAGACTTTCTTTCACTCAAATATTGCTGTGATGTATTTTTGTTTGTCGCCTAGGTTGCACCAGTGCTGTTAACATCAAGTCTATTGCAGCGAGTGTGTAATAACTTTATGGTTATTGAAGTTTGGAACAGAATTGGGCCACAAGACCAAGGAGACAAGGTGAATAAGTTATTGCAAATTATGATTGAAATTACCACTGGTAACAATAATTTTCTGTCGTCACTTTTCTAAAACTTTTTACAAAACTAAACTTTTGAAAGATAGGTTTAGCTTCAGTCAATTGTGTTGTTTTCTTAGTTATTAGGGCTTGTGAAGTTACCTATACACCAACTGTACCTGTCATACAGGGACCACAAGATCACAAAAACACTTCTCAAGTCCAAGGTGAGTGAAATGAGTAATCATACAGGTTATACAATGGTCACCACCCAAATGCTGTAGAAAAGGCCTCTACACTTTGCTCTACAATTTTAAGTTGGATAGGAAATGAACAGGAACAGTTACCCGTAAGTGATATTTATTACTAGAGGTATGAAAGATTCATGAAGGGTAAACTGTGTGTAGTTGTTTTTTCTTTTTTACTGATGTTGTAGCAGCTGAATTAGGTGGTCACTACTGTTGAACAGATGTTATAATTTAGTTTGTTTGATAAATTTGATTAAATAATTTAAATTGTTTGATAAATATACAAAATTACTCAGCCATGTTAAGTCCAATATTTGGATTAAGTCACCAGTGATAGACTCCAAATTAAAATTACCTTGCTGTGACCTGTCAAATTCCCCAGTGGTGTACGCATTTTTCTTTTCTATAGAAACTGATAGAAAAAGACTTCCTCCTTAAAGTCACACATGAAATTGAGAAAAAGGGCAAAGGCAGTTTAAAAAATATCCATGAGAATAACCTTTTTTCTTATCCTTCCTGTCTGATGCTTGCTTATGGATGAATATTTTGATGGAACATCAGTTTGGGTGTTGTCTACCAGTAGAAACTTTCTTAAGGATTTGACTTACCATGTTATCCTAAAACAGTTTTTTTGTGTGTGAAATATTACATGAATGATTAGATATCATACATTTAGATATTTAATTATTCTGTAGTTAGGATGGAATGCTGAGGTGCTATATATTTTTCAGTATCCTGTGATAGCAGTGGATGAGTGGTGTCCCATAACAAACCCATTTTCTCATACACACCATGGCCAGCTAAGGGTTGTCCTTGCAATGGGCTCAGAGGATCAGGTGATGACATTTTTTTTCTTAAGATGTGGTTTGATCATATTTACATTGCATGAAGGAAAAATTTGCAAGAAATGCCATGGATGTTCAGGAGAATGTATAAATTTTTTTCAAGAAAGGTGTTCCTCTTCAATAAATCTTAAACTAGGTGTCTATGTGTTGCGAGTGACCAATATCGATTAGTTAGGCTGGTGTATTTACTGTAGTGACAGAATCTGGAATATTCAGCAAAAGCAAGTATGTTTAAAGAAAGGACTGGAAAAGCCTGCCATGCTGCTGGTATACATTATGGATATTAAATATCTTTGGAAGAGATGATTTTAAAATTGAAAGAGACAGAAAAAAACTTTTTAAAGACTGAGGCTTCAGCAAGATTTGAAATTATAACCAGCTTAGTATACTGTCCATGCATTTCTCAACCAATCAAGCCATGAAGCTAACCTATAAGTTGTACGTCAGTTGTGAGCCAATAATTATCTTGATTTACAGCTTCATAGCTTAAGAGGAAATCACTGCATTCATCCTGTTGAGGATAATAATTATTATGCTAGATCCATCAACAAATGATTTTGGTTTTTAGGTAATTAAGATTTAGAAATTGCAAGATCATGAAGGTCTTTTATTTTCTTGAGTCCTGCTGTTTGTTATTACAACATTAGATTGGAGCCATTTTGTCAATGAAGTGTGGTGGGGAAGTTCCATTTGGAATGGAGCCACGCCCAGATCATCATTTAGATCTTCAAAGGTTGGTGTTAGGCTGTGCATGTAGTGTCTCTCCTGTCTGACTTTACTCTTCCTTATAATGATGATTGCTGCTCAGCCACTAGCCTATTCTCCATGCAGTCACCAGTTTGAAAGTGGCGCTCTCAACAAATATTAGTGAATTGAGATAATTTTCACATTATAGCTCAATTTTGATGTAGTACAAGCAAGGAAAATTAAATATTAATTTCCCAAATTGAATACTCATTTATTTGTATATTTATTTAATTGTGTGATATTCATTCATTTTAGTTTCCCAAAGCCCATTCTTCACCTGTTTTTTCAGAACTCTTTCAAGGAAAAGAGAACACAATATTGTACACTCTTCAACTGATTTTTGTCTTTGAGGTAACTTTTTATTTGTACTTATAATTTTGAAGGCTCAGAGATGGACAAGAAAGTCACAGTGCTCAAGTGTCAAGCAATCAAGAACTCAGTAAGAAATAGTTATTTTATTTGACAGAGCACTTTATTAATTCCACTTACTTTTTCTTCTGCAACTTATGTCTCACCTGAAGGTTTGAGTTTCCCTGAGACTTTTGGCAGTGATCCAAGTAAAAAGTGAATCTCGAAAGATATTCCTAATTAATTTTACTATGTCCAAAAAAGACTGTTATGTTTGCTTGCTGCTAATGTAATGATACAATAAGTAAACACCAGGGCAGGGAAGTGAAGTTTAAAGGTATACATACTAGTCAATTGATAATTGTTTCCCTTCCATTTTTTACATGGTAGTTGAACACCAGTTTGAGATTGTGGTTGAAGATGTCAGAGGCCTGTCTGTGTTTGGGAGCACTGTCTGGGGTGAAACAGACTGTTTTGTTCAATACCACTTTCCATTCCAGAGCCAAGTGGAACATGAATCTTCACTAAATAGTGGTAGGTGTAATTTTAGGGTTGTAAATTATTACTTACTAAAGATTGACTTCCGGTTATGGTAAATGTGTTGATAGCTACACAATTTCTTTCTATTGGTCAATTCATAGATTACTGACAGGTTGAACATATTAATGGGTTCTAATCTGCTTTTGTACTTTAATAGGGTTCTATTTGTCTTTCATGCAATGCTCAACAGTATTGCAGTGACAGATTAAAACAGTATTTGCACAACTAATGTTGATAATTTGGAATTCATATTTATTTTGTCGGTGTTTCTAAAGCCATTCCTTTTTACCTGTCAAGGAATCTTTGATCTTCAGCCTCATCGTACTCCCACCACTCTGTGTTTACCTGATCCAGTATTTCATGATGCAGCAAGACATACTTTCAAGCTTCCTTGTGGTTTTCCTGTTCAGAAACACTTACTGGCAGCTTTCACTGGCTCAAAAGTTGCTGTTCCTTCTGTCTCAGGGTCTGGTGGGGTGCCTTTTGAGTTGTGGAGAAGATACTACTACCCAAACATTAGAGACCAAATGGTGGCCAAGGTTCAAATTTACAATAATATCTGTCTTCTTTCAAAAGAGAATCTTGTTCTTTGCTATCTTATTTTAGAGTAAATGTTTTCCATTGACATGGGCTCTGAATAATTACACTGAAAGTTGTTACATGCACATCCTGACAATGTTGTACAAAACTTGCTCGTCCATTTTACCCATTACAAATTCCTCTTTAAAGGCAATTTGAGCCAAATCTGGTCAATTTTTTTAGAAAAAGAAAATCTGTCCCTTTTCATCATGAAGAATCATCAAACAACAAATAACCATGGAGAGAGTTTAAAAATATTTGAAAGAGAGCAAGATAACAAAAAAACAAAAATCAATCATGGAAGCTGTCCATTTGGTGTGGGGAGGCTCTCGTTTGTCCAGAGAAAGAGAAAAACAGCCAAAGAATATCTTCCATTCATCAAATCTTACACAATTTTTATTGTCCATTCTCTTATTTGTTTGAAGTAAAGCCACAAGGTGTCAGAGAGGAGTTGCACAAAAGTTTTGAATATTTTAAAAGTTATTTCAGTCTATGATTAGTAATGGTAGAGACCATGGAAGATTTTGCCTAGTCTGTTTTCTACAACTTTCAATAACATGCTGTATTTAGGCAACTGTTTCTACCAAATACAACTGTTTACATCAAAAGAGTGATCTTTTCAAAGGTATCCTGTGTTTTTGGTACTAAACTTCTGGTTTCAAAACATCTCACACACATTTTAAGCATTTGACCCTTGAAAAATTTAGATATATTTACTAAAGTCTAATGTTAGAACATACCTGTTTTTGAAGCAATGCATTAGTTTTTTGTTTTTTTTTAATTTTTATATTAATTTGTCTTGCTAGGCAAGCCTGCCTCTTGCCAAGCTGTGTGCAATGGTAACCATGCAGAAACAAAGTGACACTAATATCCAGACATTCTCCCTGCCACTGGCAGTTCTTTCTGGAGATGAGATGGATGGTATGCGACAGACTAGAGTACAAGACACTGGTTTGCTTGATGTTACCGTCAAGTACAAACAAGTGAAAGTGGGGCTTGTAACAGAAATACAGAAAGAGGATGATAGTCATGTGTGTTTATCATTAAAAGTGTTCCGTGCTTGTGGACTACAGGTAAAGAAACTTCCCTGCTTTCTCCAACTTTTCAGTAAACATGGCTTTAACTAAAGGTTTATTGGATTCATGTAATTTTGTCATGATTTTTAATGATTTGGCCTTGATAGTTAATTATTTAAGTAGGCACTTGATGTAAAAAATAAAATAAAAAGACAAAGGAACAAGGAAAACAATAAAAACAGTACTTTAATGAGGTGGTGTTCCACCATAATGTGTCCAGTGTCTTCTACACTAAGAAGGAGCCACAATATGCCAGTCCAGGGCAGGTTTACCATTTAATCTGTTAGGTTTGCATGACAGTTTTATTGGGACCCATTTATCTTTAGTGGAGAGGGCAGTATAAGACTTGTTCCCGTCACAGTGACCTACCCAGGGCTTTTGATTTGGAGTCCAGACACTAAACACTACACCTCATATGTCCCATCAACATTTTTTGGTTGTAGGCAGCAGCAGTTCTTCATGCCAAATCCAACCCCAGCCTGTCATACCCTGCAGAGGTTGGTGTGAATGCTTACTTAGTAATCCAGTTCCCACTTGGAAAGAAGCACAAATATGTAACAAGGACTGTGGCACGGACATTCAGCCCTGAGTTTTCATATAATGCAGACATCCTGTTGCTATTATTTACACCATCTGGTGTAAATGGCAGAGGAAATTTGAGTTTAGCTGAACAACTTGAAGATTCTGAAGTGATGTTTGAAGTTTGGTAAGTTTCACAGAGGTTCCAAACCTAACATTTGCTTTTGAAATTACACATGATAAACTATTTGGAAACCACATAGCATAGACTGGGCACTGATCTGAAGTTTTGAAATACCACCACAGACATGGAGATATGGGAAAGTTAACCATTTTCATTTGTCTAAATAGCTTTGTTAGGAATTTGATGAAATTGAAGAGCTTTAATCAGGAACTTGTTCAACATGTAATTTAAAAGCCGTCTATTTTGTACATCCTGGGAATGTCATAGTGAAATGGGGAGAGAGATGATGATAATGTTTTTGATTTACAACAGTTAGACACTAGATGTATTTTTGGCCAAGTGTACTTTGAATTCTCCATAAAATTTTTTGTGCCACTTTAAATTAACAATCAGGCATCAAATGTCACGAGAGAGGAGGAGTGACCATCTGGGTGCATCAGAAACAGAGAAAAACTTTGGAAGTCAGAGGGATGTATTACTTGGAGTGGCTAGAGTACCACTTGTAAAACTTCTTGCTTACAACACAGGTTTGCAGACAATTTTATTGGGGGAAGTTGATAATTAATTTTGGTTCAGGAGTAATAAATAGACTGCTTTAGCTTGGGAATAACTTACAGTTTTGCAGATAATTTACTCTTGGTTAAACACAAGCTGTTATTAACTCTAGTAAGTACAGGTGAGTGGTCAACAATATAGTATTATATCGAGTTTGTTTCATTCCAAGTTGGTCAGACTCTTTCAATTTTTGTTCTTTAGCCTCTCAAATTATAAGAACAATTCTTAGAGTGTGCAAATGTGCTCATATTTATACAATTATTAATAAACATGAGTGATCTTGATGTTCTGCTAACACCCAGAAGAGACACATCAGCAGTTTCAAAGAAGTTCTGTTCAGCATAGCTATTACTGCCCCTTTTCTTGTTCCTTTTCTTGTTTCTTTTCTTTTCTTAATTAATGTGAGTGCCTCTGCTAGTTAAAGGTAATTTTTTTAATTAGGTGTGAAAGGATGGTTCCCAATACACTTGCCAGGGGAACAGGACACACATGATGCCTCACCATATAATGAGATCAACAAGGTTGTTGGAGGGTTGGAACTTGGTATTTCTTTCTCCAAAACAGAGGATAGGGACCACATCATTCATATGTCGAGAGGACTTGGCTGGTCTCCACCACCTGAGGTAGATTGTAATGAAGTCTGGTTGGACAGAGAAGAGCCTTCTGTGAATGAGCACTGGACGTTTTGTTTAAAAATCAGCTCAGCATGGATTCCTTTATCAGAATTAAAACCCTTTAGTGCTTCAGAAAAGAATACAGATAAGCCTAAGATGAAAGGTTATGCCAGATATAAACTCCACAATAAAGGTAACTGCATAATATGCACCAGGGAGGTGTTAAACATTTCACAGTTGTGTTCCATTGGGATAAATGGTTTCTACTGCAACATGTTTAGGATGTAATGGTTGGAGTCTTTCAAAAGAATACTTAGCACACACTTTTTTTTTAATACAAAAACTCCTAGGAATAGCTGTCACTCAGACTTTTCCATGTTGACAAATTGAGGAAAGAAAACATAGTAGCCTTTTTCAGTTTATTGTCTCTTTTAAAAGGCTAAGATTATTCTAATTTTTATTCATTACAGCTCCCATATTCTCTAGAATGTCCTCTGTGAAAGATTGTGGTGATGGTAAATTAATATGTGAGCTGAAACACTCTAAAGAAATATTACTACCAGCGTCACACTCTTTTAGTTGGCACATGAGGGAAGAGTCTTTGGAGATCCAGCTATGGCTTAGCATTGGGAGGCAAACTGCAGACACAAACTCTAAAAAGAGGGATAGATTGGTTGGATCAGCTTATGTGGACATGTCATCTTTACTTGCCACCAACCAAAGGAAACATAGGCAAATAGGGTGAGAATTTTCACTTCTACCAAGATTCTGCATTTTTTCCTCACTGTCTATGTTAAGGTTGTACATTTCCTTTTTGCTCTAACTATTCGTTTACACGAAATTTCTTTCAATAAGACAGCCTCTTTTCCATGTGATTATTAAATCATATAATTGTTCTCCAGTGGCTTGTACCCACTGTTCAGATCTGGGGCAAGTAATCTGTTTGGTGGATGTATCCATGTTCAGTCATTTGTTAAGGTTGGAGATATCAGTGATCATGAGGTAAGTCTTCAACACTTTGACACTCAGTAAGTTTTGTTAATAAACACAAATTTTAATTTTTGTATTAATTTTTGAAAATAGCATGGCAACCTGTCAACTCTGGTCTTTATAAACAGCTATTTATGTGCATCTTATTATAGGAGAGGCAATGCTTTCAAAGCCAAATGTAAATTATGTTTCATATAAAGCTGTAGCATGTTTTCAAAACTGTCTATGCTTAAATTTCACACTGATTTTTTTATCAAAATGCAATGGGAAATGGGAATGGGAACATAGCACTAGACATTCCAGCAGGTGGCTCCTCTTATTCACTTTTTCCAGATGGAGTTGGATTTGGAATGTTGGTTTTTTGTGGAGGGAGGAAAACTTAAGGAACCTGAGACAAACCCTTAGTGCAAGGACAAGAACCAACAACAAACTTTACCCACATGTGAAACCGGGTCTGGGAATTGAACTTAGGTCACAGTGGTGGGAGGCATGCATTTTAAAATGCCAGTAATGCCTGCATCAGTTGATCATTAGTTTTTGGATGATGTAGGTATTATACAAAGACAGTTTTTCTTAGTTTTTAGATGATGTAAGTATTATACAAAGACAGTTTTTCTCAGTTTTTCTTAGTTTTTCTTTTTTCAGAAAAATGCAAACAACCTAATGGTTAAAGGAGTATGTGGTGTGTCCAATAAAATCAAATGAAATGTTGGAAGAAGTATTACCGAGTGCTAGTTGGAATGTTAACTTTTGTAAACTATTTTCTAATTATTATTTACTTGGTTGATCTTGTATAGCCTTTAAGCTCTGCTGAATCCATCGATGCTAGTTCTCTTCATGAGGATCAAACTACAGATAGCAGGACAAAAATTCCCTATCAGGACCAGGTGTCATCAGTTGAACCAATGGTGCAGCAACAATCCAACAGACAGCTGACAGTCACTGAAGCTAGTGATGAGACATTCATGGCCCATGTCATAATTGAACAAGCGCTACACCTCCCTACTGTTCCTGGAACCAGTGATAACAGGTATCAGTTGGTTACAATGGAAAAACAATTTTCTTGTTAACAAGCAACTCTACATCAATTATAGGCTGTTGCAATCTTGCAATATGCCCAGCATGGTCTTACACGTAAGAATATTTCTGCTATGGCATAGTAATTGCGTTTTACTATTCTGAAGTGTTCAAAGCAGTCACTGTTATTTTCTGATTTGTAGGAAGCCACCTTACAGAGGACTAGATGTAAAATTGCCTATAGCAGATGTCATTTTTTGAAGTCTTACATGTTGCTTCCTTTGTCTCCAGAGTAATGCCCAATGTGTACGTGTCTTATCAGACGCTATCATCAATATCCCCAGCTTCCACACCAGTTGTTGTGTGTTCATCCAGTCCAAGATGGGAGTATCAGAAACTGGAGAGAATCACTTACTCTTCAATTAAATTACAGGTAAAGCCCTGTTGCTGTTTTTTTTTTTAAAAATTATTTTGCTAGTCTGTTTTTATTTACTGTTTGAGAAGGGTTCACCTTTAACATTCAGAGGGGATCTTTATGAAAAATGGGATTTTTGTGGGGGTTATATTTCCCTGTTTAGGGTAATTGTGTTGTGCGAGACACTGGGCTCTCAACATGCCTCTCCTCACTCAGGAGAGTAAAGAGATTTGTCAAGGCACTATACAGATGGTTAATACTGTACAAATGAGGATAGGCTTTGGTTGCTGTGTGAGTCAGTCTTGTTTACATACTTTGCTATACACATTAAGTGACATTTTGGCACATTAAATTTTGTGTCTTGAAATCTTTGTTTTGGATATGTTTAGGATTTTCAGTTCAAGGTGTGGCATACCTCAGAAGCTCAGAAAGGTAAATGAATAGTAGAATATAGAGAGATATGAGATTTAATCATTCACCTGAGGAGCCAACAGTTTTTCTGTTGTTCTCAGTCCATGGTCAAAGATTTTAAAGTCATATGTAACAGGGTCCTAGAAAAAAACAAGTCCTAGAAAACCTGGAAGTCTGGGAATTTTATTTTGACATTTTCCAGGACTGGAAAGTCCTGGAAATCTACTTGTGAGCAATAAATGGGTCAGAATTTATGTTATAAGAAATGTATGTAGACCGTATGTAAGGAGAATTGATTTTAAAATCTTGGTGATGAAAGGATTTATGGTGGAATTTGTAGTCCTGGAAAAATCAATCTGAATTCTGGAAAAGTCCTGGAAAAGTCCTTCAGATTTTTCCTGAAAAAGGGAGTGAACTCTGATGTAAGAGGCAACTTTAAGAAAACAATTCATTTGCTTGGAGGGGGAGTTTCTGAATTGTGTAGTATAATGATCAAGAGAAAAAAAGAGATTTTAAACATCATTTCTAATCTATTTTCCACAGGCCTAGACAGTAAAGAATCAGAGTCTTTTGAACCTAAGGTAGACAGTTCTGGTGAGGACCGTTTGATTGGGTCTGTGTCATGTGACTTATCATCACTGTTAGCTGGTATGCGACAGCTCATTGGCTGGTACAATGTTAATGATTTCAATGGAGACTGTCAAGGACAGATTAAGGTAAATGATTAACACCATTATAGGGAAACATATTCATGTATTTACTTTGATTGAAAACCTCTAGAAGACATGTAGCATGTTATTGAAAAGTCTCCCTTTCTCGGCTATTATTTGTAAACATCGTCCATTTTGAGTTCAGCAATTTTTTATTGCTTCAAATAAACACAAAAGTTAGAATACGTACTCCTCCCTATGTAAACAATAATTAACTGGCCTCCCCCTTTTCAGAGAAAGAGCAAATGCCTGAATCACTTAACACAACATGTACAGTTTTGATTGTTTAAGTTTAATGGACTGAGATATAGTTATTTCCTGAGCTTTCTTAATTACTCAGTCCACAAAGTAACTTTTTTGTCACTAATTATTTAACTTATGTGATATTACACTGCAAAAATATTTTAATCAGTGTCAGTGAAAGTGTTCTTATGGTTTATTTTCACTCCAGTGACCAGAAATATTTGTGTATCTATGTGGTTTCCAGGTTGGCATTTCTCCTGTGAATCCTCTCTCTCCCCCAAGAAGTTTCACAAGTTCAAGAAAAACACACAGCCAACTACCAAAGCAAGATGTAAGAAGAAATTTCTGATTATTGTAATAACATGTGTTGTCCAAGACTTAAGTCAGTGAAAAATTGGTCAACACACTAAAATTAAAATCTCACTATTCTGAAATGGCATTGATCAATGTTATTTCTAACACCTTTTGTCTCACCTCCACTTGATTTTCTTCTGTGCAATGTTGCACTTTGTTTTCTTTGATTGTACAACATTGAATGGGGGAAGGGAGGTACTGTCACAAACTGTACTTAATTTAAACTTCATATCTAAATACTTCCTTAAAAGTGGCTATGGAGATATCATGTGTCACTAATTTGTCACTTGTTTACATGTGGACCCTTTTACTCTCAGTCAACAAGAATTAGGGTGTAGTTTTCCCATTTGGAGGTTTGTTATTTTTGTTTGGTGTTGTTGTTGTTGTTGTTGTTCTGGAAATTCCCTTGTATGACAATTTTAAAGTATATTCAAAGAGGTCAAGCAATACTATCTATGAATAACTACTTTAAGTCTAATTCATGACAACCCACACTCAGTTATTTATGTCATCTATGTACTGTAGGCAACCTTTATCACACCTGTGCCAAAGAGTCACAGAGCAAATGGTTTTAATTATCAAACTCAGGGAGGCAATCCTCTGTCAAGTCAGTTGCAAGGATGTTCTGAAAATGAAGGCTTTAGGATGACAACAGATGGAGAAACAGAAGCAGTCTCAAGTTGTTCTTCATCTCTACTCTTTTCTCAACTAAGGTTTGTAAAAATTACAATGTAGATCTGTTATGTTCTTTCAGTAACTTTTACTTTCCGTTGGGCTTACAAAGTTTCTGTGGTAGAACTTCGTAAAGCTATGTAGTGAGCAAAACATTACCTGCCCACTAATAGATACAGAGTTATCTTCTCGCATTGATATAATTTATGTAATTCTCTCCATGTACCTCTGAAGACATGAATTAAGTATGAATGGTGTTTTATTGTTTTGCAATCTTGATTTTACTGCTCTGTTCATTGATCAATCTTTTGTTTTAGGCATAATATGAAGGAACTAGACATTCTTCAGCAAAATTTAACTGTCAAATTAAGATCAAATCCTGTCAGTGATGATGACGGCCACAATCGGGAAGATTTGTGGGCCACTCTCCACCCACAGTGCCTTTTTTCTGGCGGAGATGAAACAGTAAGTTTTCCTTTAGAATCTTCAAGAACATTGAGAACTGAAAACATGACTGGCAGTGGTAATGTCTTGGAAGGAAAGTTGGCTGAAGCTGTATTTAAAGAGAATTGTGATGAACATATGGGGTTGAATGACAAACACATGACCCAAGTCAGAATTGATGGTTACATACTACCCTCTCCAAAACTGACCCCAGAATTGAAACAAACCAGTAGCTTTGTTGATAATGAAAAAACTGCTCTAAGAACTGTAGATAATGTGCTGGATAGTGGGGCAACAATACCTAACTATTGTGAACTTCAAGAACCTTCTGCAAAATGTAGAGAGGAATGTCTAGAACATACTTCAGTTTTGGACAGTTTACCTGATGAGGAGAACCAGTTATCTGTTGCCATAGATTGCTGGCCACCTTTGAAAAGGGAACCTTCCCTCACTGATATTTCAGGAGACTTTTCAGTTAGTGGGTATGTTCAGGACAACACTAATGACACAAGGTTTGCTGATTTGAAAGACAGCTGGCTCAGCAGTGAAGAAGAAGAAAACTCAGGTTTGAGCCAGGCTGAAAAGCCTGGCATGTTAAATGTACCTTCTGGATTAAAAAGTAACAGACATACAGCTGGTGAACTGGAGAGAATTACTGTTACAAACTTTCAAAAGACAGAAAATAAAGTGAGTGACCGGAATGATGATCATTCCAGTATTTTTGGTGATAGGGATGAACAAAACATGGATGTTGATGTGATATCAAGTGAAGCTGAAAGAAAACAGTCAGTTGATGACAGCATTAAGAGTAATGATAGTGGTGAAGATTTCACTAGATTAACCAGTATTGAATCAGGTGATATTTCTGCAGCAGGCAGAAAAATTACATCTAATCATGATAACATTAAGGAAACCTTTTCAAATGAACATGCTTCTAATAACAGTTTAACTCCAAACAAAATGGTAATACAAGATTCATTACCTAGATACCCTCTGTCTCACCGCCAGACAAGTTCTATGTTGCCAAATTTCTTCATGCCTTCAGAACAACTAGAGGAGTCTATGAGGGCGCTTAGACTGGGAGCCTCGAACACATCTTCACATTCCAAGCTGTTAGCTTATTCACAACATACAGGAAACAACCAATGCACAAAAGAAAACCTGACTGAGAAATTTGCAAAAAGGAAACAATATTATAAAGACAAAAAAGATGAAAGGCCCCCAATCTCCCATTCAGAGGTGGATAGGATAGCTAGAATTTTCAAGTTGAATTCTGGGAGTTTGTAAGACTATGTTTAAAACAATGTGATGCAACCATTTGCATTCTTATGGTCATGTATTATTTCACTCCTGTCAAATTAAAAAAAAAAGATATATTGACAGCTATTTATTTCATCTGTGTAGCTTCCTTCTACCCACATATTTTTGGCTGTATGCTAATTACTTTTTCCAGATCATGTGAAATCCTCATGGTATTTGATGCTTTTAGTTTTTGAAAATCAGTGGTGCATTCAAACATAGATATGACTCACATCAATGGAAAATAATCCCTTTAGTATTATCACAAGATCAATACTTTGACAAAAAGATGTGCAGGTGAATGAGATTTTCTATAAGGAACAATTGTGGGCATATACAAGTTGAGGTAGGGGATATAAGCAAGGGAAAAATGATATTTGTGTGAGATGAGTTACAAATTGGATAATACAGGCATAAGTAGCATTGTTTCTTGTTGCTCAATGAAGTCAAATATTTGTCTCGTCATTCCACCCATCAGATTGGTGCAAGCTCTGAGTGACTGTTGCACATTGGGTTTCATAGTGTCAGGCAGTTAAATTCCTAACAGAACGATACTATTTGTCCCATTTGTTTGGAATGGCAAAGTGACATTGGTGCTCTTCCTTTGTTCTTTGTTACAAAGAAGACTGGTAGATAGATTAATTTGTATGAACCAAAAGCAGAACTTTACCCCAGCAGTCCATAGTAGATTTAAGGTCTAGAGAGACAAGAACCTGGTCCAATGGAATTCATTTATTTGTAAATATTTACTAGTGATGGTTGAATAAATATACCATACAAACCTAGAATACTTTTTTGTTTCATACTTCGACTCTCAAATTTTTTGTCATATCCCTTGCACCAACAGTCATGCATAAATTTTTATGATCTCGATCCATTCATTCTAATGTTGGATTGTACGTCGTAACAACAGAGGAGAAGTTTCTGACTTGTACAATCTGGGTGAAATCACTCATCAAAGCAAAACTGCCTGATACGAGACACGCCTATTCCATTACATACCCAAATTTATTCAATCTTCCCGTTGCAACCATCCACGGTACCTTTAAATCCCACGTGAACACTTTAAGACGTCCTGTCATTTGTAGGGACTGTAACTGTTATTCCTAAATATGTTTGTAGACAAACCAACGAAACAAAAAATAGCTCTGCTCGTCATCTAGTTGTTTTATTTTGATATTGGATGAAGAAAATTTTAGTCACGTACAGAACTAAGTCAGTACTGGATCGTCAAGCAGCTCTGCTATGGACAAAGACCACAAAACCTTAATCTTTGTTTGGCCTTGACGTTGCTAGGTAAATCCACCATGTAACTTCTGTTCCTGCTCCTGGCGCTTCACAGCTTCTTGGGCTTCTTTCTGCATGGTTTCCAGCTTTTCAAGCGTCACTGACTTCATTGGCATTATCTTGGGTTTGCAAAGAACCGGCATTGGCGTCTGTTCAGTGAAGAGGAGTCCTTGTTTTGGAAGAACCTCCTTGAACACAAGCTTTTCACCTGCCATCTTTTCTCCCCTCTAGAAAGATTTCCACCGCTGACCAGATATAACCGTATTAATGAGGAGCGAATTAGGCGGTCAGCCCGCACCTGATTTGAAATAATAAAATTTGATTTACATCGGATCGATAGATGTATTCTTCGACAGACAATAACGAATAATGACCCGAAAGATAAGACAATCAAATTCAATAATGTCCCTTTTGCAAGGGCAAATTAAAGAAGTGGGAAAATCACAGCATGTCTTGTAGAAATTCAAGTTCAAACTAATAATACAAAATAAATTATTCATCAGAAAACGGCAACGGATCAATTACAATGGTATATTTCCAGTCAGCCATTCAGAGAATTCTTGGAACACCTCTGTAGTGCAAATCAAAGCTTTTCCATAAATCTTATATTCGCAATCATAATTGCACCTACTTCCTCTGACCTGAAAAAAATACTCAAAGAAAATATAAATAAATGTTATGATAGATTTTTTAACAGCTTATCTTAGGAACACTATTGGGGTGACAATCATCGTTATTTTAGGAAATCTTATCCCTTGTAATATTAACTTTTTCTCTCGCTCTGTCTCTCTCTGTCTTTCTCTGTCTCTGTCTCTGTCTCTGTCTCTGTCTCTGTCTCTGTCTCTGTCTCTGTCTCTGTCTCTGTCTCTGTCTCTCTCTCTCGGAAACATCTCCATACAAATACCATTTTAAAGTGGAATCGTCTTGTATCATCTTTCGTCAGATCTAATTATTTTCTCAAAAATGAAAACCACCGAATTTATTTTTCGATATGCAAATTTTTTCTCGGACAGCCCAAACACTCCCACTAAAATCATGTAATTTAATTTTTACACTTATCATTATAGCCAGGGAAATTCTATGTATGCCCCCAAAAAGCTGTTTCCTTTAACTTCACATGGGAAATAAGAATTGCACCTTCATTCCATTTTCATAAGCACCTAACCAACCTTTCTCATAGATGAAATATGACTGTGTCTTCGTTTATTGCAAAGCTATTCGCCATTTCAGAAGAATATTTTCGCCGAAGTATAACGCGGTACTGCATGCAAAAGCCACAGTGATCAAGCCACCATTTGGAGGGCGCGGCAAATCTGTGGCTCACCGGCGAATGACGTCCTTGTAACATAGCGACCATCGACCAATCAAATGTCAAGAGGATTCAAAATAGCCAATCACAAGCTGTTCATCACGTGCCTCAGGGCAAAATTTTACCTTGCTTCGCTAATAGGAAGCTTTTCGAGAAAGGAGTGAACTGGATTGTTTTCTTGAATTACCTGTGTTTGTTCTTTGGTACAGAGTCAAAGGGGCGATCTGGTTCACCTTGACAAGCACATCGATATTACGGCCTGAATCTGCCTTGGAGAGTTTTCTATTGTTAATTTCCCGGTACAAGACCTGGCGTGCCCGAGTCTGTCTATTGGGCTGGTGTCTTCCATTCTGTTATTGTTAGAAGCTGCTTGCTTGTGAAAGATTGTTTCGCAGTCGACCTGAGGAGTTGTCAAAACTAAAAGTTCTCTTCTGGAATAATGTGAAGTTGGTAGTAGAGAGCAAGGAAGTAAGCAGACCTGCAGTAGACAAAATCGTGTTTATTTGTTTCGGTAAGAGCAGTGACACACAGCCCAGGAATCTGGCATCCTTCTGTCCATTTGTTTGAGAAGAAACTTGTGAAGAAAAGTTTCGGTTTCTACCCTCCAAACTGGAAAGTATCTGTTGGCGTAACTGTGGTCGCTGACAAACTGATCTTCTGGCTTGTCCTAAATCTCAAGGACAAAAGAGTTTTGCAGTGTTTTTGAACAGTGAGGTGGAACCATCGAACTCTCCATTGTGAGTTTAATTAAAGGTATATCCCACGAGGCTTCGATTCGAGAGCTGCGTAAGATTTTTAACATAAATATAACTTTACATTTTGTAAACTAGGATTAATCATGGCAGAACCTTCTATTAAAAAGGAAGAGCAGCAGTCCTTGCGTTCGCTCGACTCGCTGGATTTCAATGCAGTCGCCGATTTTTCAGATCTTTCTATCAGAGATCTTACCTTGCTGATGGAACACAGGGGACAAGAAGCAAGAGATTACTTAAATTCAAACTTTGGAGGCGTGCAGAAGCTTATCCACAAGCTGCACACTTCTTCTGAGAGAGGAATTGGTGGATTTCCCGAAGACCTTGAAAATCGCAAGGCAGTGTTCGGTTGCAATTTCATTCCACCAAAACCTCCCAAAACCTTTCTCCAGTTTCTTATTGATGCTTTCAAGGATATCATCCTTATAATTCTGACCGTTGCAGCGGTCGTATCCCTAATGTTAGGAATTTTTGCGCCAGAGGAGTGCGAGGGGTCGGAAGACAACACTGGCTGGATCGATGGCTTTGCTATTATTGTTGCAGTGATAATAGTGGCATTAGTGACTGCGGTGAACGATTATCAAAAGGAGCAGCAGTTTCGAGGCTTGCAGAATAAAATCGAGAGCGAACACAAATTTACAGTTGTGAGGCATGGAGAACCTATTGAAGTACTGAACAGCGAAATAGTGGTGGGTGACCTTTGCCAGGTCAAATATGGTGATTTATTGCCAGCTGATGGTGTTGTTGTTCAGTGTAATGACTTGAAAGTTGATGAGAGCTCTCTGACAGGAGAATCAGATCTTGTTAAGAAAGGACTAGAGAGAGACCCACTGCTACTTGCTGGAACCCACATTATGGAGGGAAGTGGCAAGATGGTGGTTTGTGCTGTGGGAGTGAATTCACAGACAGGAATAATCTTTTCTTTGCTTGGAACACATGGTGATAAAGGAGAAGAAAAGCCAGACGGGAAGGGTGAAGAAGCACCACAGTCACCATCCATTAAAGCCAGTAAGGATGACTTTGAGGATATCAACTTGGATGAGGAGAAAGATTCTGATTCAAATGGAAAGGAAAAGAAAGACAAGGATGAGAAGTCCATCCTTCAAGGAAAGTTAACAAAACTGGCAGTCAGTATTGGTTGGCTTGGTGTGGCTGCTGCCCTCCTAACAATTATTGTCATGGTCTTGCAGTTCAGCATCAGAAAGTATGTCAACGAGAAAGCTTCTTGGCAAAGTGAGCACTTAAATGCTTACGTCAATGCCTTTATTACTGGTCTGACAGTGTTAGTTGTAGCTGTACCTGAGGGTCTGCCACTGGCTGTTACAATTTCTTTGGCATACTCTGTTAAGAAAATGTTGGATGACAATAATTTAGTCAGACATCTTGATGCCTGTGAAACCATGGGCAATGCAACAGCCATCTGTTCTGACAAGACAGGAACTCTAACCACAAATCGCATGACTGTAGTTCAGAGTTATCTAGCAGACAATCATAACAAAGAAGTGCCAAAACAAGGACAGCTGCCACAGACACTGGTTGAGTTGCTCTGTAAAGGAATTGCGATAAACAGTAGCTACGCTTCCAACATACTGGTGAGTAAACATTCTACGTCCAGTTGTTTGTTAGTAGATTTCTATATGTCAGTTGTGACAATAAAGGGCAAAAGAGGTCAAAAAAATGCCATCTATGTTTACACAAGATGATCCATCAATGAATAATCAGAAAACAAAGAAATGTGTCATGTAATAGTGTGGTTGGTTTAGCTATTATATATAAGGTGCGTCTGTACTCACAAATAATGAAGAACACATTGCAGACAGTTCACAAGACTATCTACAAAAATCTGGTTGAGGTTTTCATGTCATGACAGTTAACATTGTTGAAGGAAAAGTCGGTTTGAAATTTATTGCTGTTGTAGAGTTCTCTTTTGGAGGTTGGGAGGGTGGGAGTGGACTGGTCGATGTTTTAGTATAGAAAGGCTTTGTATATAACTCAGTGCTAATGAAAGCCAAATCAAAAGATGATATGTATCTCTCACTAGTTTTCCATCCAATTTATCAAGTTTATTCTGTAATTGATATTGATTAATGACATTTGCATCTTAATATCACAAACAGAACATATATTTTGGCTAACAACATCAGTTCCCTTGTGTAGCTCTTGAGCTTGGTTTCCTGTTGTCCCTTTTGGCTTTCCCTTCAATGTCAATAGTAATCCCTTCTTGAATTATATTAGTAGCTTTACAAGCATAAGAGTAATCATTTCCAAATGATACTGAATTATTACTTTCTCCAAGTTAAAGCTTGTGAATGAATTTGACATTTTCCTTTTGAAAAAGTCATATATGTGCATGAATACATAAAAAGCCTCTTTAGAAAATGCATGGTTTCGAAATTTTTGAAGGTGAACCAGAAAAGTACCTGTAAGGTTTTTTTTTCTTTTTTTTTTTTTTTTTTTGGCAGATAACCACAAAATCATTTGGATGAATTTCAATATATGTATCAAAAGAAATGAGAGCAACATCTGCTAAAATCATCAGTATCCAATTGTATGTCTACAGACAGTTGAAGTTGTTATCTGCTGATATTAGATTTGGCTTCAGTAATTTTGACTAAAATTTGATCTATAAATACAGAAAAATTAATCATCAATAATTTTTCAAAACAAGGTAAACAAGAAGTATTGCCAAGGTCAGTTGCCTTATGCATCTTGCCCAGTGAAAATAGCAGTATCTCTGAGGTGTTAATTTCACCAACCTTTGCACAGGATGGGGAAAAAAACAATAGAGAAATCAGTTTGGAATACACTATTTTCCAATAGTTTTTTACTAGTAAGCAGAAAGTTTTACTTTGAACCATGAAATAGTGGGCTTGTTTTATTTCTTCAAGTTTAATACAATTTGCCATTATTTGTTTGGTACTGTGTTTATATTTTTTAGTTAAATCCTGGAACAGATGATAAACTGGTAAACAGAAATTTGAACCATGAAAAAGTGGGCTTATTTTATTTCCTTAGGTTAAATAAAATTTGCTATTATTTTTTTTTGGAATTGTGTTATATTTTCAAGATAAATCCTGGGACAGATGGTAAACCTCAAAAACCATTTCCTAGTGTAACTAATTAACCCTCTTTCCTCAAGGAAGGAAAAACAGATGTTTTCTGCCCATATACTTTCCTTTTATGGCAGGCTTTCTTGTCATTTGTAGAGATGATATGTTTATTAAATGTTTTGGACTTTTTTTGTGCATTTGAATTGTTGTCATCATGCAAATGGAATGGTTAATTGTATCTCTTTTTTTTTAGTGTTATGTAAAAGAAATTTAAATTAGTTTTTTATAAATCATAGCTATGATGATTTAGTGAAATAGCACTTGTTTGGTGGCCTGTGAATTTTTATTATTTTGTCATAAGTTGTCCAATAATCTCCTTGTGCAAAAATCACAGGCACTTGTCTGTTTTTTTCATAAATAATATATGTTTGCAAAGTGAACAAAATTGTATACAATTTGTTTTATTTTGATGCTGGTGTGTCTGACACCTTTCATTTTCATTATTATTGTTACTATTATTCATGAAGTTTTATGAAAGCTCTCAAACTAGAATACTTTGTAGAAAGAAGCTGAGATCAAATGGGCAATCACAAAACTTGCTATTCAAAAAAAAATTTTTTTTTTTTTTTTGCAATATGCAAAATTGAGGCCTTTAACAAAAGTTAGTGTTGAGCAATCAGAATTCTGTAGTGTATTTTCAAAATAAAGTGGTAAGGAAAGCACTGTTAAGAAACTGCTGAACAATTTGTAGAAGATTTTGATATTAAAAAAGGTGATGACATAATGGGCTGAGGCAAGTTCCATTTTTACTTGTTGGACTGGTTTTTAGACTGATCATGTTATGGTGTCCATAAACAGGGCTCTTTTTTAGTACCAGTTTCTGGCAAAATTTTGTTGGATTTGTTGCCATGATAATTTGTTGGGAAACATTGCGTCTATATCTGTGACATAAAGCAAAGTCTAACTTGAAAGTATTCATCAGTGGCCAGCTGCTGGCATTACCATTGCAATTGAAGTTAAGACAATGTTTTTGTTCTTTTTTTTCCCCAAGAAAAGAGATGTTGATTTTGCTTAGGATTTTATTCTTTTGCAGTGAATTGAATTTTTTATCTCTGGTTTTAGCCTTCAGAACTTCCTGATGGTCTCCCAACACAAGTTGGAAATAAGACTGAATGTGCATTGCTTGGCTTTGTGCTTGAAATTGGTGAAACTTATCAAGATTACCGAGATAATAACCCAGAGTCTAGTTTTGTCAAGGTCTACACTTTTAACTCTGCAAGGAAATCCATGACAACAGCTGTACGTCTCCCTGGTGGAGGATTTCGAATATATTCCAAGGGTGCATCTGAGATAATGTTGAGTCGCTGTACATCTGTCATTTGTAAAGATGGTGAAATCAAACCCTTTACAGCTGCTGATACTGAAAAGATGGTGAAAGACGTAATTGAGCCAATGGCCTCTGATGGTTTGAGGACCATCACCCTGGCTTACAGAGATTTCCCAGCCAATGGAGTTCCTCCTGAGAAAGGTTGGAAAATATTGAGTTATGAAAACTTGGTTAACAACAATCTTATCCTAATCACAATGCATATGAATTAACCCTTTAACATTTATGTGACCAGGAAAGAATTTCTCCTAACAATATTAATACAAAATTAAACAGACAAGTGATAAGAAGAAAGAGAATTGTCAATAAGGAATTATTAGTTGATCCAATACCAAGTTTTTTGAGATGACGTTATAAGATTTGTATGACAGACCGTGAGAAGAGTTACTCATGAGACCTGGGGAATGAAGGGAAGTGAAAGGGTTCAACATAAGCTTTCTAATACTCCTTGGACTGGTTGAGATTAACAAGGATATAATGACTTGTTGCAAACCAGACTAAATGTAGTACCTTAGGTGACATAATTTTATTTAAGGATGTTTGAAATTTGGAACAAATTAAGCTACATTTAGGGTGCATTCAGCAGCAGTCGTTCATATTTTAGTCTAAATTTAGGATTTTTTTTTTTGACTCGTTTGTTCCTGATCTACTCCACATACACAAATCATAACATCAATTCATTACCCAGAAATATTGAAGTGGCCTTTCTGTTAATGTGAGACTCGCTGCATTTTGATGTGTTGTTTAGTTGGAGAAGCTAGTGCAGAAATAGAGCCAGACTGGGAAAATGAAGGTGAAGTGTTGTCTAACATGACATGCATTGGAGTTGTTGGAATTGAAGATCCTGTGCGACCTGAGGTAAATTATACAACATGCTAACATCTTGTTAAGACTAAAGGTGAAAAAGGAAGGCAAGTATTCAGAGTTTGGAGTTTTGTGTTGTCTTCTTATAACTTGAACACTGAAGAAGGTAGATTTTAGGTGCTACCTAAGTGTCATATTCATAAGTATTTACCACAGGCTTTAAAATTTACTTTGTTTTGGTTCCTTTATCGTTTTTGCTAGGTTTTTTATGTTAATTGTGGTCTTTGATTATATGGATAATTTCACTTTATTACATTTACACAAATTTTGTTGCATGGTAGTGTAGATACAAGTTTTTGGGTTGTACTTAATTTTGTTTGGAATGTTTTGCTATTGTGAAATCTTTTTTCATCACTACTGTAGTTTTTATTAAGTTCCTGGTTCTTTTAGCATGTAACCTCCAGAGAAACTGACCCATTGTGGAATATTTTCAGGTACCAGATGCAATTTTAAAATGCCAGCGTGCAGGAATTGTTGTGCGCATGGTTACAGGTGATAATGTAAACACTGCCAGATCCATTGCTTTCAAATGTGGCATCCTGCAACCTAACAGTGAATTTCTTGTACTGGAAGGCAAGGAGTTCAACAAACTCATCCGTGACTCTTCAGGAAAGGTGGGCAGCTGTACAAAGATGTACCTTGTAATTTTGTTTCCATTGGTTTTATGGTGAACAAGAATTCAAAATGGCTTCTCAAGTATTTGCTTCAAACAGCATCTTATAGTGGTCATATATCCAAGAGCTGGTCAAACTTTTCAAACAACTAACATATTTACTCATGTATAAGTCAACCTTTTATGACCAAAAACCTGGGGTTCTGTACATGTTAAAGGAGGTGCATGGAAAGAAACAAAGCAGTAGACAGGTTGAGACAAAAACACCAAAAAAGTTGGCACATTAAAGCAACAATTTCACAAGCAAATATTAACCCCCCTCATAGCCACCCTTTCCACCAGTTAATTAAAACTTTCAGAAAGTTACAAATGGTGTACATGAACTGATAATTCCTCAAGGTAACATGGGAAAAGGATTGATTTTCTTGAAAACCCAACATCAGCTTATTTTACAAATCCAATATATCTTTCATTTCCATGAAATGTACAGGAGAGAAAGAAATGTATGATTTCTTGTATTAAAAAAGGTGGGGATAAAGTGGTCAGGAATCTGTCAACTATTCTAAATATGTACATTATTAACATCAGAAAGGAAAATGTCACTGTCTTTCATCATGAAAATGGCCAAGACATGTTGAACAACTTTGTTGTTTCACAAGTCCATATCTGTTTTTAAAAGAAACTGAAAAACTACCAGAACAATTTAAAATCAAGGCAAAACAGAGTCATATTTCTGACCATTTACTCATGCAGATTGTAAAGCAAATTTGTGCGACCAGTAGTGGAGGAAGTATAGCTACTTGACTTCTGTAGTTTAGGATCCTTTTCATTTACAAGGAAATACAAATCAAGTGATAGTCAACCTTTCCTTATGCTTTGCAGTTAATTTTTTTGTCTGCAACTGTTGTTTTTCCCATCTTGGACAGTGCAACCAATATATGGTGTATGATGCTAAAAGGTCTACTGCCATCCAAGTTTTTGAAACAAAGCTTGTACATATGAACATGTTTTACTGTACAGGTTAGCCAGAAGAAGTTTGATGAAGTGTGGCCCCAGTTACGTGTATTAGCTCGTTCCTCACCCCAGGACAAGTACACTCTTGTCAAGGGCATCATTGACAGCAAGCTTAATCCAACACGAGAAATTGTGGCTGTGACTGGTGATGGCACCAATGATGGTCCAGCACTGAAGAAAGCTGATGTTGGTTTTGCCATGGTAAGATTTCTATTTCCTAAATTTCTTAAACGTCACAGTGGCTTACAGATATTGCAAACTAAAACTTCATCCAAGTATGAATAATATTTTCAAAGCACACTGTCAGCATTTTTAAGAGTCTAAGAGCCAGATATCAATGATACATGGATTATAATACTACAGAACTAGCATTCTTCTCCATAAATTTGCACATTGTAAGGTACAAATGACATGTGGATAGAGTACAAATATCCTGCTATATTGAACAATTGGTTATTTTGTATTGTAGAAAAACCTGTTCAACTGGTCATCTGCATATACTATGCTTCTCTATCTGCTTTTCTTTTCTCTCCTCATGAGAAATGAACAGGAAAAACTTAACAGAAAAAAGAGCAGTTGTATAAATACAACTTATTAGACATTTTGGTGTGTAGTAATGCTTAATAGCAGAGCTCACTGAGTGTAGCCCCATAATTATACAAAATGGTAGTAGCAACCCATCAAGCTGAAAAAATTTGGACTTATGACTGTACGACCGTACGACTGACCGTACAAGGTGCTACTTTTAATGTGCGTGGTCAACTGTACTGAGGGCATGCCAACACCATGGCTTTGTCCAGTAGTCCAGTGGTCAGTGCACTGGGCTCCGAGTCAGACAACCTCGGTTCTAGTCCTGGCTGGGGCAAGGTGTTGTGCCCTTGGGATGTGCAGGGGAAAAAAATGTGAGCTCTGCTTTTAGGCTTGGCTAAAGCTATATATTATTTTTACTCATTGTTTGTCTTTTGGCTTGCCTCACTAGCTTGTCAAAATACAGCACAAATCATTAAAATACTCAGCTAAACTGTACACCACAATATTAACTAATATTAACACAACATTACATAATTACATGGGTCACTCCCCTACTTCATTACTAATTTACATAGTGACTATTCTTGATGTCCATGTAGCAGTTCAAACTTGAACATGATCCTGTTTATGTTTTAGGGTATTGCTGGAACAGATGTTGCTAAAGAGGCATCTGACATCATTCTAACTGATGATAACTTTAGGAGCATTGTTAAAGCTGTTATGTGGGGGCGCAATGTCTATGACAGCATCTCAAAGTTTCTGCAGTTTCAGTTGACTGTGAACTTGGTTGCTATTGTTGTTGCCTTTATTGGTGCTTGTGTTGTTCAGGTAAGGTACATGTACGAGTGCTCATTAATGTGGGCTAATTTAATTAGTTAGCCAGTGACAAACCATGTATGAAGTTACATTAAAACCCCATTTTATTCATTATAAAACAAATGCTTCAAGAATGGAATGAGTTAATGCACAGATATATGACATAAGAAAATTATCCTTATTACTGGATCGTCCTTAGGAAAGCACCAGTCTCAAAGTGCAAGCCGTTTTTTTTTCTCTTTTGGTCCTCAATTCAGCATCATAGTCTCAGGTGTTCTCAAGGGAGATGCAGATAACTGGGTATGAGAATCTCAACCATCCCTACCAGGTTTACCTCTGTCCCCAATATCCTGCAAACGTCGGAAAGGGGGGTAACAAAGGCTGAAATTTTTGCCAGGTTATAACCATAACCATAATTGTCAGACATACACTAAAATCATCAAGTTAGTTTTCCCTTCTTTTTGCTCCATTCTTGATCAAAGATGGGAATATTTTGTTGCACTGCTGTAGCTATTTTACTTTGTGTCTTCAAGTTGATTTTTCCTCTTCTATTTGGCTGCCATGTGACTATATATTACACACACAGAGTCCTTGAAATTTGTTTTGAAAAACGCTACAAACCGTAAACTAATCCACATGCAAGTTTGAGTCAAACCTTCAATAGCATCTACTTGGACTTTTAATTTGTTGAAGAAGTGTAAGTAAACTTTGACAATGGAAAGTCTCCATAGGTTCATACTAATCAACAGCAAACTTGCTTTAAAAATACCTTCCTTCTCAGGTTCTTTCTATTTAGTCTCTTTTTTTTTTTAAAGGTAAGTCCTCTGACTGGCACACAGCTTCTTTGGGTGAACCTAATTATGGACTCCTTTGCATCACTGGCATTAGCTACAGAGCCACCAACAGAAGACCTCTTACAACGCAAACCCTATGGACGCACCAAACCACTTATCTCACGAACAATGATTAGAAACATTCTTGGTCATTCAATATTCCAGCTGATTGTCATGTTTGTCCTGGTATTCCTGGCAGATGATTTATTTGATATAGAAGACGGTTACTTGGAAACAACACGCTGTAAACCAACAGCTCACTCTAGCATGGTTTTTAATACATTTGTTATGATGCAACTCTTTAATGAAATTAATTCACGTAAAGTTCATGGAGAGAGAAATGTGTTCTCTGGTATTACCAATAACCCAGTGTTTCTTATTATCATGGCAGGAACATTTGTAGTGCAGGTAAGGGTCAAGAGTTGAGTTGTTCAATTTTAATCTATTTTGAAGAGTGATTAAGGATGTAAATGTTCTATGAATTCTTTGTTCTATTTTGGATACAGTGATTGTTGAACTTAGTTAACCCTTTAACTCCTAGATCTAATTTGTAATTCTCCTTACTGTCAACCATACAACTCTTATAATGTTAGTTCAGATAATTTAGTATTGGATCAATTAATTATCCCCAAATTGATATCTTTCTTTATTTTCATCACTTTTCTGGTTGACATTATATTGATATTGGGAGAAAAAATTCTGTCTTGGTCACTCATGGGAGTTCAAGGGTTAATTTGAAAATCAACATTTTGAACATCCGTTTGGTATAAGTTCATATGATTTAGAATGTTTTAACAGACTTTGTTGATTTTTCAGATTCTAATAATTGAGCTGACTGGTAAAGCCTTCCATGTAACAGGACTGGGCTGGGAGGAATGGCTTTGGTGTGTCTTCCTTGGATTTTCTGAGTTGTTATGGGGACAACTTGTCCTTACAATTCCCAAGACATCATTCCCAAAGCTTTGCCGATTTGGTACAAAAGAACTTCCCCTTGCGACAATAGTGGAACCTGATGGACCAAAGGACAGCAAGGCTCGTCTGTTGTGGATACGTGGCCTGACGAGATTGCAACACCAAGTAAGTAATTGTTATAATACCAAACCAATTCTTTTTAACTCGTGAATTGCGCGCATGCGCAAGAGCGAGTTATAGATACGATGTGGGGAATAGCATTTGCTCGCTCGCTCGATTGGTCGATTCCTGTAAACTTTTTCAATTTTAGGCTTTTGAGTGCATTTGATAGTTTTTGGCAAGCAATAAACAAACGAAATGGCGACCTTTGTTGCTAAGAATAGTGGTGGGGTGAAAAAGAAGCCAATGATAATCTTAAAAGAGTTTTTTTTTCGTTTTAGTTTCAACAAGCGGCGCCTGCGACTGGCAGGCATGCAAGGATTCACACTGAAATAACAGAACAACCTTCGTTTTTCATAAAATTGTAATTCTCAATCCTTGAACTTGAAAACAATCCGAAGATTCACTGAAAATATCACTTACTGCAAAGCGCACGAAGTTTACAGATGTTCAAAAGCTTTTCTTGTTATGGCGTGAGATTGAGGACAAAATTGATCATTACGTTTGGTATCGTGTGTTTTTCTTGTGTGAAGCAATAAAAGATGCCCACCACTGACGAAATTACAAGTAAACACGAAAATCAAATAACGCCTAAACAAACAATTTTAGCTACCGATTTTCAGTGAATTTTTAACGAACAATTTTCTTTTAAGGTTCAAGACAATTTGAAGATTCAAAATACGTATCACGTACTGAAATGCGAAAGTTATACACCACAAAATTGATAAATAAGCCTGAAATGAAATTCTATCTTGTTATTGATTATACGTTGCCTAGCATGTGACTAAAATCTACCCAGGCGGAGATCCAAAATGACGGTGGCAGTCTTGGCTCAGTTATATCACTCAAAACTCGTTCCTGTTTGTCTCATTTGATAAAGAGGGAATCGTTAATGTTGTCATTAAGACAGTATTGCCTTGATTTTCTAATTTTTACAATGATAGACAGTAAATTTCACTTTTCATCCACATTTACTTCCAACCTTTTCTTTTGAACCAGAAACAAAAATGATATACGTTTACAACACATGACATCATCCACCCTTGTCAAATGTAATAGCATGATCATTTCAATTTCAATTACTTTGTTTCTTTGCTACATTAGCGAACACTGAACTACTGCTTGTACTCTAGATACGACAATCAACCACAAAATTCCCTAAACCAGATAACATTAAACATAATCCAAAAAATCATGTGTCAATTCACGAGTTTGCTCATAGAGCACTTTGATTTTCTGTTTTGAGTGTCTGAAAATTCTTTGATATGGTAACTCGCATGTCAAAAAAACTACTCAAAATCTCTTTATCAACAAATATTTTTGAGATCTGATGTTTTGTTAATTAAAAAAATTTCTCTCTTTTTTTCCAACTCAAAGTTGGACTCTAAAATTCCCATTTATACCAAGTGTGTCTTCCATTGTTTAAACTGCATGTATATATCTACTATTAATCAAGTTATGTGGCCACAGTAGTAGAATATCAGCTCTCTGTCCTTTTTGCGTACCACCTCACTGCACTTACTCTATGCTTAAAAAAAAAAATGCTATGGACAAACATTCTTCCAGTATGGTCCTGAGCTGGTTTGCTTTATACAAGACTTAAGGCAGGATTGGAAACAACCCTTAGTTGACCAATTGATTTCTCTTCTTTGGCAAGGTTTTAGATGATAGCAAAGTTTCACCAAACTTGAAAAGCAAATCTTGTGCTACGTCATTAAATGGTGATATACACTTGTCTGCACTTGGACTGCTTTTTTCAAGTAGAATCCAAGACTTATCATGTATTTTTGTTCACTTGCCTCTAAAATATACAGTATACAAAATCCTTTGATTATTCATCAAGCAATGAGTACTCTCTGCAGCAAAGCATGATGTACACTTATTTCTTTCTTGTTCAATCCATTGTAGTGTGTGGTTCCTTAATGACTATGGGGTTTTATGTTACTTAGATCCGAGTGGTAAACGCATTCAGAAGTGTTATTGATGGACGAAGTCAAAGAGCCATTGCATCTCCAGCAGTATTTAATTCTTTGCTAGCCCCTGTGCGAACAGCAATGGTCTATGATGATTCACAGTATCCATCTGCCTTGGATAGCACTGAGCCTGGAGCTGAAGCAATACAGCGGTATGCAAGTGTGGAAAGCTCTGTCTAAGATGCCAAATTTAGTGTTGTTATAACATGATTGAAATTATTGTCAGTAAATACTAGTGAAAGGGTTTATCACTTTAAATGTCTTACATGTTCATTACCATTAGATTAGTGCTTGATCACTATCATTAAGGTCACCTGGCATTGCTGGTTCTTTCATGAAATTCAACAGGCCACTTTTTTGTTGGGCTTAAGTAACTCTACACTGAAACACAGTAAAGCTAATTCACAGAACATTGAGGCACTTAATGTGCTCTATGCTCTATGTTGCTACCGATCACTCTTATCAGCCTCTGTATTGAAAATCAAAAGTAGAGAAATAACTCTAACTTGAGAACTAACCATACTCTTTTATGAATTAAACTATCTTTGATATAACATTTTCTTAATCTATGCAGGTGATCATGATTGCTGTGGAAGTCCGTGTGGACAGATTAAAATTCTCCTCCTCTGTCTTAATCCTTTTGGTCTCCAGAGTAGATAGAACCAAGTATAAAATTTTAACTGACAGATGTTTAAATCTAATTTGCAAGCAGTTCAAGTCAACTGAGTCATTGTAAAGAGTACAAAATGATTAAGTAGCCCTTTCCTTTTATACTTTATCTCTTGCTTAGGAAAGCCGTTGAATGTCTCACAGATTGCTTATGACAGTGGTTTGAAATTCAGTGGTTAATAGGATCAGTATGCATTGATATCAGAAAATTAATTTGTTAGGAATTTTTTTACCAGCTTTACTCTTAACATCTCCTCTATGCTAAAGGTGCTTTTTCCATTGCTGTTGTACTTCCTCACTTGAAGTGTCAAAAACAGTGGTTAAATTAGTACATTGGCTTTTTAATTTTTTCCTCTTACTTTTCTCTGTATCCTTTAAGGTAACCTTCCTTAAACTTCACTCTTTATACCATGATCGACATAGCTATGATTGAGTTTTCTGGATCCTTAGTTAACTGTCAGAAAGTATTTCCCTATTTTCATTGAGTGTTGGAAGAGTTTTCAGAACAAAATAAGTCAACATGCTGCAATTACTAAGGGATTGAATATTTCATTTATATGTAGAGAATTCTTAGTAGGTTCCTTAAGGACAGAATGATATTTTAATCTGTTCAAAACCATTTGAAATCATTTGGCAAAAGATCAACTGTTTAACTAAAATGTATAATTTTGGTGATATTTGTGTAATTATATATTGAGGCTGCAATTACAATGCCATTTTTGCATTGTATTGTTTCAAGGGTTGGTCAGAACTTTACCATTCACAAAATCTCAAGGATTCTACCAGAAATTTTAGGAATTGAACCCATTTGTTACTTTTGCACCTTGCATTTTATATTTTTTTAATTGTTTTCTCAGACTGGCACTTTCACACCAGGAAATTTAGACATATAGTTTAAGTGTTAATTTTGTTTCTCTATTGGGGCCAAGTGGTAAACTATGGATGGTTCAAAAGAATCATCTACTAAGGGAGAAATGACAGGTCAATTCTTCCTCTCTTTACCAATGAAGTGTGGGGGAAGCAGTTTTCTTGAAACATGAGCCAATCATTTCAGGTGACAAAGGTTAAACTCCTTTATGTATTTAGAAAGTTTCTTGTTACAAAGGTAACTGAGAGCTACTAAGAGTTACCTGTGGAACTTACCCGACTTCAGAAGCTTTCTAGATAAATATGCTGATGTCAAACCAAAATCTAGTTAAGATGGCGCTAAGGTGGTAGTTTTAGATATAATTAATTTAAATTTCAGTTATAAACAATAGTGGAGTTGAGGTCTTTTCTAGATCTTACTATAGCATCAGTGTTTCCTTATAGCTGTCTGTATTTCTATTTTTTTAAAATTGATTGCTCCAAACGGCATTTCAATATTTGGAAGTTAAGATGAACGAGTTGTCTATTTTTAATTAATTATTTATTTGCTGTACCATGATTCAAGGCGGGATTCTATGGAGAGTCTTGCCATAGCGTACTGAAGGTACTGTAGTATTACCAATAGGATCCTTTGCATTATCGTTATGATAAAGATATTATAGGGAACTCCCGTGTAACATGCGTAATAAAGGATATAATCTTACGCTTTCAGCTTGGTTTGATTGTACAGAATTTTTCTTCAGCTAATGTTTTGTTTAAAATGAGAGGCTGCAAGAATAAATAATTTCTGTTCCTGTATGTACAAGTGTTGATTGGATCAGGTCCATGAATTACACCGTGATATATGAATATTTTTAGACACGCTGTTGTGATGATACACGAATTTTAATCTCACCGCGTGTGTTACTAAGGTCCACACAGAGATCACATGAAGGGTGATCATATCAGGGTACGAAGTACAAAGAGACACAAAAACAAGTCGTTGCCGCTAAAATCGGGGCTGTCTCAAAACGATGATTAGTAAGAACCTTTGCTTTTTCCAACCTCGTTCCCAGGGTCTCTCATCTTCCCGCCCCCTGGAGCGATAAAAATTATATATAACTGGTAAATCTTCGAAAACAACTTCAAACGTGGGTGCATGCAATTAGCAATATCGGATCCGCCCCCTCCCTAGAAAGTAAGTTGTGTGCATTTATTATTATCTTATTATACTGTGAAGTTAGCATTCAGTGTTAGATCAGTAATAAATCGCGAAAAATTGGACTGAAGATTCAGTGCAGAAGCAGTCCCATGAAAGCGAGAGGAAAACTAAGGGTAGGATACACCTCACCCCTCCCCTACAATAGAGAGAACAATTTGGCCGTGTAGTCCCGGGAGGGTTAGGAACTTTCTGGGAAATGTTAGCGAGAAAAACATTGCAAGTGCTTCATTGGCCATTTGTTCTGGGTGAGTGTAGTTTTTTCCTCAGTTAACTGCACACAGGTAAGGAAATTACATAAAAATTAAGGTAATGAAGGTAGTGACTCACTAACCATCTTTTCAGCGAGTATATTAGCTTAAGGAGACTTTGTACTTCTTCGCACACTACTTCTTACAAAGGTGCTAAATTTTTTTCCCGTCGTTCATAATAGATTTTCATGTGAGATATATATCAAACACATTTAGACCTCGTAGTTCAATTTTATCTGTGCGATTTTTATCGAAACTCGATCACGTCTCTCGCTATAAACCACTCGCTCAGTCACGAGGGTTTTCAAAGGGCTGAAAATATTGCCATTGTCTCGAACATCCAGACTGAATATAATTTGTTTTGTACCTAGGTGAACAGCTATAACGATCATTTTCATCATACCTATTATTATCATCAGTCTTGACTCGCGCACAGTCTGTGACCGTCATATTTCAAAATGACGGACGAAACAGACTCGGGGTTTAGGCCTAATCTCACAAACACTACAAAGGAGAAGCTAGTGGAGGTCATGAAAAGTAGGGGAGTTGCAGCCGCTGCTGTTATTGAAGAAAAGTTTGGAGATGTTAAGCACTTGACACACAAGCTTCAAACCTCGATGAACAGGGGAATAATTGGAATACACGAGGATGTGATGCACAGGCGAGCAGAGTTTGGAAACAACTTTATGCCTCTGGAACCTACTAGACCTCCTTTACAATATCTTTTTTGTGCTTTGAAGGACAGGGTGATGCTGATTTTGTTTATAGGAGCTTTGCTCTCTGTAATTCTGGGGGCTGTCTTTCCTGAAAGATGTGAAGGTCGGAATGGTTTGGCTGTAGCAATGTACGAGGGTATCGGAATCATGAGTACCGTAATGATAATGATTATGTTGGTGGCTTTTAGTGACTATCTTAAAGAAAGTCATTTCCACAGTTTGCAGTCCAAGATCAACAGAGAACGTAAAGTTAAGATTATCCGAGGAGGTATTGTATTAGATCTTCTTGCTTCAGAGGTGGTTGTGGGTGATCTGTGCCTGTTGAATAAAGGAACTCTTATCCCAGCTGATGGAGTGGTTGTTCAGGAAAATGATCTTCTTGTCAATGAATCAACTTTGACAGGCGAGAAGAGTATGGTCTCCAAAGCAATAGACCCCCTGGTATTTGCTGGCACCCATGTTGTTAATGGAAGTGGCAAAATGATTGTGTTGGTTGTTGGTCCCAATACCCAGATCTACAAGAGCAATAATCAGTCTGCTACATCACCCACTGCTATTACATTTAAGGCAGTTTTCCCCAATGAAGCAGTTTTGAATATCAATTCAGTTTCTTTTGACCACAAGGAAGATAATGCCATGCTTCAACAAAAAGTTAATAGGGTTGCAGTTGCTCTTGGTCATATTGGCATCATCCTGGCAGTAGTTGCCATCTTAGTTATAGTCATCCGCTTTAGTGTGCACACTTTCTCTACACAAGGACAGTCCTTTGAGCCTGGTCTCATTAATGAATACATCAAGTCCCTAATCATTGGTGTTGTTGTGCTTATCATTGCTGTCCCAGAAGCCCTCTCTCTAGTGGTGTCATCCTGTCTGGCATTCTGTGTCAAGGAGATGTACAATGACAAAGCATTGGTGCGACATGTAAACATGATAGAAACAATGGGAAATATTACAAACATCTGCTGTAACAAGACAGGGGTTCTTACCCAGAATCGCATGGTAGTACAAAAGAGCTACATTGGAGAACAAGTCTATCTTTTTCAGGAGGACTTACGAGGGTTCAGAAGCAACATCCCAAAAAACCTGTTTGAAGATCTGTGCAAGGCAATATCCATCAACACAAGTTATTCAGCACAGATCCTGGTTTGTATATAATTATTTCTAGGTGCAGTGACATCTTTTTGTCTGTCAAACCTTTTATTTGTATTGGTATATGGTTAAATATATTAGATTTCGTAAGGGATGTGAATGTGCTCCTAGAGGTTTTTCATTGATCCAATCTCAGAATAACTCAAAGACTAATCACATACATATAATGTTATGAAGCTTCGTGAAACAAAACAAAGACAGGTCCAACAAAATAGGAATGGCACAGAGAAAAAAAATGCTCACCAATAACTTATGAAATTTGTTTTACTAATTAAAACCACTTTGTCCATGGTAGCCTTGTTTTTTCAAAACATGTCAGTAGTTAAGAACTCCAAAAGACAATCATTTATTTGACTTGATGCTTCGGAAAATTTCCACAAATAGAACCTGTTTTGTCTTTGATTCAAATGTGGGTTAGAAAGTGAAATAATGAAATATCTCAGAAATACATGGCACAAACAATTACGTATTATCAGTCTATCAATTTAGCTCAATAGAATTCCACAATGTTATTGCTATGTTAATAACTTAAGTTTATTGCTCCTGACAAATATATACAGCAATGAATTACTATTACCTGAGGAGAGTAGTTGGTCAGAATTGAAGTCCTCTACTCAGATATGGTTGAAAACTGTTTTCATCTTTAAAAATTTAATTTTTTAATGATTTTGCAATAAAATATATTGTTTGGTCTAAGACTATAAGTAAGACACACTGATCACAATTATGAAGTATGGAATTCTTTTTGAGGAAACAAATTAAAGATAACATTTATAAAAATTGAGAAATTGCCTGTAAACAAATTTAAAGTTCCAGGCAAAATACATTTACTCCTGATTGTTAATTTTGAAAGTGGTCTAGAGTCATCTGAATTTTAGCAGGTGAGCTTTTAATTGATAATCAGTGTCAAGGTAAACAAGTGTCTGAACTTTCATTTGCCAGTTTTCACTCTGTTTTGAAGAGTGGGATGTGGAGATCAACTACTCAATTCTCCAATATGAGAAGGATTATTGGGTTCAGAATTTATGAATTGCAAGCACACAACAGTACACTTCACAATGCAAACTCTGTTTGGACTCACCAACAAAGAGCCTTTCTTTGACTTTAGCTCCAACCAGTTATAGATGGTTCTGTATTAGCTTAAATTGAAAAGGTATCACATGCCTCAAGATCTTAAGGAAGGGTTGGCTAATATACAATAACATATTTTGTTTCTTGAGAGATATAAAATGGATTTTACATTGTTTAAAAGTATACATGAATCTTAAACTGTGCCCTCTTATCCTTTTGCCTGTAGGAGGGAGGAAAGGACAACATTCCTAAGCAGAGTGGTGACAGGATTGACGCTGCACTGTTGCAGTTTCTGTTCCAGTTTGGAGAGTACTACCAGTCCTGGAGAGATGACTATCCTGAGAGCAAGTTAATTAAGGTTTTTGAGTTCACACCTGACCGCAAATGTATGAGTACTATTATCAGTGGTAATCAAGGAGGCTATCAGCTTTATTCCAAGGGAGCTGCTGAGGTGCTGCTTGAACATTGCACTCATATTGTTGGAATCAATGGGGACCTGAAAGAATTAACCAAGGAAAGTGTGGAAAATCTATCAAGAGATGTGATTGACCCTTGGCAGCAAGAGGGCTTGCGTATTCTTTGTCTAACAACAAAAAGTATATCTCCTGAAGGTAAAATTATTAAGTTTTTTTAGCCTAACTTACTTATATATCCACACTTATTCATGTATCTTTTATTTATATTTGTTGGATAATGCACATCCTTGCTCTGTGATACATTTAGATTTAAATTGTACAGAATGTTGGCTGAGGAAGATGACATGGTTCACCACAGTATTTTGGGCAAGCGATTTACAGAAAGGGTCACATTGGAAATTGTGGTCAACAAGATGACATTTTGTGTAAATTAAAGAAACTTAAAGCTGTTATGTTTTCATTGAAAATAGGCAAGTTATTGAAATATGTTTTCCCGTAAAAACAATATAATTTTTTGTGGCTACTGGCTCCTATAGGAGGCAAAGCCACATATGTCATTGAGGTGAGTGAGGGAGTGAGTGGTGGTAAAATAGAATTCTGATCTTGACCCAATTTTGAGCTGATTGTTTCCCAGGGCTACTTATTGTTTGTTTCAGAGTATCTAAGTAGTTTGACATTTTCACTCCAATCCACAGCTGAATTCTCTCCTTTTGTGATTTCTGGGTTATAGCAACTAACACATTATGTTATCATCCTTATTCTTAACTCAACCACTACTTATTTTAAAAACAACTCACAACTCACAAAAGAGTTATCCAGTAACACTTTTTGTGAGTGCTTTCAGTTTTTTTAAATTCTCTAAAGTTTCAACAAAACATTTGAACAAGGTAACTTCTACTGAATTTTAGAGAGCTTTAACTTCACTGACCTCTACAGAAACAGTCCTTGCTTTCAACTAGTTTCTTTTGCTTTCTTTGTTTGAGTATAGTAGTTGTCATCTGTCTGTCTCTGAAAGATGACGGGGTAGTGTCGGTTGAATTTTTTTTGGCATCTTTGCGAGTGGGTGTGGAATCCAACATACGAATGGCACTCCCTGATGCAGGTGTTGCCTGTAAAAACAGACGCGTGCCAAGGCTGCTGACAAAATTCTTTCTCCCTCATCTATTTTCAATGAGATGTTCAGTCCTTGTCTTCTCAGCTTCATGTATACCCCTGCGACAGTGATACACCAAGTGGAAAGATCTTCTGCACTTGTTTCCCACATGTCTGTGTTGATGTTGCAGGCTTTCAAGTCTCGTTTGCACACATCTTTGTAGCGTAGGCATGGGCACCCTGTCAGTCTTGAGCCTTCTACTAGCTCACCATACAAAAGATCCTTGGAGATGGGGCCTGGGTTTGCAAAGGATGAAGTACATGCCATTCCCATTGGCACGTTCTTGGACTTCTGTGTTTGACACTTTGTCCTACCACTTGATGCACAAGATATGTAGCAGGCATCTCAGGTGGAATGTGTTGAGTTTCCTATCATGCCTTGCATAAGTGGTCCAGGCTTCACTGCTGTAGAGGAGAGTGCTGAGTACACAGGCCTGGTACACACACAGTTTGGTCTTCGGAGTGAGACTTGGATTGTTCCAGACCCTCCTCTTCTTTGTTTGAGTAATACCCCAAATTAAACATCTTCAGTCTGGCTAAATAATACACATTTGAAAAAGAAGGAAATATTTTGAAATTTTTCCTCTTCATTTTATTTTTCTTTTTATCGGGCACAAATGTATTAAAGAAAGTGTTCAAAACAGTGGAGACTAATGAATGTGTCAGCATTAATTTGTTGGCTTGAAATAACATTTGTTTCAATCAGTAGCAGACCAGTGATAGATCACATATTTTGAAAGTTAGTATACAACCAATGCCTAATTTTAGGCTCTTGTTTCATTCAAGGAGTCTTGTTTGGTATATTTGTAAGTATTTTTCTATGTTAAAATTGCAAGTTTCAGCAAATTGTGAAAAGGGACATTTTTTACTGGATGTAGATAAAGTGTTGAATTTTAAAGAGCATGAGGAACAGCTTGAAATAATATTTTAAGCAGAATTTTGATTTAGACCAGGAGAATATTTTAATTTGGTTCAGACATTTAGTAAAAGGTACCAAAATATGGGATCAAGAGTTATCAAGGGGCAGTTTCCTAAGAGGTCTGACCAAAGATCAAAGAATTAGATTTAAATATATTTAGCATCTTTTGCTACTGGCTTTGAGTCACACATAAAAGGTTAGACAATCTAAGAAATGTTCAAGAACAATTTTTGTAAGTTCTTAGCTCAAATGCTGCAATTTGAAGTCATCAGTCTGACCAGTCATCAGTCTGACCAGTCATCAGTCTGACCAGTCATCAGTCTGACCAGTCATCAGTCTGACCAGTCATCAGTCTGACCAGTCATCAATCTGACCAGTCATCAGTCTGACCACTTTGTTGAACTTATAATTAGTTACAACTTCTGTTCTTTGTTAATATGTAAAATGTTTTTTACCATTTCACTCAAAGACAGTATCAGTGGTGTAGAGTTTCAGTTTCAATAACTGACAAACTATATTTCTTTTTCCAAGATGGTGAGGGTCTATTGAAGAAAAGAGAAAGTGAAATTCTGTCAGGCTTGACACTCCAGGGGATTGTTGGCATTGAAGATCCAGTGAGAGAACAGGTTTGGTGGTCATCAGCAGATGCTTTGTGCTATTTTGCTGTTTAATCTGCATTTACTTTTGCAGCCATGAAACTGTAATAATTGTTCATTTTGTCCTAAAACTAATAGTACTTCAGAGTTTTTTCACCTATAGTGTAGTATTTGCATTAAGTTAAGAGATATATTTTATTTAAGGTAGTTGGTTCAAAAAATTTTTTGTGACGTCAATTTGTTTTCAAATATAATATCTTTATTCCAAGGTGCCATATGCAATAGGGCAATGTCAGAGAGCTGGTATAACTGTGCGTATGGTGACTGGTGATAATAATATCACTGCTACATCTATAGCTGTTAAATGTGGTATCATCAATAAATCTGATGAAGAGAGTCTTGTGTATAATGGGAAAGAGTTCAACTCATACATCCACGACCCTGACAAAAAGGTAATTGGTTTTGAAAGCATTGGATTGTAATGTGCAACTGAAAAGCTGCTAGTAACAGGAGCGATAGAAGGTTTTCCAATTATTTGTCTTTCTTCACAAGTTTTGAAAAAGGGCCTAATTTTGACTTAACTTACCTTTGTTAAGTACAGTTACATGGTTGAGAATTTTAATTTTTCATGGTGTATGAATGTAATTAGAGGCAGCCTGGCTTGGTTTGCCAAAAGGCAACCAACACTGGAATGCAATTGGTGCATGATTAAGCTCAAAATTAATATATGACACATGAATTTCACTGAAAGCAGAAAGGCGAGGTAAGGTGAGACTTAAAGTTTTCCCTTTAAATTTGCGATACATGAAATACTGTTTACAGTACACATGATGCATGAATTTGCTTAGGGCTAGGGTTAGGGTTCCCTTCAAAATTTTTTCATGAGACCCTCTTTGCCACCATTAAGGCATACTACTGTTCCACATGTTCTGGTGAAGTTGCATGCAACATAATTGTACTGGTCCAAAGGACTGCAAAAGTATGTTGGAGTAGGCATTATGATAATGCAGAATTTAGAAACAACTAATTTGAGTTTTCATCTTCAGATTAACATTGACCGGTTTAATACCATGTTGCCCAAGCTATGTGTCCTGGCAAGAGCAACGCCCCTAGATAAGTACATTTTAGTGAAAGGAATAATGGAGAGTCATGTAAACCGTGCTGGGGAGATTGTGGCTGTGACTGGATCAGGAGCTAATGATGGGCCAGTCTTAAGAATGGCAGATGTTGGTTTCACTATGGTAAGAGTGCCAGGAATCTTTCTGTTTTACTGTATACATCACTGATTATTTTTATTAGTATCACTTACCTTACCATGTGAGTCACCTAACCTATTATTATCATTACGCATTTTAACTATCCACAAGTTATGGCTTTAGTTTGGAGCAGTCAACCATGTAATCTGATGAAATCAACATCTGTGTCTTAATAAGGCTTTCCTAGTTAATGGATGGGTTATCAGCCCTCTTGTTAGTCCCTAAATAAGAGAGCCAGTGGAGGTTTCCATCCACCAAATTCTTGCTGTGAGAATTGTCTCCCTAGGTTTGAAATGAAATTTGTAACACTTATTTGAAAATGTTTAACTAGTGAGCAGCCCTGCACAAACACAAATTGTTAACACTTGTTTTATTCTCCTACACATTTCATCTGACAAAAGCAAACTTTGTCAAGGATTCCTTTAAAGAAGTTAAAAAAATTTCAATTCATCTCAGAATTTGGCTGTTTTCAAAACAAGGAAAATAACATTTTCCACCTTTGAAATCAGCACTAACTAGTCTTACGCTAAGAGCTCACTAGATTTATGGTTTCTTCAAGTTCAACCCCAAGGCCACTGAATTCCCCTCTGACTTGCCTTCTCAATGTTGTGGTTGAATTAAAAAATGTAGTTTATGGCCATACATTAAAACATTGCCAGAAAATTAACAGGAGTGGGCAAGTGCTTACTTATCCTTTCCTTTTTCATAATTTCCATTTGCCATCACAGTCTTGGTATTCTAACAGTCATCTTTATGTTTCAGGGAGTGGCAGGAACAGACATTGCCAAGGAAGCCTCTGATGTTATCTTGTTAAATGATGACTTCAGCAGCATTGTGAATGCCATTAAGTGGGGACGTCATATCTACCACACTATCCTCAAATTCCTGCAATTTCATTTTACTGCCTGCTGGGTGGCTGTTATTGTGGTGATCTTTGGAGCAGGCTTTGTGGGGGTAAGTTTACTGTACTGTTCATGATAAAGAGGATTGCTCATCATGATTATCAATGAATAAATTCACCTTGGTGATTAATCATCTCTGCATTCCCCTTCTCAATGGAAGGGATTAAAAGGGTTTCAAACTTGCTTGCTCTTTGTTTTGGTATAAATATATTTTCTCAATGCCTTCTTGTAGTACTACTCGTCTCACGCCATTCTATATGTGAGGTGACCCAGGAGCTTCTTATTCCAGGTGCAAGTAATGGTGTTCTTTATGGCTCTGAAACTTAATCCTCTAACTGCCATGAGTGACCAAAACCAAATTTCTCCCTAAAATATCAATACAATATCAATCAGATAAGTTATGAGAGTATAGAAAAATACAAGTTTGGAGATAATTGGTAGATTCAATACTAGATTCTCTGAACTAACATTATAGGAATTGTATGGTTGACAGTAAGGAGAATACAAATTTTGATCAGGGAGCTAAAGGGTTAAGGACTGTAAAAAGTGATTGGTTGGTTTCAGAAACTGCTTTCTACTTTCCTTTTCAGCTAGGTGATAGCTTAGTATCACCAAGTATGAGGTTTTTTTTTTTTAACCCAATGACTTACTTTTTCAGAGGAGTCCACTGGTAGCTACACAGCTGCTTTGGATCAATCTGATAATGGACACACTGGCCTGCTTTGCCTTAACAAGAGACACTCCCATTGACAGACTCATGAATTACAAACCGTATGGTCGTCACAAACCGCTGATTTCTCGCACTTTGCTCCGCAATGTGATTGGTCACAGCATCTATCAGCTGGTTGTCATATTTTTATTGATCTTCAAAGGAAGTGACTGGTTTGACATTACAGATGGTTTCCATTCAGAGACGTTGTGCATGCCAACTCAACATGCCTCCATGGTGTTCACAACATTTGTGCTCATGCAGCTGTTTAATGAGATCAATGCTCGAATGCTGCAGGAAAGAAATGTCTTCCTTGGAATCTACAAGAACTTCGCTTTCCTCAACATATGGTTTGGACAGTTGGCAATGCAGGTAACTTTACAATTTTTGTAACTTTACTTTCATGACCTAGGTTTATCAGTCAAACTGTTACTTGTTACCTTCTCTTAAATAAAGTTAAATGTGATGATAATTATTACCTCAAGTTTTTGGTTATCAATATTATTGTTGTTGTTATTATTATTATTATTATTATTATTATTATTATTACTTTTGTGCAAAGAAATGAAAGCAGCCCTCAGCTCTATTCCAAAGTCTTTTTTCTTCTCATTGATTTTCTTTTCCAACAGATCGTAATAGTTGAGTTCTTCCACACAGCCTTTCATGTGGAAGGCATGGACCTGTATCAGTGGATGTGGTGCTTCTTTCTTGGCTTCTCAGAGCTCATCTGGGCTCAGATTATCTTTACCATTCCCAAGGATGTTCTTCCCGAAGCATTCCGCTGTATTGCTGTAGGTGCTCCAAAAGGCCGAGGCATTGCTTACTATAGGAGCAGCTCCCGTGTTGAACAGCAGGTATTAAGTCATGTGTTGTTACAAATGACATAAAGTGTTTTGTTTGGTAGAGGTCCGGGAGTAAAACCAACTTAATTGTCAGAATTGACTGGAAGAACTCATGTTTGATTTAGTTTATTTAAAGTTAAGCTAATTAGGTTTTTGTTTGTTTGTTATGTTTTGTTTTGTTTTGTTTTGTTTTTTTTGCCGTTCTCACTTTCTCTATATGAGGATTTTATATACGCCACCTCTGATCTACAGAGAGCTCGATAATAAGCAAAGTCCACCGAGATATACTAGGTTCATGTGTTACTTCATACTTCAAACAGCGGTAGTATCGAAAGCACTTATCAGATAAAGAAAAATGGCACAGAAATCGGAGGTGGGGGTACTTAGTTCGTAAGAAGGTTTTTCTGAAATCCATTCTGATGTAGGTTATCTTTTTAAGTATGAGGGGTTTATATGACTTGCAAGATTTTTTTACTTTCTTCGAGCATTCCATTAATCTCATAATAATAGTTTTTTTGTTCGAAAAGTGTGGTAGGGAACATCTGGCACTATCATGGTTCCGTCTTTGGATACTGGTGTTAATGTTGAATGTTTTACACTACAGGACAGTGGTATAGTCAACTCACTGTTGAGTCCAGTGGATGATTTTCTTGAGATTGTGGAAGAATGCCCGCCCATGGAATAGCTACCTTGCATCTACTCATGGAACAGAATGCTGTGTTTAGTATACGTGGAGTAAAGCTTGATAGTAGGGATATTAAAATTAAAGTAATTATAGAAAAAACCGATCAGGATTGGAGTTTGTTTAAATGGTGTGTGCCGCTGTTGTTTGATGGCGATGGTACATTGGTTACCGAGTCATCATGGTAACAAACATTCATTACCTAGAAAGACTGAAGTAAGCTGGCACCCCGTAAAAACTGTTGCAATAAAATTTTTTTTCTTGTATGTAGCCAAAGAGACATGAAATCAATGAGCTGATCAATCGATCAAAATTAATTGGCGAGCTTATCGTCCTTTTGCATGTTAGCTTTGTTTCCTTCGTAACTTTGTAAGTAGCCCTGACAGCTTTGGTGTGCTGTGGAAAAAAGGCTCGACTCCTACCCATCCCTAGGGCTTGAATAGAGAGAGGAAGGAAGAATGGTTTCTTCTCTTATTTTCCGCTTTCCTTTTTTCGACTACATAACATGCTGCTCCGACCCATTCCTATTTCAATCGAGCGTTAAACAAGATTCATAAGAAAAGAGTTGAGCTGTAGTTGATGACTTTTATTACAGATTTAGTAAACAACAGTTTTAGTAAACAACAGTTTTAAGAAGTTTTTCAACTAAGTACCTTTGAAGTTTAAAAATCGTGGTACGATTCAGATCCCAAAATTGTAAGTTTGTAGTATAGTACCATAAACGTCTTATCAATCTTATAGATGCCAAGCACCGTTGTTATACACACATTAAAAACAGTTACGTAATGTAATCAGCTTCTAAAGCTTACCAACTTTTAAGATGTACCGCATTTTCAGTATTTGAGGCCATATTTGCTTTGTTCAAGAAGGTCAACTTATTTATGTAACATGTAGAGTACATTGTGGGGTAAATTTTATAAGGCCAATAAAGACTTGACTGCTATGTTGAGAATTAAACTTCTCCAGTCAAAGATGCTGCTTCATGAAAATTAAACTGATGTAAGTTCCATGATGTATTTATCGAAGCATCTAAATAAACATCTGCATACTAACTTTGTGTAGCAAAGTCAGGGTTTTTCTATCCTTACTCTCCTTTGCGAAACTTTTTTTCGCTTTTCAAAACACCACGTTATCTACCAATCAAATCACCGATGAAAGGACATGTACGTCATTTTAATGCCAAGTATGAAAATAGCAGCAAAATGAATATAATGACAACTGCATTTTCTCAATTACCAATTATGAAGTAGATGATCGGACATTTAGTATTTAACCACTACGCTGTTATCTATATCTTTTTCTCACCTAAACTTCTGTTTTTCTGTCTCTGCCCCTGCCGAAAAATAATTGCGGTTTTGTTTACCACAAACAACCTTCGTCAGTGACCTTTCTAGAAGATAAACTTAACAAGTTTGTGATTGCCCTGAGGGCCCGTCACGGGCCTTTGCCGATACATGTTTTCGTCGGAGAGTTAGACGCTGTTCTCTTAATCTTCTTAGTTTCCCCTTTTTTTCCAAACGTCTTTGTTCCGAAGTTACAGCTTCGGAAGTCTTTACGTGGTTTCGGGATCACTTCCAAGTACTGAAACAGTAACTTACCAGGTATTCAGCTTCTTATCCCTTACTCGATTGAAGATATGTGGTTAACAATTCCATCGCAATTGTCTTTTGTTTTGTTTCGTTTTGCTTTGTTTTGTTTTGTTTTGTTTTGTTTTTTCTGGTTCCTTCGAAACGCATAAAAAAAAACCTCTAGTCGGCTACCGGTACTGCAGGCATTCACTGAAGGATTTCAACCAGCAATCAGGCTATCGACCAAAATATTTCAATGTGTAACAACCTTTAACCTACAAAGTACAATCTGAGGGGGGACACGATTACATAGCTCCGTTTCTGGATTTGCGTTGGAGATAGAAAATGAAGCTGTTACAGCACTAATTCACACTGTGATAATTTATCTGTTCCTTGAGCGAGAATTCAAGCTTCATCAAGTTGTTTTAAGTGTAGCTATTGTTTACCCGTATCGTAGAATTTATGACAATCAAAACGTTATTGTTGCGCTGCTATAGCGACAGTTCCCTTTGTTTTTCATTTGTCGTTCAAATGATTTGCTGGACCAATCGCGAGACATTTTTGCGTTCCTCTTCGTAAAAACAGCAGAGGCAAGGAGAAAGGGAAATTTGTAATTTACCTCGATTCCAAAGTTTCCTGCTTAATACTGTTTTATGAAAAAAACTTCGTAAGTTTTTTCGTGACACATGAAACTGCGAACGTCAGTAAGATTTAGTGGTTCGTGATTCCCGGATTACTCGTTAATTAAACAGAATTCCTTGCGGCGAGTTCGTAACATTTAATTTTTCGTCATCAGCACAACTCTGACAACTTTGTCCTACTCAGCACTCAGGCGGCAAAAACATGGCACTTGACAGTCCGAACTGCGCTCCGGATTTCCCCGATCATCAAGAGCTTAAACGCAATTTCGTCGATCTGATGGAAACTCGAGGGCGCACAGCAGTAGATCGTCTTGAACGAGAGCTTGGCGGTGTTAAAGCAATCGTGCGGAAGCTTCATTCTTCCACCAGAAAGGGTGTAATTGGTATTAAAGACGGGCTCGCGGGAAGAGAAGTTTTTGGAAGCAATCATATACCGGTTAAGCCGCCTCAGAGCTTTTTTCGATCGTTTATCTACTCGCTCACAGACTCGGTCTTGATTATTTTAGTACTGGGAGCCATTGCTGCTCTTATTCTTGGCTGGTATCATCCTGAAATCTGCGATGGAATAGAACAAACCAAAACAGCTTGGATGGAAGGCTGCGGAATTCTGGGCACTGTGGTAGTAATAATTTTTAGTTCAGCTCTGAGTGACTTCTTTCGAGACCGTGAGTTTTATAAGATGCAAGTTAGAATGGAGAACAGCCGAAAATGCACTGTCATAAGAAGCGGAAAAGAAATGACAATCTGTTGTAAGGATCTCAAAGTTGGTGATCTATGCGTTCTACAAGTCGGTTCAATTGTTCCAGCGGATGGTGTTCTCGTTCAGTCGAACGAGTTACTCACAAATGATAGTATTGTTGAAGGTGGACAGATAAAGGCTTCCAAAGGCGATGCAGACCCTTTAGTGTTCGCTGGAAGTTACGTGAGAGAAGGAAGTGGTAGATTTTTAGTCATTGCTGTCGGTAAGGACACTCAAGCTTGCAAAAATCAGGAGAATAAGCCAAAGGCTTCTAATCAAGAGTTTAACCCGGATGACGAACGCACAACCTTGCAGGGAAAGCTTAACAAGGCCTCGGCTGTCTTAGGTCTCACTGGCATCATTGTCGGTGCACTAGTGACGTTCATTATTATCATTAGATTTAGCTTTCAAACATACTCAGTTGATGGTAAAAGTTACGATGTTAGTCACTGGATTGAGTTCGTTCAAGCTATAATAATGGGAATAGTCATCATCATCATCGCTGAACCAGAAGCGCTGTCACTAGCTGTCACAATCACACTCTCCTACTGCATAGAGAAGATGCACTCGAGTCGAATATTGGTCCGCAATGTTGATGTGGTGGAAAAGATGGGGAACCTAACAACGATATGTTGTGGTAAAACAGGTGTGTTGACTGAACTGAGTGAGCTGACTGTCTCAGAGCAAGTAGTGGAGTGTTACATGGCCGACAAGAAATTCACTGGACATCCGCGTTTTTACGGCGACAAGTTGCCCACGAACGTACTTAAATCCTTGTGTGATGCGATATCAATCAACACCAGTTACTCCTCTAATATCACGGTGAGCTTAAAATAAATAATTAAACGCAGAAACCATTGCGATTTCCATTTACTGATGTTAGAATGTAAAGTAGGTCAAGGACCGGTCCAGAGATACTGTTATTCACAAGATGTTAATCCTGAAAAATAACCTACTTAAGCTATTCATTGTTCCTTAGGCTGAGTTAGGATAATAACAATTGGCGCATTTGTAAAATGGTATTCAAATGCGCTTTCAGCCGTGACGTAATTACGATCATTCAAAACAAAAAGTCCGCAGTGGATCATGACGTATTTGTTGTTATAAATGCTGAAATTTTAAAAAAACCCAATAGATTACGTCTCTAATTTCAAATGCTCGTGGAATAACCATGGTTGAGCTGTAGTTTCTTTCATGCAAATTTCTGGCTCGTAATACACCACTCCTTCGGTTGTTTGTCGCAGAACTTTCCAGTCCGACAGCTAAATCAGTACATGATGTTAAACTTAAGACTGAAAAATCGATTAATGATGGCATGAACAAAACAACTCAGAGTAAAACTTGGCCTTTGTTTCCTTCGTAAATAATGTCATTCTCGGCATTCAGATAAAGTTCATTTGGTCAACTTTTTTTTCATGGTTGACCCCACCCAGTCAAAGTACTGACTCGTGCGATGTGTTCAGTCGTCAGGCCCTGAATGTCTCCCAAAACAAACCGGTGACAGGACAGAATGTGGTCTTCTCCAGTTTGTGCTTGATTTAGGCGTCTACTACCCGTTCATAAGGAAAGAACATCCAGAGGAAACATTTGTTAAGGTGTTTGGATTCTCTCCAGAACGTAGATTTATGAGCACAGTCATTAGAGATGGAAATGAGTATAAAATTTATATCAAAGGAGCACCCGAGGCCATTCTTCCAAGGTGCACGGGGATTTTTAAGGAAGGAGGAAAGGTTGCTATGTTTACTCTCGAGGATAGAGGCGAGATAGACCGAGTCATTAAAAACATGCAAGAGAGCAGTCATTTAAAAGTGATGTGCATTGCTCAAAGACCTCTATACCCCTCAGGTGAGTTGTGCCAAGTCACATTTTTTATGATTGGCAGTGGTGTCATTAGTTTACCCGTAAACATTTCTCATAAAAAGAGAATATGTATGAAATTCACATGAATTTCATCACAGAATAAAGATCTTTACCACATTTTCCGTACATGAATTTCTGGAAAAATAAAACGCACTTTGACGACTTGGACCCACTCTCAGCTGACTGAGTGTATTTATCTTATCGACACTGATTTGGTCTTAAGTGTTTATACAGCGGTTGTTACATGGCAGACGCTAAGACTTTTTATTGTTATTATTACTATTGCTGGCCGAAGCGGGAGAGCCACAGTGGGAAAGAGAAGAGGAAATAATATCAGAGATGACGTTGATTGGACTTGTAGGTATCGACACAGTGGATGAGTACGTAAGTACCTCTAGCTGTTAGCCATAGCTTACTTAAATTACGCTAGATAGGAGATTTTTAAGGACTGGTCTTCGTTATTTCTATGCTTTAGATATTTCCATGCACTTATTTAGTACAGCCATGAGGTTCAAGTGTGTTTATTTACATCTGTGAAATAATGTACCCAGAACTTGAAGAAATCTGCTTGTTTGAGTATCTGAGTTCAACGCGGGAGCATAGACATTCCTGGCTGGAGTCAATTAGCCACGAGTAGCACAAGATTTTTCACCCTGAGGGCCAAACTAAGCCTGTTCTGTTACTTAACGATCAAATAGCCTAACAAAGCAACAGTTCGACCTTTATTGAATACGACAGTTTATTACTGCCTGTCTATCAGATCAGCTAAAAGTCTAAAAAAAATTATTATCAGACGGACCAACACGCCACCCCTTTCCCCCTCCTCCCTTCCTGTGCAAACATTTACGTCAATTCGTTTTGGAAGGGACGATAAAAACATGTCCTTTAAAGTTAGTTCTGACTTTTTACGCTCTGACGCTCCTCAGGCTTCTTTTCAAAATTATAGTTCCTCTGTAAATATCGTTACGTTGCTTATAAAGATCTATCGAATTGTATGGGTTCAGCTAACGAGTAATAGAACGTGGATTCTTTCAAATAAGTCTATGGAAAGCTTCCATAAGAATATTGTAAAATGTTCCACACTTGTTTTTAAATTTACTTTAACAATTATCTTTAGGTGACTGTTGAAAGTAGAAAAAGAGCAATGGAAGGGAAATTAGGTGGCAAGACATTTCGAAGGTTTCAGGACCTGAAGAAATTTAAAGATGACAACTTCAAACATCCAGATTTTCCCGAGGAGATCTGCCGAGGAATCGCTGTTAGTACAAAATACTCATCAAATATTGAGGTAAAGTGGGGAAAGCTCAGAAATGCCGACTTTACATACAAAACTATGCAAACAAAAGTACATTCACGCCCATGGGAAGAACTGTGGGTTACTTTTTGATTGGTGAGCACACCGACATATTTTTTTCCAAAATTTTCACAATTTTTTCCGTAAAAATTTTTACAAGTTAAAAGTTTATTCCTGCAATGCGAACGTTCATAGTAGGCATTCCTTTTCCAGTGCTTCTTTTCCTTTACCCTCCCTGGTCCTTCAGGATTTTCACCTTCCCTATTTTCTCACCGTGTACTCCCATCATACAGACCCCAAAGAGACTGATCTGACAAGATCCGACATATTCACTGATGTAAACGCTCAATACCTTTAATCTTCGTTTTCAGGATGAAGACGATGACAACCTTCCTAAACACATTGGCGACAGCAATGATAGCGCTCTTCTACAGCTTGTCCTTGAAATGGGTGAGACCTATCAGATCTGGAGAGATGAATATCCTGAGGATATGCTCGTGCATAGACGTGCTAGTCCTAGAGAAGCACCTTCAAGTCTTCAGCACACTGCTGTTGTTATTCACATGAGGGACAGTGGCAGTGGAGGATACAAGCTGTACTGCAAGGGGGCTCCTGGGTATGTGCTGCCCCGCTGCACCCAAATGGCACTTCCGACACTTGAGAATATTGCATTCGACGATCAGGACAAAAGGAACATATGGCACGAAATCGATAATCTGCAAACAAGAAAACAATTTGAAGTTATATGTTTAGCGTTGAAATACTTTCCAGGTAAGTTGATTGCCCGTGGTCCTTCGAGACAGTTGCTTGGATGAAACCTCTTCTGTAAAAAGGAAAAAACACGGATGGTGAGTCTGAAGTTTAGAGTAGAAAAGCTCAACCATCTTAATTCTACAGCTCTCTCATTTCATTGTTCTGAGGTTCGGTAGGAAGAGTCTTATAAAGTCTTGCGCACTGACACTTAAGGGCATTTTTTAAGAACAATAGAAAATAATGGGACAAGTTTGTCCTTTTTTTCTCTTGATATGAATCATGGAAAATACCTCATATACCTTTTAAAATGTCACATTTTTCTTCTCGTAGAAAACTATGACTGGGACAACGATGACTCCATGTCAAACCTTACGTTCCTGGGTTATATTGGCATTGACGAAAATGTCCGAACACGGGTAACTAAAAAAAACCTACCGTAAGATGGTTCAACACAATGTGATATTTGAGTTAAGATATCTTGAATTATCATGTTTTATAACACAGCAAAGCGTAGCAAACGATTAATTGGTGAAGTGAGACAGACGCACGATTAGAGGCGACGAAAAATTTAAGAGAAAGACAAATTTACACATATTTAAATCAAATAAAATTCTTCTTGAGGTACTAGTTAAAACTATTCTAGTTATCGACAAAAATCTTACTTGTCATGAAGCGGCGGAAACTTGGTAGACTACGAAACTCCCGGCTTTACAGCCTTTTGTATGTCTCTGTCTCGGGGCTTTATAGGTGTGTACGTCTTACTAGCCGAGCATGAAAGCTGTACTGGAAAATTCTAGCCTAAGGTCGTGGCAGTACAGACCGAGCGCGTTAAGATCCGTGCAAAAATAGTCGAGGGCCAAGATTCCCCAGTACGGCTCAAACAAGCGAGTTTAATAAACAGTTAATTGTATGGCACACGGATCAAACTCGTTTACTTTAAAGATGCCGCCTTTCGCAACCTATAATACACGGCTTTAGACTGTTTCCGTGGAAACAATCTGTACGGCAAAATACGGAGCAAGTCAGAGCCAGAGCGTTTGAATTTACCTCAGGACTACCTTGTCATATAATAATGAGATATTATTCCTAAATCATTTTGCTCTGATGTAGGTACCGGATGCCATATGGGATCTCCACCAATCAGGTATTAAAGTGTGCATGGTGACAGGGGACAACTTGAGTGCTGCAGGAAGATTCGGCTCAAAGAGCGGAATCCTATCACCATCTAGGGATTGGCCTCTCAAAGAATTTTCCTATTTTGGATGCGACAGCAAAGTTTTCAGCAGCGTGAGTAGGCATATATTACATAAATATTTCATATAATTAAGCGGTTTACTGAAAGTCGTTGACATAACTTGATTGGTTGGACCAAATGATACCTCATCAGCTAAATACTACCCTGAAAGATTGTTTTTCCACAAAACTCACTAAACAAACAGACTGGCGAGGAATGATGAATGATCAGCCCAAGATACGTGTTAAGGCAGATCATTGTGATCCACATGAAAAAAGGATGACTGTGGATTCACGAATCGAATGTTTTTGGTAAACAAACAGATTCAGTGAGTATGCGTGAATGAACATTATTTTGGTTCATCTGAATATGCAACTCTAGGAATTGTAAAAAAAACTTCATTAACGTCATGAAATAGGTTGTTGTTCATCGTGGTAGCTGGATGATAATAAATTTGTTCCGTTGCCTCACGATAAAGTCACTAGATGTAGATCGCGACGTTTCGACAGCTTACTGCAAGTCTTCTTTAGGCGATGGGGTCGACTGGTTCCGGCACAGCAATATGTATTACGGTAGTCTGCTGCGATTGACCGAGACAACCATTGGTACACAAGGAAAGTGAAAGAGGCAATTCACATAAGACTTAACCCAAACAACATAAACAGGGACAACGGAGCCGAAATACCGCAAGCGTGGATGCCGACAATTAGAAACTGAAACATCAAAGCCGGCGATGCACGGCAAATCAGCTAACGCCTGAGGAAACCATGTTACACGGAAACAATAACCGGATCGAAATGCACCAGTCGACCCCATCGCCTGAAGAAGGCTTGCATTAATAATAACAATGACTTTATTGGATAACACAATTACTGGTGACTTTGTCGTGAGACAACAGAAAAAATTTATATTATCAACTTCATTAACATAATTCAACCTGATCTCGTTCAAATCAACAATCATAGAATTTTTTCTCACACAGTCCATTCTTAGTTAAGTCAATTTGTATCGTGCACAGATCACTAAAGAAAAGTTCGACGAATGGTGGCCAAACGAACTTCGTATCCTGGCCTCTGCTGGAGCGGCAGACAGACTAAAATTCGTCGAGCACATTCGGAGGAGCCAGTCTTCTCCACATGGTGAGATAGTGGCTGTGACTGCTTCTGGAGTGAATGATGACAAAGTATTGAGGAGTGCTGACGTAGGACTCACCATGGTAACTATGGCAATCAACTATAACAACTTGGAACCCAGATTCCTTGGATAAACACGCAGGCTTTTTAGTTAATTCTATTTTTTGCATTACGTCCGTAAGTATGGTACAAACACATCTTAAATTGTTTTTGAGTGAATCCGTCAAGTTCGGACAGTTGTACTGAAACAACTGCTGTAAAGCTTTACATCTAAACTACAATAAACTAATTATTGTTTAAATAAACATTTTTAGTCCAAAGGCAGGTAGTAAATATTTATTTCGTCGCGAATATAGAAAGGCTGACGCTTCGAAAAACTTTTGTTTAGTTTTTGTGTCTAATTAATCTTGATCTAGTTGCTGCGTGCGCTCCTGGCGTACACCATCCGGATGATAATCAGCCATGCTGGTTTGGCTAACAACCTTCTCTGGTACATTTTTTACTTTGAAACTGTATGTCAGGAGCCAGCCTTCATTAATAAACAACTTAAGAATTGATTTGTTTCCACAGGGCGTGTCTGGAACAGACGTTGCGAAGGAATCCGCTGATATTGTGTTAGAAAATGACGACTTCACCAGCATTGTTGAGGCAGTCAAATGGGGACGTAACTTGTACGAGACCATTCTCAAGTTCCTCCAGTTTCAGTTGACCGTCGCGTGGGTTGCCATCATCGTTGTGATTGTTGGAGCGTGTGTCACAAAGGTTAGGTCATTAATTCAGTTGTTCTAATAAGGAGAATTTGCAATATGTAGATAGCCTGGGCCTAAGGCCGATACAAATTTCTTGCCACTTTCATGAGGATTAAAGAATTGGAATATTTAACAGGCCCATTACACTAAACATTGCGGGGCACGACAAAGTAAACTACCAAACAAAATTGATTATTTGCACCTAATTCATTCGTTTAGTTCTTCGCATGAGAAGAACAGCGTTTAAAGCTGGACCAATGAAGTCTTTGGTCAAAATTTTGACAAACGCTGCCAAAGTTGATTACAGCTCTAGTGTCAGTGTCGGAATTGCAACAATGCAAACAGTTTCAAAGGTAAAACCCGAAAAAATATAGAAAAACGAGTTAGGCAACATATCGTAATCTCGCTTTCTTCACAGGACTTGAGATTCATATCGATGACCCATTGGTTTTGTTACCTTTTTGGTCGGTTTTGTTTGAGAAAAGTCTTTAAAAGTTGTTGCCTATTTTTTTATCTCACAGCGAAGTCCTCTGTCAGCCACTCAGCTGCTATGGATAAACCTTATCATGGATTCACTGGCATCGTTCGCTCTTACTCGTGATCAGCCATCGGACGACATATTCAAACACAAGCCTTACGGTCGAAGCAAGCCTCTTATATCCCGCGCTTTGCTGAGGAACGTGATCGGTCATTCTATATACCAACTGGCCGTTATGTTCTTGTTAATGTTTGTTTTTCCTGATTTCCTGGACATGAGAAATGGATACGAGGAATCCAGTGTGTGCCGACCAACTCAGCACAAGACCATGGTTTTCACGACCTTCGTTTTCATGCAACTTTTTAATGAAATTAACTGCAGGCGGTTACAGGACAGGAACGTGTTTTCTGGATTGTTATATGGCAAGCTCAGAGATATCAACTTTGTTTTTATCATAGTCTGGATTGCTTCTATGGGAATTCAGGTAAGCTCAAATTGCTACTTATTTTCACAACTTATTTTTGTCTTGCTATGCAGTGTGGGATTATCATTATCAGTATGGCTTACCTTTCGTTGCTAGTGAACTTTTAATTTCTCAACCATTATACTTAGACTAGCAACTGAGAAATCGGCTAATTCCCGAGCCCTATTGCAAAGAGAAGACGTTATTATAAATTGCTGTACATTTTTGTTTTTAATATGTTAATAATAACTGCTCATGGCATACGGACCGAGTGTAGGAGGTCCCAATGTGAAAGAACGGAAGAACGAAAACTTTCACTCTCTGGCCCGACCAGACTCTGTCTGGTATTTTACCATATGACCACCAAGTCTTAAGAAAGTTGGAAATTAAGACTGATTCTAAAGAGACAGCAGTTTAAGCCTAGTCAAACGCACGCAACATCTGTAATGTTGTCGGATCGTGTTGAAAAGGAGCTGGCCAAACGCGCGCGACATCTTGCAACATCCAAAATGTTGCAATTAAAATTTGACCTTTTCAAAATTGATTCAACACCATCCAACATCTAACAACATCTTATAACACGTTGCTACAGGGTGACCAAACGTATGCAACACATTGCGTGCAACAATGTTGCAAGATGTTCGTTGAAATGTTACGTACATTTAGCCGGGCCTTAATTAAATACTTAAGAGGGGTGCGGTCGACAACTTCAAAACAAATTTTAGAGTAACGACATTCGCTTTATTTCTTTACGCCAGAACAAGGGACTCGCAGTTTATCAAAAAAACGACAGATTTTCAGTTCTGTTTTATTTTAAGTTTGCGACCACAATTTTCCAAAGCAACAGAGCCGTACGAGTGCGGGGTAAGACGGCTTTTACCGGACAAGCTCATGTTCTGCTCATTCTTTTAGATCATTATCGTGCAATTCTTCACAAATGCATTTCGTGTGATTGATATGGAGTGGGACCAGTGGATGTGGAGCTTGTTTTTCGGCTTTTCTGAGCTGATCTGGGCCCAGCTTGTGTTCACTATTCCCAAAGAGATTATTCCTCGTCAGATTCGGTGCTGTGCGAATGGAATCACCAGAAACAGAGAAGGTTGCTGCGAGAAGCTGGCCCTGATGCGAGGCGTCTCTAAGGTTCGAAAACAGGTGAGGTTTGAATGACTAAGAATTGAGCAGGGGGCTATGGATGTAATCCAAAATCAAGGCTTTTGGGGAAAGTGTTGCTTTACCGTTGACTTCCCTGGTGAATTGATTGTTTTATCAGGTTTCTCCTTCTCCAATAATATGACGATGCTGTAGAAAAATTGCCTCCATTTGCCCTTAGACATTATTTGTTCTGAGGGGAAAGAAGTTTAACGAGAGTGAAGTTCGAGGAAAACTGTGAGCTTCTAGGAACAGATATTGTCAAATGACAAACATCCGCGCAAATATTCGCACCAAATAGAGGCTATGTTTATTATCCATGAGATATTTTTGCATCGCTCGGGACAAAGTGTTCACGAGCAGCCTACCTTTTTCTGTGTAGGATATTCACTTTTCACTATTCCTTGGTGCGAATTTACGAGCAAATAAATATGTCCGTTCTTCAGCTCTTTCATCTTGATTTACATTTTACATGAAAATCAGAGTGTTAGGAAGGGAATGTCACCGGTTATTCCCTTATTCCCAGTTTTAGCTGGGACATATTGGTCACGTGACGAATTTAGAGTAATTTCATGGGTGCAAAAACGTTACTAGATTATAAGATCTGATACATGGTCAAAGGCAACATTCGTATCTTGAGTTATCGTCATATTTTGTCAAAGCGAGAATGGCAAAGGTTCGATTCCATATGGGGACTCAGAATTTTTTCTTTGTACCACGCTCGTGACAAGACGAAAAACATCTTTCTCGAGAATGGCTATACCACTAATTTCACGGTAGAGGGTAAGTTGATCCACGAGGAACGTTCCTAAGTCCTCCTCAAATATCCTCCAAGAATATGGCGGAAATAGTAGCATGGTTAATAGTAAAATGGAGACATAGTACCATTAGATATTACAGCAGATTACCTTTTTCTTCTAACAACGAATTAACCTACAGTGTGGTAAGGTCCACTAGTAATGTGCTAGGTGTTGAATCACCATATTGTCATGGGGTATGTTTTGCAAGGTTTTTTTTCGTTTCAGAACCTGACGATGTACACATACGACAATAATGGGAGTGCAAGGTTTTTTGACAACGGGAGAGTGTCTCCTGCTACAGAGGAATACAGAATGACTACTATAAACTGAGAAAACAAGGAAAATTTAACATAATTCAGAATTTGTTTAACTGACCATTCATAATCTCGCAAACTAATACAGCCATGTGAAGCCTGGTTTACGCAAGTGAAATAACGATTCAGGACGTAATTCAGTTGGAAGTACCGCCATACAAGTGTCCAATAGGCGTGGGTTCGAATATCTTAAGGGCCTAAGTTTTATTCGGGCCTTTTTTTTTTTCTGGGGTCAACTTCCAGAATCATTTCGTTTACTTGAGAGTAACATAGCAAGTTCTTTTGTCATCATGTTTGTGGTGTGAACGGGTGAAACGAAGGATCGTGGTATCACCATCATGACATCAGTTGACATAATAATGGTTATGATCAGCATTTCATTATTGGGAACCAGGCCTTAATGGGTTATTGTATTTTGTATATATTTACCAGGACATTTGAGGCCAAGTTATTCATGGCAGATTTTGTTAATCAGCGGCTTACTCTTGAATGGGTCTAAATAACTAGACGATAGTCACATTTATCATAAAAATTACAATTTACTCGATTGTAATTGGTTTACAAAAATTATATTTTCTCCCAATTCACTTGCCAAGTTGTAATCGGACAGATCATTAATCCAATCACGTTAAAGTTGTAGCTTAAATAAGTTAATGGAAATTTTCCCTTTCTTTGGTAACTTGGCTATTCTTCTTCTCTCGGAAATTGTAATTTTTATGATAAATTGGTGATAAGACTTCGTGTCGTCCAATTCGATCTGTAATCATACGAGTGATAACAAAATCCGATTTGTTTATCACGACCTGGACTCCTCTCAGTCTTATTATCATTACTTTGTATGATTGCCCATTATAGAGATGTGTGCGCTCTGATTGGTCGAGAATAGCGTCGCTATAATCACCTCGCGCGAGGTGATTATAGCAGGGGCACTGAATTTGTAAATGGCTGTCTCGCGTTTTGTCAATGTTACCGCGGAAGTGATCTACGCGTTAAAAGAAAATGCTAAGTTTGGCGTAACACTTTTCACTTTTGCTCCTACGCCCTACAAACAACTTATACATATCAAGCAAACAACAAGAAAGATGAGGTTGTTCCATTCTGTTTTTAAAGTGGGCTTATGTCGTGAATGAGAGCGCATATTTGCAAATCTCCTACGCCCCGTAAACTACTTATACATATTAAGCAATTAACAAGGTATAGTATTCAGCACTTAAAGTGACTTTTAATACAAAAACGTTTTGTTATTAAAGAGGTTTTAAATGACACTTCTTTGCTAAATTTGGTAAAACACCTGTCATTGCTTACTCTTCTTCTTTTGAAAGAAAGCATTTCACAATTTCCAGGACTGTCTTTTTTCGCGGGAGGGAAGAAGGACCTTCGTCCAGATCAACAGAAATAAGTCAATTTGATACGGATCCCCCTGAACAAAGCCCTGAGACATGGTCGAACCTGAAAAGGCGCAGCAGCTCTGCAGGCACCTTCTAAACGTACTAAGCGATCGGTTTTCGAAGTCCTGAAATTTTTCCCCCTTAAGAACTGTAATTTTCACCCCTATTGAGCGGTTATGGTTACCCTTGACTGAGTCTCAACAGCCTGTTTGTCTAAACAGAAAGGTTATGGTCACCCTTGACTGAGTCTCAACAGCCTGTTTGTCTAAACAGAAACTACCTACATAAAACCAAGAATAAACTCTCACGTAAAATTCATTTCATGTTAATGTTAGTTCAAATGTCTTCAACACATAGCAGATTATTTTCCCTCTTTGGACTGTTAGGACGAATATTAATTCTGAAAATCACGCAATTCATTTCCTGGTCAACCTATATCAAGGGCTCACCGCACCATTCCCCATGACGGTGACTGCTTAACACAGGTTCGACTGAACTACTTATAAGTCCAAGGAGTGGCGCGGAAGTGGCGAAGCCCGACTGACGGTGGCGATTTCATCATTCGTTTTCCATCCATGATTCGAATCGCGTTTGGGAATCAAAGTATTTATTAATCAAAAGCTCATTTCGTCATTATCACTTAAATTTTTAGCATATTTCCTTTTCATTTTGAGGTCCTAAATGTCTATTTCAGTCGGAATGGAACTGGAAAACCATCTTGAAAATCTCAAAACTTACAGCCAAAATGGACGAGACCTTTGCAGTCAATCGCAGCGACACTCATGTGAACACTGCCTCATGAACAATTTAGTGATTTACGTTTTCTTTTCGCGGCAAGGGCGCAAATACGCCATAATTTACGACACCCTTATAGAAATGTTGTTCTTTTTATTTGTTAGTTGTGGTGTTCTTTTCTTCTTTGTTTTAAAATACTCTTACAGCATCTTGCTGGTTGACACAGCAATATCCAATGGTAAGTTCTAAAAATCTAGCTACCATTAGGTAGCTATAAGACTTAGTGCAAACACCAAAGGAAACATTCTTACAGGATGAACGAATCAAACTTGCATTTTTGTTACAGGGGTAAGTTTTTAAAGAAACTGCGGTGCTAGGCTGGTGAGGAGTATAACAAGATAAGTTGATTGTATCAGTTGAGTTGATAATGTACACTGGCCACCGTTAAAGGTTTCTAAAGGTGACGTTTCGAGAGCTAGACCTTCGTTAGAGCAAAACAAAGGGCTAACGCTCGAAACATCAGTAGGGTGGCTATTTTACATTACCACCTCATTGCAATTTGCTATGTTTTTCAGTTAGGCGAATCACAGCACTGCAGACGGTATGATCATTATTTTTCAAGAAATAAGGCCTGTTACATTCGTGACACGATTGCATTGAGTCACCAAAAAAGGGAAATAACAATTTATCCTAAATATCTCCCGATAAACGGTCTTTTCTTGGTTTGAGCAGAGAAAACTTTTCTTTGTGACAAATCAACAATGCGAGGTACAAAATAATGTTTAGAGAAAAACGAATTTAACATAAAATATTGGAGTGTCATTTCTTTGCGAGAAAAGCAACAACATCGTAATGGTTTTACCCGAAGAGGACAGTTATGTCCATTATTCCTAATCAATCTCTGTACTCCTAAGTACTAAGAGATCTACAATTTTTATACCAGAAAATAGTTGGGAATAATTGATAACAACAAGCTTACAATGTTTCTTTAAACTACCGGACACATATTTGATTCTCTGATTTTTTGGATTAGTTTTGATCGGTTGTCTGTTTTCTTCGTTGTTTAATAGACATTAAACTGGTCAATTCATTAGCCTGTTACCTTAGCCTATACTTTGGCCTAGACTCTCTTTTACACTGAGTCTTTGAAATCCTTCTTATTTTTAAGTTTTCTATCCTAATTGACCAAGCAGTCTCAGGCCTTTACCGCCGCGACATTATCATCACACTGTCATTGGATATGAGTTTAGGATACACAGCACCTAGAATGGTTGTTCACTGTAGCCTCCATCTGAGATTCAAACCGTTAATCACTGTTCTGTGATACAGGACTTGACACGACTAAGTAGTCACTATTTTCATGATTATCATTAATTATTATCACTATTTCTATAATCGTAATTGTTTGCTTACTACCGTTTTAGTAATCACAGTGGACTAGCCACTCAATAGTCATAATAACACTGGTAACTACCATTGAGTGAATTTTCTTAGTTAAGAATCAGTTGATTAAAATTTACTCAGATCTTAACTCTCTCACTTTCAAAAAAATTGTTTGTCTTCAAAAAAAAAAACAACAACAACAACAAAACAAACAAAGAAAAAAATAAAGGTAAAGGCAAATTTCGTTATAAAAGGAAAAAACATTTTCAAATAAAGTTTTCACCACGCATCGGCGAATTATTCGAGCTCTGACCATCAGATGGTTTGGCCGATTCAGGACCACGCGCCTCAATGAGCGAACACTCTGAATAAGAAATTAATAAATAATCCTTAGCACAATTACAATTGTTGTCATTACCAGCGTTTTTTCATGCAATATAATTTTTAAGGATAATTGCATATCAGAATCCGGCAGTTAGGGATATAAAAAAGATTATAGTTGATAGTTGATTCAACTATGGTAACTCTCCGCCTGACTAATGATTATGACTATCTGTCTGATGTTCCTATTTTCGACGCACAGCTAATCTACATCTACTCACATTTCTGACTTCTTACTGTGTTTTAAACACACACAACTTGGATAGAAAATCACACCTTTTCTAATTTAAAATGTTATGTTGATTACAATAAAGAATCGTAATGAGCTATTGTAAATAGTTGTAGTAACGTAAACTAATACTTGTCCGAACCTTGAAGAAAACTTGGCCTTAATAAAGCTATTAATGTTGGAATTTTCAATCAAGGCTTGGAGAAAAATCTCCCTCTCTACAGGTTCCAATTGCACATAACTTGGTCATGATGACAAGAAGAGAAGTAAAACTGATTCAGGAAATCATATGATGGTGACGTTTCCGTTTTCCAATTCTTTTCACCGCTTCATAGCCTGACTTCATTACCATATTTGTAAATAAATGTTAAGGGAATCTTATGACAAACAAAATTGTACAACGACTATATAATGACCACAACTAAACATATTACACAACAGTGTAAAGCGTTCCTTCTCTGGCTGATGTAAGGCGGTTCGTCATCTCCTTATTTTCTGTGTTGTTGGACGATACACTGGTAAGCTGGCTTCAATGTGTGGTCCAGCATCGGACAAATGAGCATTACTAAAATTGTCGTCTTCGTTCAGTAAGGACATCTGTACAACAGGGGCTCCATTTCCCGATGGGGAGAGACGGCGACGGCGACACATAACAACAAAGATAGCGACCACGAGGCTTATCAAAAAGATTCCAAGAATGCACGGTACCACAATCACATAGAGCCTGATTTCTATGGAAAAAAAGGGAATTAGAGTCAAGTCTCATTATTTGGAAACAGAGATAATACTTGAATAAATAAATAAATAAAATAGTATGCTCCCGCTCTAAAGTGTGAGAATTCTGAGCTTATTGTATTTAGATCGGTTCTTGATTTTGCTCCCGGGGCATTCAAATTTTAGAGCCTACTTCAGTAAAGTTTACCAAATTTTCTCGGCACGTGCAAACAGTCAACTGGATTGTCCCATAAAAGTTGTGATTTTTAATAAAGATCATCTCGGATTTGAATGACGTATGTGCGATGTAGACTTCAACAAATGGAACGCGCGTGAAGGGGAGGGGTTGAGGCGGCTTCAGCTCCCCCCACCTCCCTCATCCCTTCCTTCAAATATTACGCTGCAAAACAAAAAACAAAATTGAATAAGATCACAAAAATTTCGGGCTTCGATAAGTTTAAGCCCTGTTTCAACGGTCATGATCATTGATGATAGTCACAACTATATTGCGTTTTAGAACGGGCACTAATGTACACTTCCGTCAACTTTCATCAGCTACTATGTCTAATATAACGTAGCTTAAGTACCTGAAAGGTAGAAATTCGCATCCCATCGCAGCCCAATTTTTTTTACTATAAGGCTTGTTTTTCTGCAATGCTTTCAAATGTAATGTGACTGTGAGACCAACCTCTCGATTTGGAATTAAGTTTCGTTGCCATTGGCAAAATAAAAGCACACTTGACTTACACACACGTGAGACAGTTATTTAAAAATAATTATTCAATTTCAACGTCATGGTTCTACATATGTGAGTCCCACAGATGGCTTTCTTCGGCAAAAATTTCTCCCAACGAAATGATTTTTTTCAAGAGAGGATGAGGCTCGTGGTCTCTTGGTAATTGTGTGTTTTATCATTTAAATCTGAATCGATGACTGGATTTAACTGGAAAGGCGATTCCTAAACAAACTGCGAGGTTGATGGTCGAGTTAGTAAACTCGAAAACATCTGCATTCAGTAAACGATCGGTTTCCACTGACCTTTGGTTTCGCTCAACAGTAATCGTGAAGCAAGTAAGCAATTTGACAATATTAGAGTGTCATAAACAAAGAACAGATCAATATTCTTTTTTGACATAACATTTTTTTGAAAAATTTCGGACAGTAATGATAACAGAAAAAGGAATTTCGGTAATACGATATCGATTATCACTGGGTCCCTGACATCGTTTGTACACCTTTGGGGTAACTATAGATAAACAAAATCATTACATCGTCTATAGTACGGGAAATTTCATTGTTGTAGTAGTGAATTTAAGGATCGAATAACGAAGGTTTATTGACCTCTTTAAAGCGGAAACAGCACCAAAAGTTTGTTTGATATTTTTCAGAGTATTTCCCGTCATTTCTAAACAATTATTCAATATCGTGAAACGCCTACCCCTTGAAAGTGTTGCTTTGAACCCAGTGCCGTCATATACTTGGTTGAGGTCCTTTGATGCTACAAACTCTATCCAAACGTTATTTCCTGAAGTGTATAGGGTGCCAGGATTTGAGCAGTATGTCCCTAACACTTGGCTTTCAGGCGTAGCACCATCACGCACTCTTAGGAAATCACATTCCAGACATCTAGCACAATAGCGCAAGTCGAACTTAGAGAATTCAATTTTCACGCGATATCCTGAGGGAGAAACCACTAACCACCGAAAATGCGAATTCCTCGGATATCTGCCAGGAAATAGTGGACTTGAAATATGTGCGGTTGATGTTGTTACCAGGTCGACCCCTACAAAAAGAAGGAAAAAGGATATCAAAAAGGACTTAATAAATAAACATTCACATGTACACTTAAGGATGGTGAATGCCAAGTTGTAGTCTTGGCATGAGGCGATAAGCAAAGTCTTTACCAGAATGATCTCTACATACCGTGCAAAAAAATTTCAAAAATTTCTCTTTTCATTTCTGTTTTTGTACAACTACCGCACCTTACTGAGACAATTTTATTTGACGGGAGTAGTGAGACTTAACCACTCATGGTCTTCGTCATTGACTGAGATTAAGTAACCTTTGAAAAATGGTTTTGTTTGAACATTCTCCTTACAAAAAAGACTATCTTTAGTTATTTTTCACACTAAAAACCATTTTTACTAACGGTTATGGAAGTTCGTTTGAAATTCCCGAGATTCGCCGCGAACTCAGCCATTTAAATCTCATATGTGTCGATCAAATAGTGACACTTGAAACGAAGTCGTGAATTTTAAACCTGGACCCTTGTTGCCGGGTTTTTCGTTTGTGCTCCCTCTCCTTGAATGGCCAGCGGGAATTCTTTCGTAAAGAAAAACAAGTGCATCATAAAGCTTGGTTTCTTTGATTAAAAAACATCATATCAACCTGATCGAACAGAAGTAAAATAGTGCGAGGAAGAATAATCTCATTTTTAAACACAACTTACGAAGTTGTGAAAACAAAGCTCGAAAAAAAAATTGTACGGTAATGTATGGAAATTATTTAGTTAGACTCACGAACAAAGATTTACCAAAGAAGTCATATCAATGCGGTTACGTGCAATGATTCCTGTAAAAGTAGTTGTGAAAATAAACCCTAAATATCATACGAGCTTGAACGAAGCCTAAATGTATTTTTGAGATTTTATTTTCACAACTTAATGCTCTTCTTTTTCTTTACTTAGCTGTCTTTCATGTTTATGGTACATCAAAAGTTGTTTCGCTAGAACGGAATGATTTTGGAGGACTACTTTTGTTAGTCAATTCTTCTCTGACAAGTAAATGAACTATTTCATCTCTCTTTATCTGTGGATGTTTTAAATACCGAAATGATCTTAACTGGTGAGGTGTAATAGAAAAATTGGAAGACAAGAAAGCGTACAGAAAATTCCAGCTTCGACGGGGTGCGAACCTGTGCGTCCCAGATCCTCGCTATTGGGGGCTATACACTAACAAAGATACGGAGCCACATGCTGGAAAAGAGGCAAAGTTAGTGATTTCTTTGTTATCCCTTAAGGAATCTCATCATATATGACCGAAATAAATCAGTTTGTTATACGGCAAAGAAGTCCTGAGGTAAATTCGTTTTTCAGTTTTGATGTAACATTTTGCCACTTTTCCAGTTTTAGAAGGACCTTAATACCCAAGTTAATTAATTAACTTAATTACCCAGAGTAATTGTTCTTTAAATAGCGAATGTCCTCAGTATGGTTGAGTTTGTCTTAATTACCCTTAAACATATAACTCGATTTTGCTTAAAAAAGGTAATGTGCCATTTGATAAACTGATTTTCGAAACCTTTGAAGGTATTAAACATGACTGCGGAGCCTCCTCTGTGACACAAGAGGGACTCCCACCCACCCACCTTTGAAAATCAAAACAGAACAAAAACTAAATGCAACAACGTGCATGTATTGTTCAATACACCAAAACTTTCACTGAAATAAAAAAATTATAGTTGGACCAAGACCACTTCAAAATAATTCAGTTAATAATAATAATGAATAAAAAAAGCATTTGAAATTATTACTATCATGAGATGGCCAAGATTCGTATTCAGCAGTGAACCAGCTCTCTTTGTCATCTGCTTCCAACTGGAAATTCACGAGAAGGGTGCTTGTGTCGGTGGACAAAGGTTCGGGTATGCTTGCTTTGAAATCACAGAATGTGTACCATGGTGGTTTATTAGAGCTGTTCCTCAGTTCTATGCGAGTGCAGCCAGCGCACCTGTTTTCATTCGAGTAACTGTTACCGCAATGCCCAATCACGTAGGAGTTGAAGTAAAAAACTATCCGTGAATCTTCGGGGACCTTAACTTCCCAAGAACAAATTCCAGATTTACCCGGATCTGGGCTGCTTAGCTGACCGTTGGCTCCTGTAAGAATATTTTTTCCCCCTTGGCAGACTAGCGAGAACGAAAAAAAAAAAAGGAATATAAACGGCTAAACCAAATCCAAGATAGTCCACCCAACAATCATATAAAACGTACAATTACTTCAATTACCGCTGCTGGAAATCTGTAGCTTGCTCGAACGTAGCAAAACAAAAATCATCTTACTACCACAAGAAAACCCCCATCCTCTCTGAAATTTGGATCAAATGTTGATTATCGTGCTATGTTTGGAAATAATTTAGTCAAGAGCTATACTGCTTTTGTCCATGACAATAATCGATTAAGCGGCTCACAAATGATTCTTCGCTATTTATATCAACTCGCAATGAACACGATTTAAAGAAATAACTTCTTACTTGTTGAGTGTGTTTCGGTTACCAAGAGAAGAACTGAAAGAGAAATGCGTACAAATGATAAATGTCACGGCAAACATAGCTGCTCAGCTTCCGTCACGCATCATCTGGTCGACAGTTCTCTCGTATGCAAATTAAACACTGCTGAAACTCCAATCGTAGGTTTAAAATCGAAAAAACATATTGTTAGAAACCTTTTTGCCTACCTCAACACTTCTTATTAAGAGGACTGAGAGCAAGATAATAATATGGATAAGTGACCTGCCTTTGAACTGAGCAAACAAACAGTTTGCCTTCAAAATACTGATAAGCCCTTGTTGTTTAATAGCCTTCTGCTCGGTCACGCAACTTTCATGCGAACAAAACAAAATTTAGACTTCATGCACTGAAATAATCGAGTTAACGCCCGATAGACAAAGTTGAAACAAAAACATAGATATGATGTTTTCGTCTGTTTGTTGTAATCTGCCGTCGCAGACATTATCAATACTTTCACTATGCAGGTGATTTAGATTGCTCGCACTTCATGAAAATGTCAGATGAAACGCTAGCGACACAATCAAGCTTTTTAACCTTGTTTTAACTAACCTGAACCGTGTTTTGTACACAAAAGTATCCACAGAAAATCGTTCGTAATCCATAATCGCATGATCAACAAAAATTGTACCTTGCAAAACCCCTTGAGTACGCCTGTTGTAGTTCGTTATTTCAAAATAGTGCCATTCGTTTGGTATGTCAAAACATTGACTTACCGGTTGCTACAGCCACAAGCATCGTTGGTGATACAATGTCTAAACTCAAGCCTCCTTCTGTGAACTGTGAACAGTGTGACCGTGAATTAAAAGCAGTCTTATCACCTCTCGCGTGGGGAGATATTGCAGACAAAAATGCGGAGAAGAAATATATAGATGACTAAATATATCCCATAGTGCTCACCGAGAATAAATAGAGCTCGTCGTTTCCCTGTTCTCTTACCCTGATGCATGCTGGTCAGGTAGGAACGCTATTGCGACATTTTTAATCATAATGAACAGGAAAAGAGCTGACAAATTAGTGCAATCAGACGCTTTCAGGAGAAAATAGCCATGTGGAAAACAAGAGAATATAAACTGTTTATATTCTCTTGTAGAAAGTTCGTCTGGAGAGAGAGTCCTCATGTCTATTTATTTGCAAAATTGGATCATAAATATGAATTTTTTAAATACGTGCATATCAACAAAAGCCCTCAAAGGCCCAAGGCGATCATATAAAACCAATTCCCAAGGAGCATACTTTAAAGCCAAACGCAGGAATAGTGTTAACCAGGTTTTTCTTCACTCTATTTATTGTTGTCATCCTCCTTTTTAAGGCAACATTTATATCTACAAGCTAAATGAATCATATGTTCGTACTTTTATAGAGCACTTTTAAATAGCGTGTCACAAGTAGCCAAGGACTGCATGATTTTACTTCGTCTCAATCTGCGATTGATTCATAAATTAAACCAGCGGAATCTTCGTCACTAACGTTTACCTTCTTTACAGGTTCTTTGCTTGTTTTTACTTTAAGTTCACATTGGCTTCTCGTTATTCTTATTTGTTTGTTTGTTTGTTTTTTTGTTATTTTTGGATTGACGACACTTAATCGAAGAGCGCTCTTTGACTCTTAAACACTAACACCAACCTCTAAGAGGTGGGGTTATTTAAGTTACCACGTCATTACAACACACTGACTAACTAAGGCTACTTTCTCTAACGGATTCCAGTCACGTATTTCACTGGGTTGATTTTAATTTTCTTAAGCTGGTGATCAAATTCTACATTAAAATGCGATTGAAGCTTCTTATACATCATAATACCCATCATGATTGACTGACTGACTACTATGAAATTGACTGCTGTTCTAATTCAAATCAAGTTTCAAAAGAATATAATGAAGAAATGTAAAATGGTTTACATAGCCTGATGTAAACACGTGGGAGGTTGGGAGAACACGAGATAAGCATAGGAAACCACGACGCGAAGCGGAGTGGTTTCCAGCTTATCAACATCAGGCTATGTAAACACGGAAACCATTTTACATTCTTTTATAAAATAACTAATAAAAGAGGAGCGAAAACCGTGTTTACATACGCTCATGTAAAATGGTCTTATGGCCAATCAGAGCGCGCGTACTATTTTAATTATTGCGTTCGACGAAGGAAGAACGCTTCCTAATCTCCTGGGCTACCTGTGATCGCGTAGGTGTCCTGTGCACGCAAGCGAAAGCTGACTCGTGTTTTTTCGTTCGATCGGCCGGCCGTTCATCTTTTCAGCGCCATTTTGAATGACGTCACAATTTCGGTGCGCAAAGGATGCTGCCTCGTGCATCGCAGTTTGACAACATACCATAGGCATATTCATCTATCCCAATAACCAAAAAACAATATTTCCCCTTTGAAATGCCGAACGCACTTCCCTAATCTCCGATTACTACTAGTTTTATAATATTTATTACAAAAATTCTGATTGCAGAGGGTCGTTAGAAGATGAAACTACTTCATAAAAAAGGCATTTTGCTCTACTATACGTTACTTTAAAGAGAAGCCTTCCACACAACTATGAAATAAACTAATTAAAACAAATTGTTGTGAACTTAATTTGATACTTTCATAATAACTAAACAGTAGCCTACTCTTCCTCGTTCTACCACTCCTCTTTCATCGGCATGAAATACACTATGTAGCTTAAATTCTAACTCAGGCAGTTGATGATGGCAAGAGATAATACCGACAGTCGTAAAAGTACATCAAGCAAAATCATCTGTTTTGATAAACTTTCGTAAGATATTGCAATCATTATGAACGGTAATAACTATGAATTTCATCACGCATTTCATGTTCATGACCTTTCATATGTGCGAAACAAGGAATCTGAAACAAAACTACTAACTATGCTGCACCCTATAACACTCCTCAAACGGGTTTATCATGATTATCACAAGCTAAAAATCTATGTCGGCTTAGAGCAAAATTTTTCCAAGCTAAAATGTGTGAACTAAACTATTAACCACCCAACCTCGGGGATGAAAGAACAGTACTCAACATTCTTTAACCACTTACGCGCGCATCGAGGCTGTTTTGACGGTCAGTTGTACTTGTCAACATAACCTGAACTAAAATCAACGTACAAGCATTCTACTTGTTCTAATCCAATATAAAATATGAAGAACCCTCAAGGTCCTTCACACTAAGTTCCTACTAGATACACGGTAAAATAACCTCGTGGCACGTTTACAACCAGTAAATCCATGCCACGGCTGCATTTATATTCCCCTAGCTTAGATATCTCATTAGATGTTTGGTATGAAGTATCGCTGAGTATTTTAACGAGTTGTGCCGTATTTTGAAGAGCCCGATGGGCGAGTCAAAATACAAAAGTACTACGCAATACTAAATTCCAAAACGTCTAATAAGTCATTTATTATCCAACTTTTTTTTTTCTCTGTCAAGTGTTTCTGCTCATTTCTCATAGGACGAGAAAAGCAAAGCGGAAAGAGAAGCGTAACGCGAGCAGCCGACTGGTTAAAGAAGGTTTTTTTTTTAACGGTAGGAAATAACCAACTGTACTTTGTCGCAGGATATTTGTACCCTATTCGCGCGTTATTTGTATTCTACTTTGTGTGATTGGATAATAAAATGCATTAATAACTAATTTAGTAAATATCCAGTTTATCCGCATAGAAATTACACACGCATCAAACCAACGAACCCTGGAAATAGGCCGAGAAATGTTCATCCTTGAACATATTCTCCTTCTACTGTGAAGTTAGTAAAACCCTGTGAATGATCAGTGGAGGGAGGCAGTTGAACAGGGGCTGTCAGGGGTATGGAATGAGGTGGCGGAACATCAACTTGCAGTGTACCAGGAGACAGAGACGGCGCAATCGTTTGTACCACCATGGTATCTGAGAGGGGCTGCAGGGGAACGTCGTTCACACGAGATGATCCAGCCGGTCCAGCAGAACGATTTATCTTAGTGCACTTTATGACAACAAAGATGACGGAAAACAGGACAACTGCGATAACAATTGGCACGACGATGGCCGCAACTTTCACATTAGAACCTGGATCAAACAACAAATGAAATTGGGAGAAGAGTAGTTGCTTCAAAGTATGGTGATTTGAAGGAAATCATTGCTCGCGTAAAATTCGAAAGAAAAGTTACCTTTGATGGAACTGACTGTTGCGCGAAAGCGGGCACTGCTGTAATCACTGTTAAAAACAACGAATAAATGGTTTCCTGTCGATGTTACTGTGCCAGAGCTTACACTGCCACAGTATTCGCCGAGAAGCGGATCACTTGATGAACTTCCATCTCTAACTTTCAGATATCCACATGAACAGCTATAACAGCCTGACATATACATTGTCTCAAGACTAAACTTCAGGTTGTAACCCTTCTTTGTAGAAATTTTGAATGTGCAGCTTGAATAGGGAGCCCTGGTGTTCAAGTAGTCGTCATAATCAGAACGGATGGATGTCGAGCTTGTGCTTTCAACGTAAACACCTTAAAAAAAAAAAAAAAAAAATTCCATTAATCTAGTTAGTTTAGAAATGTCAAGCGATTAAGAAAATGAATTTGTTTTTTAGTGGACAAATTCTCCGAGCTTGAGCATTCTAGAATATCGCTTGGTAAGACTGCCCAGCACGGTCTCGAATGGATTAAATGACCAGCAGTTAGAAGTTTTCACCAAGATGCCACTGAAAACTCCATACAAACCTATTGAGTATATTCGATGTTTGTTTAGAAATTTCATGCGATTCTAAGAATTGCCTTGGTTTTTTTCAGTGGTCAAGCTTATACGTACCATACTGAAACAAATAGACATGTTATAACGCTTTGGAGGTCAAGCTGGTTTCTTAACCCTTTAAACTCCAGGAGTGACTAGCATCAAATTTCTCTCTACAATATCACCCCTGAATCACACGTTAAGGTCATGAGAATGAAGGAAATGATTACCAACGAAAGAAGCTCTTGATTGATAAACAAATTCTCCTTGTTAGCACCTTACGAAATATATGAAGTGAAGTATGGAGAATATGCATACTGATTTTAGGGTGCAAAAGGTTAAGGGTCACCTAGGTCAGAACAGCTTCAAATTCAGTAACCATGGAGGGAAACAATGTAGAAAACCTCAAATGAAATTTATTTAAATTCAATGTTTGTTCAAATATCCCAAGTGATTCTGGAAGTATTTTGTTTTTGAGTGGGCAAATTTTCCAAGCTCCAACCACAAAATCGCTTGGTTGTCGACGCTTGAACAGACTACCGGGACTAAATACCCGACGGTCGGAAATATCCACCGAATTCCGAGAAAACTCTTTTTCACGGAGTATAGATGTAAGGAGGTTTTCTCGTTTTACCAGTGTACCAGGGCCTTTGGGGGTACTATGGTAAAAGATGAAAAGCTACTGTCGGAAATCTTTACATCAAGTGAACCAAAATACAGCATAAGGGAACACGTTGAATTACTGTCTTCCAGAAAGAACTTTTTTAAAAAAAGAAGTGATAAAAGTGCCATATCCGACGTAAAACGCTTCGAAATCTTTCAACGGCATCCTGGTGAATATTTAATTCTAACTGCCAAGCATTAAGTCTACTCGAGACCGTACTTGGCAATCTGATCAGAAGCATAGAATTTTAAGTGTCGATAACTGAGCGATATTATAAGATGCACAAGCTCGGAGAATTTGTCCATTGAAACAATAGATTAATTTTTGGAATCGCTTGACTTTCCAAACAAACCTCTGATATTCTTGAGAAGTTTGAAAGAACCTCACAGTTGAAATTCTGCGAAAATTTCTGACTGCCGGGCATTTAGCCACAGCATTATTCATAACCCTCATAGATTTTGTTCGTGTCATGCCAACAATTATTGACCCGTTACACCCTGACATCAGTATCCATAGTCTCATACTCTTCTCTGCACATTTCCTTTAGTACTTACAAGGAGAATTTGTTTAACAATCAAAGCTTCTTTGGTTAGCGATCATTTCCTTTATTCTCGTGATCTCAATGAATGATTCAGCTGTATTAGCGTTAGAAGAAATTAGATGCTGGTCACTCTCAGGGTTTAAAGGGTTAACTACGATCACATAGTGTGGTCTGCCTGTGATCTTATGTAAACATTGGCGACTGGATCGGTCAGAAGCGGACGACAATAATCGTGTGCTTTTCTCATAAAAGAAAACTTGGGGAATTCATTGCCACATATCTTTAGTTTCAATTGGTCAGAAAAACTTGCAGTCACATAACATGCAGCTCCAGAGTATCTGTGTTCAAAGTTTATGTGGCGTGACTCTGCTTATGACCTCAGGGACTCTGAAAATAAGCTCAATGTTCCCTTACCGCGCACTAATTATTACCGAAAAAGTTTTAGCTACAATGGCGCCACATTATGGAACAGTCTACCATGCGATATAAGGAACACAGAGTCTCTGGGGGTATTTAAACGTAAGATCAATGACATTCTTTAAGTCTAACGCACGGCACTCACGGAAAACAGCTTTTAGTGTTATAGTATATGGTTTGAGTTTTAAATATTCTAGCGTATGGGATATGTATTTTTTAGGCTGATGAATTGACCGTGTTTAATTAAAATTTTAAAAAAAATTGCATTCTGAGGTAATTTCGTTCCAAGGTAGAATACCTAAAAGTTTGTCATCGGATGCAAGCGGGAGAAAACCCTGTAAACAAAGATTATTGCTTTACTATGTAATATTTATTGAGCAACTGTGAGACGAAACGTGACGAAGTCGACATACGAATAGAAAATGGTGGAATTTGGCTTGTGCAGACGAAGAACGATTTGGTTTGCAATGTCTAAATTTGAAGAATTTTGTAGACTATATATGCGTTTATCATTCTGCAGAGTTGGATCGTTAACATAATTATGGATCTCTCTATGATTTTCCAGAAGCTTGGCTTTTGAGACAAGAGCAACCTTGCATTGCTGCAAAACCAAATCAAAAGTTCACAACCATGTTCATCTCGAGATTAAGTACTTTTCGAACGAGTTAGCCATAGTTATTCTTTGATTTATTCTATAAATCTGTTTTAAAATTTCTCGTGTGTCATAATTTGAAGGAAAAAGCTCATGAAACGTCAAGGAAATAAAAATGACCATGTTTAAGGAAACTGTGTATTTATCATTCCTGACTGTCTAAGTTGTCAAATAAATAAAGGGGTAAGTTTCTAAAGAAACTGTAGTGCTGCGTCAGTCGTAGAGTATAACAAGGTAATTCGGTACTATCAACTGAGTCGATAAGTGTGCCACCGTTGAGAGTGTAAAAGCTGGCCTACTGCGTGTTTCATTGCCCTAATATGGTAAAATGACGTAGTAGTGGAATAATAAATTTAAAGACAACCTCTCCTTACTGCACAACTATTCTCTCGGTAAGCTATAGAAAACTGATGAACTTACTTGTTTCAGAGCTGTAACTACTACAACTGTGATATTGTACCGTTGTTGAGGTGTAAGGTCTGTAAGTAGTCCAGACTGGCGCTCCTGTTGGGAAGCTGTATCCCGTTTGGTACAGTAACAGGAATCCCGAGAAGGTGTTGGAGGAATCAGAGTTGAACTTAACAGTTAAAGAGGAGGATGAGGAGATGGAGGATGGAATATAAGACCCGCAGTACTTTCCAAGCTGAGTGTTGTACTTATCCAGCACCTCCACGTAGTCGAATTCGCACGAAAAACTAGAAGTCTCCAAGTTGAATTTTATGAACTTCAAATGAACCCTTTGCCCCCAAGGTGCTCTAATGCGCCACACACATGATCTGGAGAGCGGATAACTCCAAGGAAAATTGGGACTATAAATTACGCCTGCTGAGGCGCCAGGAATGATTGAGGGACAACCTGAAATGAGTGAACAGCCAATTATAAGGTGTCTACATATATGACTCCCGAAATGTTTTCCGTCGCAGAACTTTCTAAACTTCTCCTGATTCCAGTTGCACGCGAAGATCTCTGATATCAGTCTTCGTAAAAAAAAATAGACTGTGAATGGAAGGCGAAAAAATGTCGCTGAAACAGATAAAGTCTCGTGGTTATAGCAACCTTCGCTCGACCACAATTGACAATTTTTTCACAAGGGATGCATGTGAAGGTCTACATCGGCATTTCTGCTCCTGAACAGAAATATTGTGACGAACAAAGTGTCTATAGCACACATCAACGTAACATTTAAACCTTACCCGCAGGAGTGCCAACATGTAGACAAACACATCTGTTCACATACATTCACACTAATACAGCACAGTGTAGCACAGTTGTTCAGTTTATGTTTTTTTAGCAAACTATGTTTACTTTTCTATGTTGACACCATAAGTGGTTGCTTTGGCACACGTTGATTTCCTTGAAAGTCTTCCTAGTAATTTCATTCCTGTATTTTCAATCGTTTCGTTAGGTCTATTTTACGTCGAATTAACCTTTGGAAAAGAGTTTGTTGATTTGAAAATATTGACTAATTGACCACTCATTGCTATCTCTCTCTCTCTCTCTCTCTCTCGGTCTGTATGGCTATGCCTGTGAAAACGTTTTACTTAATTTACCGCACTGAAATTGTAATTGGCCTACTTCTTAATTCATGGGAAAGGCGTTACCTTTCTTCTCCAACATTTCTGTTCATCTTGCTGTTATGTAACAACCTCTGTTGATTTATTTGCAAATCTCTCACTTAGTTTAACTTTGAGTCCACCTACATATTCCTTCCAAATTTTGTTATATTGATTATTTCACCTTATCTGCATCGGATCTCATTAACGAATGCACGAGAATAAAATGATGATCCTCTTTTAATCGAACTATTCAAGACCAACCTGATGAATCTTTCAGCACTCTGTAGTGTGCCACAAAGCCACTCCCTGCTACCATAGAGTCAGAAGTGAATTTCATGAAGATATCAGTACCAGTAGAATACACTGGGTCAGGAAGACTGTTTCCACAACTTTTTGACAAAATATTGTAGTATTGGTTTTGTCCATCATAAATTTCCACTTTGTCACAGTTACACGATTCACAACTTTCCAAATCGAATACTGTAAAGTAGATGAGGATCCTATGACCGGAGGAAGCAATGATCCGCCACTGACAAGACCGTGAATCATAATAACTCCAAGGGTATCCAGGACTGAAAATGGAGTCATTTCTACTGTATTCTGCATACACTCTTTGCACTCCACCGTCACAAGCTGACGCTAAAAAAAAAACCCAAATCGATTCAGTTTTGTTACAGTAGTTTACCTGCAACTTGTAACAGCAAGCTATACATCAGGGCCATTGATTGTCGGTGATAGTAAGTCATCTCATGAGGCACTCCTGGGAAGGACTAAATTACCAACTTAACATAACAGGAGACCACAAGATATGGCAATATCTAAGTTTAAAGGTAAAAGCTACCTGTACCCAGATTGAAACATCAGATTATTATTATTTTTTACGATAGTACTATCTACAACCTGAGAACGAAGGACATTGTAATCCCTTGAGTAAACAGTACGCATTTTGGGAAGGATTCGGTGAGGTATCTGGGGTCACCACTTTTGTCCAAATGTTTAAGAAATTAATCAGAAAACAAGATATAGCTATTACTGACTGCAAAAATTGCGCTTCGTGCAACTCTTGGTTTTTATATATATGCTATAATTGGATATATTTACGTATTATAGGATTTTATGCGATAGAAATTTGTTCCAATTTTAATTGATTTATTAGAATTACTCTTTTTATGACTACTGCCTCCTATGGAGGCAAAGCCATAATGCTGTTCTGTTGAGTGAGTGAGGGTAACAATGGAATACGAACGACCTTTTTGTTCACAACGAAGCCTGAAAACGTAAATTGGTCACCGTAAAGAGTTAAAGGCTGACGTTTCGAGCGTTAGCCCTTCGTCAGAGCGATTGACGAAATTGTGGGTTCTGCGGGGATTTATATGCAGAAAACGGAGCTACGCTATTAGTGGGAATATAGTGACGAGAAAACAAGAACAAATTAGTTGAATGATAACCATAAACAGGATAGTCATGTTTATCGAAAAACTAGTACATTGCCTCTGATTTTTCGAAAAAATCAGAGTCGTCACTACATAAACGACGAAGTCTGAGAAACTGCGAAAAAATTAGCGATCATATAAAAGGACCTCTTGTTGCAGCGTTTAGATCACCCCTGATGAAGGCACTGGACAGGAGCGTCGAAACGTTGGGTCTATGAATTGTAACTTCTTCGGTTACATTCATTAAATCTGTAAACCAGAGTAGTATCAAACCATGTCTGATTGTCCACCTGGTTGCCGTGTGAATTTAATATATTTTAGGTATGGAATTCTTGAGGTGTGATTAATGCGAAGATGAATACAACAGGTAACTATGTGAATCTGTATGTTTGTAGTAAACACTAGCGAACTGCCTAGATCTAAGGAAAGGCCGCAATCTGTCATATGTTGTTTAGAGTGATTAGGGACATTAAAGCGTCTTGCGCCTGGTTTGGATGCTTCCTTATCTTTTCCTTCTACGTCGCGAAGGTGTTCTCAGAATTGGTTACCTAGTTGTCTTCCTTTTTCACCAATGTCTAACTTATTGCATGTTAAACTGGCCCTTTAGGGGAGTCCATTTAGACTTCCGAATATGAAGTGTTTCGAGAGTATCTGTGTTCAAGGTGTTAGAATCATCCTCTTTGTCATGAAAAAAGGCTTTAACTGAACGCGGCGAAGGAATTTTTCAACGTCTTTAAGTAATTCCACCTTCTGATATTTATTTGTACGCCGTGATGAATAAATAATTCAAGACAGATTATCGTGTATTCCTCGCTCTTTCAGCGTCAATGAGTAAGTGATTCCACAGCCTAAACACTTACATTTTAAACCATATTAGTGATTTTTATTTCTGGTGTTAAAAAAAAAAGTAGCACCTCAATATTTGGCCATTTTGTGTAAAGCAGGTAATTGAGTGTTAACAACTGAGTTGAAAACGTAAATAAGCCGCCGTAAAGGGTAAAAAAGCTGACGTTTCGAGCGTTAGCCCTTCGCCAGAGCGATTCGTCGTATTGCTAAATTACCTGCTATACTCTCCCACCGACGCAGCACCACAGTTTCTTTAGAAACTTACCCCTTTATTCATTTTGTGTAAACCTCGTTCTATATAAAAACGCGCAAATTATAGGCACAAAATTTATCAGTAGCGAGTGTCGCAAGAAATTTTCCAGCTACTTAAGATACATCGCCATCTTGAATTGACTGTTTCCGTGTACCGCGTAGCCAGCTACTTAAGATACATCGCTATCTTGTATTTAATTCTTTCCGAGTACTGCAGTAAGGCAAGACGTTGAAAAATTCTTTCAACGCGTTCAGTTGAAAGCCTTTTTTCATGACAAAGAGGATGATTCTAACACTTCGAACAAAGACACTTTCGAAACAATTCAGATTCGAAAGTCTAAGTGGACTCCCTCAGAGAGCCTGTTCGCATCTTTAGAAAAGTCTTTAAAGAAGTGATCCGCGTATCTAGAAAATTTATAGGGAAAAGTTTTCTCTGAAGAGAGAGCATTTTACCGTTTGAATCAGCGAATTATTCCCAGTATATCCGAAGATATAACTTTTTCAGTTCTAACCGTGACACTGCACTAGATTATAAACATTTCAAAATAATTTCACAAAAGCGTCTCCGGTGCGTAATTGAAAAAAAGCACTTTTTCCTTGCAAACATATCTAAATAGGTTTGATCTGCACATCGTGGAAACTTTGAAGAATTTTATTCGAAAAGAGATCAATTTACCAATTCAATCAACGACAAATGCTCAAAGGTCTGAAATACGATACGTTGAGTTGAACAAGGTGACGCTATTTAATGGAATGACAGAATGGCGAAATGACAGAATGGTGCAATGAGAAAATGGTGGAGTGGGAGAATGGTGGAATGGGAGAATGGTGGAATGGGAGAATGGTGGAATGGGAGAGAATGGTGGAATGGGAGAATGGTGGAATGGAAGAATGGTGGAATGGGAGAATGGTGGAATGGAGGATTGGTGGAATGGGAGAATGGTGGAATGGGAGAATGGTGGAATGGTAGAATGGTGGAATGGGAGAAATGGGCGAATAGTGGAATGGTACAACGGTGGAATGGGCAAATGGTGGAATGTGAGAATGGTGGAATGGTTGAATGGCTGAATGGAAGAGTGTTTGAATAGTGGAATAGTTGAATGGTGGAATGAGAGGATGGTGGAATGGTTGAATGGTGGAATGGTTGAATGGTGGAATGGTTGAATGGTGGAATGAGAGGATGGTGGAATGGTGGAATGGTTGAATAGTGGAATGGTTGAATGGTGGAATGGTTGAATGGTTGGATGGGTGGAAAGGTGGAATGGTGGAATAGAAGAATAGTGGAATGGAAGAATAGTGGAATGGTTGAAAGGTGGAATGGAAGAATAGTGGAATGGTTGAAAGGTGGAATGGAAGAATAGTGGAATGGTTGAAAGGTGGAATGGAAGAATAGTGGAATGGTTGAATGGTGGAATGGGAGAGTAGTGGAATGGGAGAGTGGTGGAATGGGAGAATGGTGGAATGGGAGAATGGTGGAATGGGAGAATGGTGGAATGGGAGAATGGTGGAATGGGAGAATGGTGGAATGGGAGAATGGTGGAATGGGAGAATGGGAGAATGGTGGAATGGGAGAAAGGTGGAATGGGAGAATGGTTGAATGGTTGAATGGTTGAATGGTTGAATGGTGGAATGGTTGAATGGTGGAATGGTTGAATGGTGGAATGGTTGAATGGTGGAATGGTTGAATGGTGGAATGGTTGAATGGTGGAATGATGCAATGATGGAATGTTTGAATTGTTGAATGGTGGAATGGTGGAATGGTGGAATGGTGGAATGGTGTATTGGTGGAATGGTGCAATGGTGCAATGATGGAATGTTTGAATGGTTGAATGGTTGAATGGTGGAATGAGAGAATGGTGGAATGAGAGAATGGTGGAATGAGAGAATGGTGGAATGAGAGAATGGTTGAATGGTGGAATGAGAGAATGGTTGAATGGTGGAATGAGAGAATGGTGGAATGGGAGAATGGTTGAATGGTGGAATGGTTGAATGATGGAATGGTGGAATGGTGGAATGGTGGAATGGTGGAATGGTGGAACGGGAGAATGGTGGAATGGTGGAATGGTTGAATGGTAGAATGGCTGAATGGTGGAATGGGAGAATGGTGGAATAGTTGAATGGTGGAATGGTTAAATGTTGGAATGGTTGAATGTTGGAATGGTTGAATGTTGGAATGGTTGAATGTTGGAATGGTTAAATGGTGGAATTGCAATGAAATTAGAAAATGATTTATAGTTAACAGGCATATCAAAATTAAAAGAAGTCTAGTTTAATCATTACTGGAGTCTAGTGATAAACTGACAGAGAAACAGTGAGGTTCTAGAGCTAACCCTATAAGTTATCATTACTATTACTTTTGTTATCATCATCATTTTTATTGTTATTATTAGGATGATTTTTTTTATCATTTAATAAGTGGTAGAGTGTCAATTATTCACTATATTCTTGAATCATCTTTCTCCTGTTGAAAAGGGCTCTCATAAGTATGTGGGATGTGGCAGGTTTTCTGTTTTGCATGCAAGACAAATCCTTAGGAAAGCTTCCTTATGGCATTATCAAACAACCTCTAATTCTTTTCAATGCAATACAAAATTGTGCTATATCAGTAGCCATATGCAGTCTTAACTGCCTATTTTCGGTGTTATCAACTAGGTTGAAAATGTATGATGAAAACATTTACGTTTGCTCAAGGACATGCGAGAATTATGACACATTGAAACCTGACACTATTCGCTTTTGTTTGTACAGTGACATTTTGATTGATTGATTTTCTCATATTTCATGTACATTTAAGATTAGTGATCCACACCTTACTTCAATAGATACAATAAACGAGTTACAAATAATACGTCTATGTGAATTTATTAAAACGTAAATTGGCCAACGTAAAGAGTTTAAAGGCTGATGTTTCAAGCCTTAGCCCTTCATCAGAGTGATAGACAAAGGGCTAATGCTCAAAACATCAGCCTTTAAACTCTTTACCATGGCCAATTTATGTTTTCAACTCAGTTGATAACACTAAATTACCCTGTTATACTCTCCCACCAATGCATCACCAGTTTCTTTAGAAACGTACCACGAATTCATTTACCTATTTTTCAGTTTTGTTTCAGTCCTTAAATAGGTGTCCTTTAATTAGTGGGTCACTAATATTTATTGCAACAGAAGTAAAGTTATTATTATATGACACTGACAAGTAAACAGGTTAGTATTAAGTGTATCTTGCTTGAACCAGTCTTGCAGATGGTGTCAAACTTCACTGACAATATTCGTTGAAACTGGGTCAATCTTAAACTGTTTTCTCATATATCACCTCACTCACAACACAAAGTAATCAAATTCAAACAAGAACTTACCTTGGACAACTTGATGCTTGATGCTGAGAAAAACTGAAAATATTTGAAATACAAATTAAAAATTGTCCCAGTCATGAAATGTTCTAATAAAGGTAATTCTAATATAGAACTTAATGAAAAGCATGAAAACATGAGAGCACCTGCACCCTTCATAGGATTCAATCAAAAACAAAGTGCACCCAAACAGATAGTTTTATGACCATTAGTAGGTCAGAGTGCACAAACTAACATGCATTCTTTTCTATGCATGTTTGCATTTTGGACAACAAGCATGCACACCCTGACCACAATAGTCTTGCTCCTTGTTAAGTTCTTTAGATCGCAACTTGCAAAAGCGCCACACAGGACTTAGGTGAGAAAATTTGTAGACGCATACAAACTTCATCCTAAATAAGTAAGAAATGCATAATTTGCATCCATCATCTGTGTTGCAGTAACATGCACAATTGAAAACTAAAATTCTTGTACATGAATATCACCAGCCTGATTTGAGCACTAATTTAACAGTGTACATGTTATGCCTCAGTAATTAGACACTAACTGTCCTATGCACCCACTGTTGACATGCATTCCACTCAGTCCTATAATTATTACTAATAGGTAAGTGGAAGAACCTATAATTTGCTCCAAGTAGAAAAATTTTAAGTTAAGTAACAACTATTTAGAACCTACAGGGTAAAAATTCAAGATGACCTAAATTTTGGCCAAGCCTACTTCAACACAAACCAAAACAATAACATTAATCACAAAGATCAACACAGGAATAATTTTATGTGAGCAAAAAAACATCATTGACGGAGGCATATGATGATTGATTGTCAGCACCTAACACATTTCTCTCTGAATCATCAAATGATTCAAGTGGGTACAGCACTGGAATCATATGATGACATAATTGTCAGTGAAGCTTTTGTGACTACATTTAGTTGTAAGAAAAAGATGAATTTTGAGTTGCTTACAACTACCACATGATCACAGAAAATGAATGAGAAAATAAGATGCAGCTTGCCATGGTAGTTTCACCTCTTTCTTCATTTAATTTGTTAGGTATGGGGATTCACATTGGATATTGACAGAATTGGAATGAAATCAAGACAAAACCCTCTAACAGCATCTATAATTTTTCAGAAGCTATATATTAGATTATACAAGTGACAAACCTACATGAACATGGATGTACTCTACATTTGCAACTTTGTTAGCATTGTAACACAATTCCCTTTGATATTTTGTGATTTCTTATGCTAAATACACTTTTGACCTTTCTAAATTACATAGATGTAAAAAATTGAACAGACACTTGAATTACAAAATATGTGCATAATATAATTTTATAAAATAATTCAAATAGTATGCATGCTCTGATTGGCCATAAAACCATTTCACATGAGCATATGTAAACATGGCTTTCATTCCTCTTTCATTAGTTATTTTATAAAAGAAATGTAAAGTGGTTTCCATGCTTACATAGCCTGATGTAAACACTTGGGAGGTTGGGAGAACACTTGATAAGCTGGAAACCACTCCACTACGCGTCATGGTTTCCTCCGCTTCGCGTCATGGTTTCCTATGCTTATCGAGTGTTCTCCCAACCTCCCACGTGTTTACATCAGGCTTTGTAAACACGGAAACCATTTTACATTTCTTCAATATCAGACTAAACTTACTCAGTAGATATACGAGTTAATTTTTGAAAACAATGCAAGTTATCAATCATAAAACCAATTGCTTATCACATGACAGTTACCTAACAACTGAAGATGCTGATGTCTACCTCTTTACCACGTACAGATTGTGTACAATGTTTTTAGAATAACAGAATAATTACATGAAATGCTGAAGACATCCAAATGTATTAACTACAATTTCACTAGCTGTTTGAAATTGAGTGGTTGATGAGTTTGGTACTTCTGGGATGTTAAAAATAAGGGCCCTGGTGCAATAGGCAAATTTTTGTTTATTTTGTGAAAAATCTGTCATCAGTTCAGTGAGATTCTTGTGGACCCACTGATTTTTTATCCTACCAAATTTTGTTGAGCCTTACCAATCTCCAAAGGCATCATCATCCTGTCTTAGAGTAGGACAAATTTTTTTCAGGTGTGAAATATGGCAGATTTTCCAATTTACAAGCCATGATTTGAAAGAATGCCACAATCGAGGAAATTTGATCTTGCTTTTCAAATTTTGGTGAGATTTTTGGTGGATCAAAACAAATTTTGAAAGCCCAGTGTGTTCAGACCCTTAATGTGAAGAGACTTGACCAGGCCGCTAGGGCCTAGGAACTATCACAACCACTGACCGGCTCAAGGGAGTCAGACATTTTGTGTTTAGGTTCTTGTAACGTTTGAGGAAATGTGTATTTCTCTATCTACGTTGGATCGGAACTCTACCTACCGCTTTATTATTGTAAGTTAGCCATCTTACATTGCATATCATCTCTAGGTATATGCATCGTTTTTCTTGTGAGCTTATAAGGACTGTATTTTAGTATAGTTCGGTTGTTATTTGTATTGTAGGACTCCTTCATCGTTGTAAGATAATTAAAATTGTGTCAAGCAACGAGGAGTGTATTTCTTCATAATAGATTCTTCCAGTTAAGCAAAGGTAGCAGAGTAGTTCAAAAGATGCAGCATACCTTTGCAAAGATGATTCCTAAGATGACATACACAAAGATAAACCAGCTCCTTTAGGAGCCACCACCTAAATATATAAATCATTGACCAACAATGATTTTGGGTAAGACTAGTAATTTGTGTTTGTTGATGATCATGTGGCTAATGACTGAATATATATTTAATTTACCATATTCTCTCATAGACAATTTTTTTTTTGACAGAAATACTTGGCTATAAGCCCAACTACTCTTTTCTTCTTTGAGTTTGACTAGTTCTCAGTTGATTTTCATGCAAAGATCACTCAGCTTGTAGGCAAATAAATACAGTAGCTTACCATACGTGTACAACCCTAACCCTAAGCAACTTATACACAATAGTTGTAGTAGTACAATTTTTGTTTCAAAGTGTCCTTGTTCAGTATCCATCATAATAAAATTGCAAAACTCAGTCTGAGAGTTTTTCTTTAAAGAGGAAAATTACTTACTTGCTTCAAGTACTGGTTTATGGCTACAAGTGCCTGTCATGTGAAAAATCAGCACCTTTTCCATTGACACTGTCATTGCAAAATTATTAGGGGACACCTTATTGAGGAAAATTTGTAAAGCAAAATTTTTTTAAAGTAATACCTGTTATGCCTTCATTCTTATCTATCAGAAAGATTGATAGCTAATTACAATATCTTTTTGCATTTTTTTTTTACAGTTTTAAATCACAGAATTAATGTTCTTCATGACATACATGTATTAAATTTTGACCACACCACTGTCTTATTATGTTTAATTGCTTGTGAACACTGACTAAATTGGACTTCTAATTAACAGCTGAACAATTTCCTAAATATTTTATCATTGACTAGTGTATCTAATCTGAAATCAAAAAGTAGAGTTTATCAAAGTAATGGACTTTCGGTCACATTTTCCACAATTTGAAACAAAATTTTAGCCAGTTAGTTTTCAAATAATGTAAGAAGCATTAATCAGGTCAATGATATTTACCATTAAGATTCCAAAGACGATTCTGAGGTTCTCATCAACTCTTGTAGTAGGCATCCTTATTGAATATAATTCCTACATGGTTATTGAGGAAATGCTAGCTTTCACTACAGTCAGAGGCTTGACAGTTGCGTAAATTGTGATATCCTCGTAAATTGTCAAGGTGACCTGCATTCTATATTTTAAAATTATGACAATAACTGAGTCTTTGCAGAGCAGGAAAAATGTCAGCAGAAATCTGTGGCCAAGTTAAAGACAACATCATAGAATTTCTCATAATGCCATAAAAGATCTTACAGTCCCTGCTGAAGTTACAGGTAACCTTATTTTGGGGTAAAAAAAGTACCATTATCTGTTTTCTGACACACGAGTGGCAGTCCAAATCAACATGGTTAAGGTTCACAAACTATAAACATCCAACCCTCTAACCTGCCCAGTTCAAGGTCCATTCTGCAAGTAACTGACCAAGTTTTTGTCCTCTTAGATTTAAGGCCCAAGTACAAAGCACCCAGGCCATAAAGCCAAAAAAGAAGGGAGGTTCGGTAACTTACAGCAGGGACCAAGAAAATGAGATACATAAAATATTTATAATATTTCTGGGTTCACATAAACAGTGAAGATTTCAATTCAAACAACCCATTAAACGTAGCAGGCTGTACATATATGATATTCACCAACCGGGAGGTCCATAGTGGGAAAAACTGTACCCAAGACAGAGGGCACAGTTTTTCCCAATACGGACTGACCTAGGATGGCAAATGACATTTTTATTTTTTTTCCTTAAACCTAATTAAATTCTTCACAAAATGGAACCTGAACGAGTTCAGGCTGTAATTACAGCAAGATCTATCATTAACTTAACAATTTTTGAGCAAGCAAATGGTAGTTAAAATAGAGGTAATTTAAATTAAAGAGAGATGCTTCACTGAAACATTTTCATTTACGTATGGATAAAGGTGATTTAAAAGGCTTCCAGCAAACTTTGAAACAATGAAAGTTTGGCAAGGACTGTCACAACAATGTTTTCTTCAAAAGCAGTCAATGATCTTACAGAGAGCATTATTCACTCTCATCATTGATTAATGTACAAAGATTTACTTCTGTTCAGTAAGTAAATGGCAGGGAAATTAATTGTAAGTAAATTCAAATTTTGATTTTGAAGTTGTGAAAGTTTGCTTGTTTGTTTACTGCAATGGCGCGTGTAAATCTGGTCTTTTCTCCGAAAAAACAAAATTCGAATGGGACACATCAATTAGACACAAGGGGATTTAATGCGGCTTTTTCTCATTGAATTCCTAAATGTCTAAATTGAACAGACTTGGAAAGACCCACTGAAAGTGTCTCTGTAGAGGAACTTAAAACTTCGCTCACCTTTTATCTATGGACAAATTGTTTGAGAGAATTCAGATACTAAATGAATGAAAGTTCCATATATTAATCCAATTGTAACCAAATTCCTCGCGTTTTAACTTTCCAGGTACTTTTTGTGAAGGATTAAAATTAATTACAGACAGGTTTTAGGCCACTTGTCAACTAATTTAATGACACTTTTGCTTATACACATTCATTTTGAAACCAATGTTTTTCTGCTAACCAAAGTGATTTGAGAGGGAGAAAAGAGAAGATTAATAAGTTATTTATTGGCTTGAGGTAGTGACCAACATCTTTGCTTAAAAATACTGCCCAGCTGGAAGAATGAGATATTTTTATGAAAAATGGCAGTGAAAGTAGGGACGCACTCCGCGATCCATGAAAGCTTTACCATTGCCCATGGGCAGAGATAGGAAAATACTGTGTGTGCTAAGAACCAATCAGATTGCAAGATTCATTACTGTACCCTCTGACAAAAAAATAAAGTGAAATATCACACTAAATTGACCAATCATAGTGCACATACTGACTGAGAGATATAATAATGACTATGATTCATACAATTTTATTTCCTTATCAGAAATAGACAAATGACTTTAACATGAGAGCTGACATCATAGCGATGATGCAGACACAAATTTCAATCATAACATGTTCTCTGCATTGCTTAAATCTTGATATAATTAGTTATGATACAAAGAAAACAACCACATCATTATATGAATCATCATAGATAAATCAAGAACCTGAATTCAAGTGTTAAATCTGGGTACTGATCAATTAAGACTCAAATTCACATAAGTACATTGTCCACATTGAACACTTTCCACAAAGAATTATGCCTGTGATCTAATTAGCTGTAATCTAAGTTTTTCTGGTGCTATTGCAATTGTTGGTCAAATCATCTTGTGACTAAAACGAAATCAATACTGCGCAACAAAGATTTGATGACAGCGATGAACTAAATACATATATGTTATTTGCCGGCTGTGAGGTCTGTATAGTGAAAAACTGTGACCGAGGTCTTTCATTTTCAAGGCCGAGGTCACAGTATTTCACCATATGGACCAACCCTTAACTGGTAAATAACATATTTTTTTTTTAAACTTAACGAAATACACTCTGAAAGAACCCAAATGATTTAGGGCTATAAATACGGCAAGATCTTCCATAAACTGAACAAATTTTGAGCAAGTAAATGGTAGTTAAAGTAGAGGTGATACAAATTAAAGAGAGATGCTTCACTGAAACATTTTCACTTGCGTAATGATAAAGGTGATTTTAAAGGCTTCCAAACAAAGTTTGAAACAATATTTTTACAAGTATCTGTCACAATCTGACACCTGTCAATTAGAGAGCGCATAAGAATTTAAGGCAGCATTTTCAAGACCGAAGTCACAGTTTTTCACCATACGGACCGACCCTTAGCCGGTAAATAACATATTTATTGTTTTTAAACCTGACAAAATTCTTTCCGAAAGAACCCGAATGACTTATGGCCGTAAATACGGCAAGATCTTCCATAAACTGAACAATTTTTGAGTGAGTAAATGGTAGTTAAAATAGAGGTGATGCAAATTTAAGAGAGATGCCTCAGCGAAACATTTTCATTTCCGTTATGATAAAGGTGATTTAAAAGGCTTCCAAACAAACTTTGAAACATTATTTTTACAAGTATCTGTCACAATATGACACCTGTCAATTAGAGAGAGCGCAAGAAAAAAAAATCGTAGGAACATTTGAAAACCAACAGAACTAGTTTGGCAAGGACTGTCACGACAATGTTTTCTTAAAAATCAGTTAATGATCTAACGGAAAGTATTATTTACTCTCATCAACCATTCATTCATATACAAAGATTTACCTCTGTTCATTAAGTAAACGGCGAGGAAAGTAATTGTGAGTAAATTCAATTTTTTATTTTGAAGTTGTGAGAGTTTGCTTGTTTGTTTGCTGTAATGGCGTGTTTAACTCTGATCTTTCCTTCACAAAAACTAAATTCGAATGGCACACTCCAACGAGACACAAGGGAATTTAATGCAGCCTTTTCTCAATTCCTTCAATTTCTGTTGTGCAATTTAAGGTACAAATGTCCAAATTGAACGGAATTGGAAAGACTCACCAGGAGCGTATATTTGCTATAGAACTTAAATTAAAACTTCGCTCGCTTTTTATTACTATGAACAAATTGCTCAAGAAAATTCAGATATTAATTGAATGAAAGTTCCATCGTTCAGTTTAACTGTAACCAAATACCTCATGTTTCAACTTTCTGGGTACTTTTTGTGAACAATTAAAATTAATTGCAGATGGTTTTCAGGCCGCTTGTCAACCAACGTAATGACACTATTTTTTTATTCAAATTAATTCTGAAACCAATATTTTTCTGTCAACCAAAGTGATTTGATAGAGAGAAAAGAGAGGATTCATAAGTTCTTTATCGGCTTGAGGTAGTGACCGACGTGTTTGCTTAAAAATACTGCCCAGCCAGAAAACGAGGTATATTTATGAAAAAATGACAACGAAAGTTGGGATGTACTCGGCAACTCATGAAAGCGTTACCGTGGCCTGTGGGCAGAGATAGGGAAATACTGACCAGGTAAAGAACCAATCAGATTGCAGGATTCGTTACCGTGCCCTCTAAAAAAACAATAATAAGCATTATTTGCATAAACGAGTGGACTTCAGCAAGCACTGAACATCATTGTCCTCTTACAACTTCATCTTACGGAAGGAAAACCTGACTATTTGTGAGGTGTAAAATTATGCAGATTAGGTGGAATTCTCTATTTGGTTCTATTTTACAATAAAGCACATAACAGATATTTTCAATTTGGCTTTACACACATATTTCTGCATTCACAAATGCTCTCTACATGAAAATGTTAATTAGAGGTTCGTCTTCGCATCTAACGCAACAAAACATGTGAGGTGGTTTTGATAGCATATTCACATCGATATCGACAATTTCCTTCAGAGCACTTCACTTAATAAACGACAATATCTAAATCATTTGTATTTTACCCTGTGAAAACAAACGGATGATATGAGGCTTTCATCTGCGAGTGGCCATTTACAAAACGAGAAAGTTCACAGCGTTCAAGGGTTACGACGTCTGGTAAAATTTCCGCACAGCCCCATACTATTGTAAAACAAATCTGTTTTCCTAATGGCAATCTATTTTTTTTGTCTTTGTTTTCTCTATCCAAGAACTGAATGCATAATGTTGTATGGGGCTGTGCGGTAAAATTTCCGCACAGCCCCATACTATTGCAAAACAAATCTGTTTTCCCAATGGCAATCTATTGTTTTTGTCTTTGATTTCTCTATCCAAGAACTGAATGCATAATGTAGTATGGGGCTGTGCGGAAATTTTACCCGACGTCTCAGCAATAATTTTGATCGAAGAATACTCCGCCTTGCTTCACCTGGGTGAAATATTCATACGCAAGCAGGGTCTTCATGAGTCTCGAGTGCATTCCTGGTTTGTCAAAATACGAAACTGCACTACAGGCTTGGCGGCGAACAGAGAGTAGAACTTACTTACCCAAAGTGGTGAGCATCAAGCTGGCTATCGATGACATCTTGCCAGAATCTCAACGTTGTGAAAGCAATACAATAACAGGCGTTGATGTTTGCGTAGAAACGTAGTCGCGGTAAAGTAGAACCTCACAGGCCCTTAAAAAGGGGGGCTTGATCGTCTTACCTAAAAAGAGGCTCTGCAGGTGAACCCTTCACGGCCCATAGGGCATTGCGAAAGGCCCACTCGACGATGTCACGCAATGTCAATAAGGATTTGTGCTTTTGTTTCGAGTGGAAAACCTAGATGTTTCTCTTCCTAAGATATGCCGCATTCCTGAATTACTTAATCTATTCTGAAAATATTTATCTTCAACACTGTACACATTATGACATTAAAAGTCAGATGCAAATACGAAAAAATCGTCAACAATCAATCAAGATTTTACCGGTTGGCTGTCACGCGATATCTCTAAATTTTTCATTTTTTATCATATATGTCATATTCCTTTGTATATAGTATTATTACAATTTACAATAATTGATACAGAAAAAAAAAACAGATTAATAGCGAGGAAAGCCCTCCCAAGAAGAACAAAAATATAGATATAATATTTAGAAAAATAATGTGTTGAGAAGCCATATAATAGTCCGTAGTCTGTTGTACAATTAGTAGTTATTGATAATTTCGTGGAAATTCTAAAGGATGCGAGAGATGAAGAACCACTCATAGAAAGGACCTTAAAACACGCTAAGACCTAAAAAAGCTTTGGAAAATCCCCTTTGATACTGAAGCAGTAACCGTGCATATGCCGCGCATTATATCTAGTATCAATGTGTCCTACTGATAGTTACCCCGCTCTGAACCTAAGAAAAACATAGTCTAATCCCATTGAATCCGACAGTATTGTGATCAAGAGAAAGTCAGTTGAACAATAGCATGTTTTCAAGTTTTCTGTTTTCTGAATGAGCTCGAAGGAGAAGGTTGGGGAACTTGTGGAAAGTTTGGGTGGGATGTGCTGTTGAAACCTAAAATCCCTGATCCGATTAAAAATAAAAAAAATTGTATTAATTGTAGCGTATCGATCTTAGGTAGCCAAAAATGAAAGATAACGAGTCAAAATTCATAAAACTACACATCGTCAAGTTTACAAGTTGTTAAAAGCTTCCAGTCCACAAGGACACCATAGCCTTCTAGTCACTAAACTTGTGCACTTGTTCGATGAGCAAGACCCCGAAAAACAATTGGGTGAGTGTCCCTCGGAAGTAGGCTAATGAACTTATCTTTTTCTGGTATGACTGTTTTCCTTTCTTTACATAATATCTACCCTTCTATTATTTATCATTTATTTACTTCTCCACTTAGTGCCTATTAATTACATATATGATTATGTAAAAGGTAGTTTTGTCTTAAAAATGTTATTATGGAGGAGCAGCGCACATCTAAAGAAAGCAATGTTGCTTCCCTTATTACCCTTTTCAATAATCTTCGTGGACTTTCCGCCGATACATGACCATAATTTCCTCCACCATAACGGCATAGAAGTTAAAAATGTTTTTCAGCTTGGTCACAATTTGACAGAAAGCGGATTCATCAAAATTCTCACAATAAGAAGCCGCCAGCAACACGCTTCTTACCTGAAGTAACCTTACAAACAAATCGTTTAAATTCTGTTCTGAGTTCATGCTACAACCGTAATCAAGTGTTCTGAAGGATTTCAAAAGGCACGGAAACAATGTTTCCTTCTCCATTTCTTCAACCGCGTTTAGAAACATTTTCAGAGTGTCACGCAAGTTACAAGTTGAGTGATCCTCGCAAAGAAGCATACGTTCACACGTTTGCACAGTGTATTCCTGGAAAGAAACTGGTTTTTTTGAGAAAGCTATTTCCTCTGAAGCATACCTGAGATACTTAGCATGTTGAGTTAAGGTTTTCAATTGCAAGCACAGTTCTTCCACTTTGTTTCTTATTTGCTTATTTTCCTCCAATCCTTCTTCAATGAAGCTACAACCTTGCAAAAGTTGAATTCTCAACGATTTAACCATACGGCAAAACGTCCTCAAGTCCATTTCTTTATATAAATATATTTCATTTGGATTTATTTTTGCTTCAAGTGCGTTCACAGATAAATCCATCAAGACGCTTGGAAACAAAACTGTTTCTTCCAAAACTGTTGCTGATTTCACGAAGCGTTCAAGGACAGTTACGAAACATAGCCCGCTCTCAGTGTTGTGATCGGGTCGGTTTTTTTCCGGTGACGCTTCCATATGCATGACAGTATTTTCCAGGACAGCTGGAGCTTGCATTAGAGTAAAATAAAACTCGCTTCGTAAGAGACACCGATTGCTTCCAGTATATCTTACCTGCATCTCGTGCGATCAGGTATGCGTGACGTCACGTTCTCTCTTCAAACATTTTGCAAGAGGCTGCGATTGCGTCATACAGGGATCACATGACGTCTATCGACACCGTTCCGAGGTTTACTTATTGCTAAAAAACGTGAAAACTTTATTCAACTCTATATTGAAGTAGAAAGACGAGGGCGTAAGACTGTTGCCAGACAATCTGGTAATTAAAATTATAATTTAAGTTACAGAAGCGTTACATTTTTTACAAGATGGCAGTGTGACCACGATCACGTTTTCATTTTCAACGTTCAATATCAAGTCTAATACTTTCAGGTTTTGGGTCAAGAGTTTTTCCGCTTGAAGAAAAAAAATGGAATTTTTATTCCACTGCGAAACGTGACAGAATGTATGAGAAGTAGATCGTAAGTTGGAAAGTTGATCCACAATGTTATTTTACCACAAGACTATTTAGTTGAAGTCTTTTAAAAGAGATGATAAAGGACGTTAATACTAAAACAAGTTTTTGATTTTTGTGTTATAATATTTGGATGTAAGCAACGACATAAACTTTGTATCTATAGAAAAATCGAGAATCAAAAGCTTTGCAAAGAGAATTTACTTTGAAACAAAGTTTCAAATCGTATGTCAATCTTATTGGTATCCCTATTCAATAAATTTTCCTATGTGCGTTCCTTTGTAAATTGGAAATTCGTGTTATATGTAATTTCCTCATTCACCATACTCGTAAGGTAATTTGTCACAAAAATGTCCGCTAAAATGTCTTTACACTCTCGATCCCCGACGATTCTGAGATCAGAAACTATCTTTAAAAATATTTTTAAAAAATACTGTCATGATGAACTTTCAAAAAGAATTTGTTCCGAAAAAGACAAAAGAGTTTATAGAAAAATAGCCCTTCGTGAGGTCATGTGCTAGCTGGTATTGCAAAGCAAACCTAGTTACATTGTGCATGTGACTGCGGAATTGTTATCGGTAAACTTGTCCACGAAATTGTCAAGTAAATGGTGTCATTGTATTTAGAATCTATCAAAACAAGATGGCGCAGGGTTTGATGGTGTGGTAATGTTCGGGGTGAAACAGCGTATAGGATGGATGTGTTATTGGTACTATGGAAATTAGTTCTAACTTGTAGTTTCGAGAAGCGCTAAGAAATAAAAGTGAATGCAGAAGAGATCCAAATGGTCAAACTCGTCTCATTTAACTAATCATCAGACACGGCCTTTGGGTTTGTAGGCAGCAAAGACCCATTAGTTCCATTGAAAGTACCAACTCGATTGTGAATTCAACCAACACGTTGTCTCGGCCACCCCGTGCTCGGGGATTTACAGCTCCTCATCAAGCGTAGGCGGGGAGGGGAAATTTGTAGGGCAGTTAAGAAATTTTTGGACGAGTTTCTTTATAAATCTTATTTGAATCCAACTGTGGTTCAAAACTTTGAGTAGGGGAAGGAAAATCAAATGCATTCCAGTAGTTGTAGTCAAATGACATTATTGTGCGAATTTAATCCAGAAATAATGATAATCTATACTTCAACACATAAAACGTTTATTAGACTGTTATTCAATCTTTACCTTACTAGAAAATTTATTTCAAAGTTAAGATTTCCGCTATGATTCCGTTTCATGATAATGAACATTTACAATAATTGTAACAATTTGCTGAATTGTCAACAAGACTCGATGATAAGACATCATACTTCATAACTCAACATAATATTGTACTTTTATAAATGGAATCTTAATCCAAATGCAACAAATTTTCTCATATCACTCGATATATCAACTAGCTCTATGCTTTCAGTTGTATGATACTCCATAACTGGAACATGAACACCGACAAGAATTGGTAAGGATCTTGACCAAGCCCAATATTAACAAGGCCCTTTAATCTCGTCATTGAACAAATCCACAAGCTATTTGTTTTGAATCATATCATTTTCCATACCTCAAAATATTAAACTTTTATGAAATGTTATTTGATCAGTGTTGACCAAAAGAAGCATTTTTTTCAAATTTATAAACTCCTTTTGATTACAATCAACTACAAAAACCTCTAGAAGAATTGTGACACAATCTTTGTTGACTTGACAACAAGGATCTTACAACATGATGACATAATGTGTCCTGCCTTGTGCCAGTAAGCACAAAAATCATATCTCAGGAGGACGATAGAGAACATGTAAGCAATGTCAGCAGATTAAAACAAGATTAAGACGACGATCCGCCTCCAGTCATATGCGTGCCATTACGTCTATTGCTTTTATTACGACAAAGCTATTTCTCCGATTGTGTGAATTAGATCAGTTCAGTTCAGTTGAAGCACGCTACAGGTGACTGTTGCAAGTGAGACTACTGCTAGAACAACGTTGAGCTCTTCTGAGGACAGGAAGAAATTTCACAGGACAGACGCGTTTGATCACATAGATTATCACTTACCGGAAAAATTTACTTCGTGTTCATCAGCAAGGAAAAGGGGCATCAGTTTCTTCTTGAACACGAGGGTACTTTTGATGATAAAGGCGGCATGTTTACTTGGTCCCGATTCGTTAACAGTTGCGAAGCAACGAAGGGTTGTCTTTGAGATTCGGTGATATTTGCAAAAATGGCTCTCCGTTATGTCGAAGTCAACGAGGAATTTTAAAAGAACTAACGCGAGGCAGTGATAATGATACCTGCAAAAGAAGTACTGACTACTGTACCAGAATTTTCTAACAATAGGTGAAATGAAGAGAACTAGATAGCTGAAAACAGCTCCCAATGTAAATAATTTTAGCCACTGGAATGTGACGGTCAACATCACTGGAAGCCACTCGTCAAGAAGTGCAAGAGAAAGTACAAGGGCATATTCCTACACGATTCTGACCCTGATGAAGCCTACTTTCTTTACTTACATCAATACATTTAGAAACATTTTTGTCGGGAAAACCGATTAGCCAAACTAAATAAAAATGGTTGGTTCGTCTTTTATCTAAGCACTAAGCAGGCCTTCAGAAAAAACAATGTTCGTGAACCGCGCGTAATTAAACTCAAGTGAAATAAAATAAATCTTTATTGAAGTTAGGCCAATGCAATGATATCTAACAAACCTAAAATAAGTGACTATGCATGGAAGAAAAACACGTTTGATCAGCACAAATTTCCCAGTGGACTTTGCCGACTAAAGCAGGCGAAGAAACATCCCCTGAACACAGTAACTGTGAATGGATGAGTAAACGAAGAGCGATATTATCTGCAGGCTTTATCATATTAATTTATGTTGCGCAAATGCAAAATATTTTACAAGCAATGCTTGATATTTGAGCAACTTGGTGAGAAACATCGTCTGCATTTCGCTATATAGCAATTAATATTTTCCAATTTCTGTAAAATTGTGATGAAGAAGTTAAAAGCTTTTGTAGTCGCTTTACCTTTACGCACTCAAGTCATTTTTCTTATCAGATGTTGACCATGCTTTTATTTTCCTAAGTGAGTGGGAGTTGCCGGGCTTCAACTCTTTCGACAGTTGAACCACGCCTTCAGCTACGGTATCTTCCTGTTCACAAGAGAGATTTTTCTTAACAATCATTTATTGTGCCGTAGTCGAAACCTTTGTCATTTTCCTATTTCTTATATAAATGAAGGATGGGCTTCTGCTGCAGATGAACATGGTGGAGGATCATAGCAATCTTTGTCGTACTGTTGCCACTTGAGCGGAAAAGTTAGTAATCACATTATTTTTGGTATTTTTTTTAGGATCAGATCTTTGTTTCCTCTATCCAGTGAAGATTAGATTTCCCTTTGCATTCGTATCATAAGCCTGAAACGACTCGCAAGGTACCATTACAAAGGGGGTAAGTTTCTGAAAACTGTGGTGCTGCTTCGGTGGGAGAGTATAACAGGGTAATTTAGTAATATTGACTAAGTTGATAACGTGAATTGGCCACCGTAAAGAGTTTCAAAGCTGACGTTTCGAGCGTTAGCCCTTTGTCAGAGCTTTGAGCTTCGCTTAATACAGGTTAGAGAGAGAAATTATTGAAATTTATCCTTTTCATCCTTACGGATGATAAACGATGACGCTCGAGCATCGTCCTTATCATGGTTAACGTGAAATGTCTCAAAGAGTTGTTGAAAAAGCACCTCTGCCGCAGTTGTGAGTTACTAACAGAAAACGGAATTTTTAGGGGAAAATTCATGACTATATTGGAAATCGTTTACTTTGTGCAATAGCAGTTGCGAGCCAATGCAGCATTTAACTCCCTCGTCTGGTAAATAAAAAATGGAATCGAGCTTTCTTGTTAACTCCTCTGTGTTACTTGCAAGCGGAACTAAGAAATCACAACGCCCAAAATGGAAAAAGAGTCAGATTTTCCTTGACTTGAGGTTAAATCGAAACTAGAACTTGACTTCGGTTTGAAATAAACTCTTGCAAGGTATAACATTCATAAAAGTAATGCGCTCCGCTTCGCGTCGTGGTTTCCTACGCTTATCGAGTGTTCTCCCCACCTCCCGCGTGTTTACATCAGGCTATGTAAACACGGAAACCATTAACTTAAAGTTTACAAATAGGCATTTCATTTGCATATCATATTATGATAATGCTAAATTCCATTGTTCAGAGAGTTACGCTTGACGATACCTGACCACCTGACAGCAATACAAGATAACATTTCGGTTTCCTTCTTGAGGTGCCAGGTTGGAGGCTCATTATGTCACAGAACTAAACCATATTTTTCCTCAAGGAAAAAAAGGAACGCAGAGAGGCTACTTATAACATCAAGAAAGGTGTTGTTAGCCACCTCACCTAAATTTGCATACCGTGCATGGGTTTGAGTACTAGTGCGTGACAAATAAACAAAGATTTCGACATGAGGATATTAAGAACTCATTCCTCTAATTTGATGACGTTTTCGAGCACGATTAATTCCTTTTAATATTGCAGCGGCACTATTGCCATGGAACAAATAGTTTATTATTAGCGTGGCTGTTGTAATACATCAGAAAGGAAGAAGTGGAAAGGAGAAGTCGCGGAACTGAAACACTGCGGGAACCTGATCATTGGCTTACTTATTCTACGGAGCTCAACTAATTTTCCTTCTTTTAATGTTAAATCCTTTTTTATTTCATACATCACTTCTTTTGAAGCAGTATTAATCATTAAGGTAAGTCTCAGTTACTATTTTGCTTACGTTACCTCATATTTCCGTGTGAATTTTTTCTTCTGTTGTTCTGCTAAACTTTCACTCATCAACTTAATTTGAGTGTCGAAGTGATTAAGCATTAATTTTTGCTAATTGGGGACACTAAATGAAGTTATACTTAACAAAATATAACAATGTTGACGTTACAGAGTTCATTCTATTTGTTGATCAGCGACGTGATGACGCGTTCATCGATTCCGAATATTCTCGGTTTAACAAAAGGATCTTAACGGATTAGAGGTCATAAAGTCACACGAGAACAGTTTGGTTAAATAATCACTTTCCGTGCACAATGAGTTTCTTTTGACATGTTTTGCTGACTGGAGCAATTTTTGATTACACAAAGGATGTAGTGTGGCAAGGTGAGTGAACGGTTCGTGAGATATTTCTTCTCTGTTAAAACTCGTGAACAGCTGGAAACTGAGAAGAAGAAACAAGGTATCTTTGAATATTCACTAAACTGTAATGAACTTAACATTTCGATCGACGGATCAAGGACTTAATACATGAATGTCCGTCTGTTTCTCATGCTTGCTTAATTTGCGATATTTTCTCTCCTCTCATATAGGTTTCCCCTTGTATCTAACTGGAAAAAAAAACTTTAATTTGGACGAGGGACTACTGGATGCTCATTAATTTCCGCAATAAGAAGAGAAAGGTAGTGAAAACGAAAGTTAAATAAGATATTTACAAAGTTATTTCGGACTAATTAGAGATCGAACACATACATCTTTATGTCTATTTCCATTAGGCATAAAACATTTGGTCGTGGTATACCAAATGTCAGTTTAAAGCATGATGGCAAATCTTTCAAACTTACACGAGAATTCAAATCCCCTTTGCTTGGCCTCTGATAGTAAGGGAAACAGAACATATATCGAAAGTGAGACTCAATCTGGGGTTTTTCCCGCTTCCGAAATGATGTCATACTTCTGATCCAACCGACTTTGTCAAACCAGCAAATGTTCCTCGTCTGCCCTACGGAGAATAAGAGGATTGTTGGCTAGAGACAAATTTTTTTAAAAACACCGCACATGAAGACTGAAATTACAGGAAAGATTATCGGTTCCCATAACTTTAGACAGGGAATTTCAAGCACTTCGGAGTCAACTTTAAAAACATAGTAGCGACTTGGAATTAATGTACACATTTCAACCGTCGGCAGCGTTTGCTAAATTTTGGAATGTTTCAATTGTTTTTCGAACTCGAGCTTTTCGTTAGTACACTACCTTAGCGGGGTCGTAATCACTAGAAATCAGGATTATTACGCCATACCTAAACTAAAATATTCGTACCTCAACAAAAGTGTTTGCACATTTCAAATGTGCTGTAAGGGTGATTGTACGTTCTTTCCACTTCTTTTTTCCGTTGTAGTGCCATGTGTGAGGTACTTATGAATATACAGAACGGCCATCTCTACCGGCGACCGCTTACATGAAATATGCAAGACATAGCCCCAAATTTGCATACTTTGCCAAAGTTTGCATAATGATTCTTTGTCGACATCAAGAGTGCAATGTTGTCCAACATATACATGAAAGAGATTTAAATACCATCGGACTAACTCACTACATTGCCATCTCACAGAATCTTAGATAGATACTACCAAGAATCGAATATCTTGTTCAAAAATCATAATCTTTAAGGTCAATTCAACAGATTAGAGATAATAAAGTCACACAACGAGGCATTCGGGTTTTTCCCGCGCAATGATTACTTTAAGTTTCCATCTGCGATATTCATTATCTTTCAGTTTTCTCTGACTGTTAGATCATAATTTTTACGAGAGATGTTTATTTAAGAACATATAAAGCAGAAGAAAGGTTGGAGCAGCAGCCAACGTCACGTCATTTTATGCTATTGGCTTGTCGATTACATCAATGATGTAACGTAGATATTCACGGAGATTGAGATTACCAACGAGGAATCTTTGGAAAACTCCTCTTTGAAATTAGCTCATGTTTTGATCAACACTGATATAGAGCGATTGCATCACGGTTATTTCTTTCGAAATGCATGTAAATGCAATCCTTCCATGAATACCGAAGCTAGTTTTCCATTCGCTACGTCTACGCATCCCTTTGGATTTTATAATTGGGCGAAGAAAATGATTCCATAAATTCTCCAGATGAAAGTAAAAAAATGAAATTGGAAGTGACATCATTAATGAAACTCATTAGCTGTTGTGACAATATTTACCACACACCATGGTCACAAATTGAATGTCTGAAATATTTAGAAACAAGTGGTTATTTCAGTCTAAAAAAATTGAAACAAAAAGAAAGTAAAAGCGGTCGACGAGAGACAAATATAGAAAGTGGGTGAAAAATAACTAAATGGCTGCGAAAATAAAGGAATACATCCTGCATCATTCCAAAGAATGGAACATTGTGTCGGTAACAGTCTAGAGGAACCCTATAAGTCTGCATTCTGTTCTAAAAGGTCATTACACATGCACGATCTAAAACATTCGATTTTATTTTTTCACAATACTTGTGAAGTTTACACCGAACCGAGTTTTCAAGTAAGTCACAAAGAACAAAAACAAAATCAAGACAGAAACTAAAAGAATAACCGAGAGAGACCCTTTCAGCAGGAGTGGAGAACTCGATTAAATTCACTTTGAAAATGATTCATACACCATAATATTTGGTGAAAGTAGAGAAGGATCACATTAGCAGCTATACTCTAGCCTTGCTCTCGAATGAATTGCGTTACTAAAAGTAGACTAAATAAAACTTGACTTTCAGGAAAACAAGATGAGGACGATGCTCGAGCTGTTAAAAGAGGGTTACAAATTCGTTGAACTAATCAGACACCGATTTCCAAGAAAAGTTGATGCTGTCAGGATTCCACCTCGTCGTGGATTTTATCAGCGAAAAGAAGATAAAGAAGTTATGAATACGTTGAAACGCCTCTGCAAAAATGGTAATTCCTCGCGCGTGAAGACCCTGATTTTACATGGGCCAGCAGGACACGGTAAAGTGCACTGCGCGGCAAATCTGATGGATCAACTTTACACTAAACCTGTACGCTCGCGATTCTTCTGGAACAAACCATGGAATTTTCGAAACAGACCAACAATCCTGTGGACAATCAAAGCAACAAATAAAGCAACGATGCTCGAAAGTTTCTGTAGTCTTGCCAAAGAAATCGGTCTGACTGAACAGGCCAAGGTTGCAAATCAGGAACTACCACTTTTCAGCAGAACATCAGAAGGAAGACAATACCACATGAGTCTTCAAAATCAATGCCAAGAAAATGCCTACGACAAACCTTTGAAACAAATTTACGAAGAAGTTATGAAGACCCTGAGAAGGCAAGGTTCCTGGGTGCTATTGATAGAAGGTGCTAAAGAAGATAGGTCAAGTCAACAACAATTTTGGCCTGCGCCAGGTGATCCGAGCCTTGGAAATGGTCTGGTGATCATGACTACTGAAGATTCTAAGTTATTGCAAGAGGAAGGTGATGACTTTCCATTGGCGAAGGTGTTCATCGGTAAAATGATGAAAGAAGATGCAGTTAAATTTCTTGCGAAAAAAAGTGGTATCCCTTTAACTGATGCTGCATGCTTCGCAAATCTGGCGCATTGCATTCCCCAAGATATAGCAAAGTGAGTTCTTTTACATAAAAAAAGGCTTAAGCTAAGGTGATCGAGTTGAGAACCTTGAAAGTTTCTTTATAATCTTCTCCACAATCAAGCATCAACTTATGAATCAACTAATCCGTAAAAATCATGAATTATCAATTCACGTTAGACGGTAACTCATCAGAGGCCATCCCTTTATAAACATCTTAAAGGTTGTAGATCTGTAATTTAATTTTTCTAATAACAGGTTAGGAGCTTTTGTGAGGGAATACCAAGAAGAAACGAATAAAAAACTAACTTTTGGAAATTTACCAGTACCACCGAAAGAAGTCACATTCCCTCAGTATATGATAATGATGATGGAACTAACACGTGAAAATCAAACGCAGGTAAGCTTAAAATATTTTAGTTTATCTTGCAGTACGGAGAGGCGACAACCAGGTTCCAGAATTACGATGTTAGAGAGGTATACTTAGATTAATGGTTGAACCGGTCTGCCTTCTATATTTCAGTTAGGCAGTGTTCTAATCACTAACATCTTTGGTTCTCTCGTTTATCCTTAGCTGTTAAAATTCTTGGCCTGCTGTTCTAGTGAGAACTACTTGCCCCTTGAAATTCTAGATAGAGGTATTACAGGTCCATTGGAACGAGCAAATTTCAGAACATTTGTCGAATGGTCTACGAGAGAGGAAATTAAAGTAGTAACCATACATCCAAGAGAACACACCATGCTCAGAGATATACTCAGTGGGCAAAGCCGAAGTGTTACTGGTTAGTTGCAAGCTAATATTAGCTCTGTCACATAATGTAAGCAACAGCTGTCAGAATATGCAAAGATGACTTGGAAACGTAATTTCTATTTGTGATGGCCGTAAAACCTAACGTCCATGATCTAAAGAAATAACGGAAGTTTCGTTAATAAAATAACGTTATATGTTTCAGCAAAGATAACCTAGAAGGCAATGAAAGCCGCTAATCTCGCCTGCATTTCAAAGGAACTTCATTACCTTTCGCTTTTGTGAGTAAGGGTTCCCTTGGAGTAAACAACTTCTAACTTCATTAACACTTTCGAGCGGATACGAGAATAAAGGCAATCACCGGATCTTTTTTTAGCGAAAATATTTCATATTTGGAATGATTATAGTGGGGCACATCCTCCTCAAAGAGATTATTCCCAATAGATTTTTAGATTCTAAATATATATCACTCCCTCTATTTCCCTACGGTGCTGTATTGTTCTAACGTTCCAATTGTTCTACTCCTTTTGACAACGACTTTATAATTTCAAATTTTACTCAAGACTTGGTTTCCCACTTAGTCCTCTCTTGCTGTTCGTGAGTCGTATTTTCCTTTGTAGGAATATTTTACTCATTTATTTTTTCCCCTTCTTTATTTTCGTAGAAAAGACATGGACATACGTATTGAACATTCCCTTCTTGCAAAACAAACCACGAAACATAAACACTCCTACTCTGTCGTGTCTCGATGTCTTTCACGTGATTAAATGCCTGAGCGAGGTATGCAAAGATGCTTTACAAAACAACAGGAATAAAGACTTCAAATTGATGCGCTTCGTTTTACCACATCTGAAAGAAGCTGTGAAGGTATGCACTAAAACAGCTGTTCTTGTAATGACTAACTACTGATCTGATCTGGCCGGAAGAAAAAAAAGCATAAAAAATTCGCATTTTTCAATCTTTTTCCAAAGTCTAAGGCTTAAAAGACAGTGATCTCTAGATATGTGGTTGTGTTACTGGCAAAAAATCTTGGTATTTCCAGTCGTATACTTTTGGACGCAGATGTAAACTAGGTCAAGAAGAGCTGGGTTTTTTTCATGCACAAAAGTGAAGTGAAGTGATCGGGGAAAAGTCGTCCAGCATCGCCGGCGCTTGTATGGCATTTTTACAAAAAAATATTCGTGACAATAATATGGTTGTGTAAAAAAATTAATGAGAGCATTGAACTCAGTGAAAGTGAGTTTAACCATTCGGTTTACTTGTCCTATGATGAACTTTTGAAATATGGAAACAGTCTGGAGACGAAAATGTTTGATACCGAATGATTAAGAAATATCATTATGGATTAAAGGCAAGACTTCTCCCCAAAAAAATACACTTTTTGTCACTCACCTAGTTCTGATGGTTTTTTGGGAATTTTTTACGCCTTAATTTCAGTTTTCGAGCGGATTTCCAGTAAGCTTTGCCAACAAATACTTTACAACTGATAGATTTTGCTGCCGCTAAAGACTTTTCCGATTCAAATTTCGATAATCCAGCTTCATTTTTTGAACATTTACCGGGAAAAGGAAATGTAACGAAAACCACAAATGACACAATAAACCGCGTTTCAAGGAATTTGGCGTGTTACATTGCAAGGAAATGAAGAACAGGATTTTACTGTACAAACGTCTTCGTAGTTGTCTCCCGCTCGTGATGATATCCTATTTTTTAATAGTTCAAACAAAATTGTTAATATGGCCTCTTATGAGCCAGCTGTTTTGCTAATTAATATCTGCTATATTCGATCGGGGCGATTGTAGCAAATGCAGAGCAAGGAAATCTTTTCTGAACTAACTTTAAATCGAATCAGGTGCGGCCTTGCGTGAACAAGGACAACTGCAGATGAGTGGGAGTGAATGATGCATTTAATGTGTAAATCACATTGAAAAACAAGTTTTTTTCCTTAAAGCTCAAGGAAAAGTTGAAACTAGAAGGAGAATTCGACCCCCTCGTCATGGCTAATGGACATGCCTGTCTTGGGGAAGGTTTGCTCATCTTTGGAAGGCCTGAAGAAGCAAGGGAGAACCTCAAGATTGCTCTAAACTTCTTCAAGAACTATGAAGGCCAAGAGAATGTGCAACTTGACCTGGCTAACGTGTGGCACTTCCTGGGAGAAGCCCACAGCAACAGGTATAAGTTGAATCCTCATATTCTGCGCACAACCAGTTAAGGCATAGTTTCAACATCGAAATCACAAATTTAACAAACATATTTCCATTAAAATTGATAATTATTTTACGAACATATTTCGCATAATTACATCATTTTTGGAAAATGCCCGTTGTTTTGCTTTCATTTTAAATTTTAAAAATCCAGTTAACTTCATTTTGATACGAAAAGAGAATATCTCCTCCAAACCACCTCTAATAAGCAGTATCCACGTCTAAAAAAGCAACTAAGTTTTGAAAGCTTGGGCAGTAAGGATACGTTATCACAAGTTTAGAATGTTAGTTGCATTTCGACCGAGGGTTCGAATTAAAGGTACAGATTCTTGCTATATCATAAGTCTTATGGGTTAATTTATGAATTTATAGTCACCTCGCGAGCCCGTGGGAAAGAAAAATGTATTTAGAAATAGCCTTGCAAAAGAAAAAGCGGTTCTACAAAGGAGAGGATCACCCACAGATTGCTTTGACGCTACGAAGTCTTGGAAATGTATTGAACGAACTGGGAATACATACTAAAGCTATGTAAGTATCGAAGAAAGTTAATTATAGCCCAGAGATAACCTTCGGTAAGTTATTTTCAAAATTAATTTTCAAAAGATCCAGCGACTCAATTTTAAGAAAATAAAGAGAAATTAGAAAAAGCAGTCAAACCGAGGTGTTACTCTCGACTGAATGCCCAAAACAAGCCACTAGACGAAGCACCACTTACGCTAAAATTACCTATGCTAACGTCATATGTTCCACAAAGTTTCATCAGACAATCGTATCTACAATCTTTACACGTTCATAATAAAATGATCATGACGCGGAATTTCGATCCAGCTTTATCCAAAACTTCAACGACAACAAATGATAACCGCGAAAAAATGTAAGCAATGTTTAAAATCAGAATAATGTTCCCGGTACCTAAATCTTTTTTCTCTTCAAAGCAGTAAAACGCCAGACTGAGGATTTCCTTCTGACACTGCAGCTCAGGAAACATCACTATCAAAAACTCAAATTCTTTGAACGGAAATCAAAGAAACTCACTCTTGACAGTAATTGCCTTGTTCATCAACTTCAGTTAGCCTCAATGAAAATCTGAAACTTGATCAATTCTAGAGAGAAAATCTCTTCTCCTTCCTGTTGAAATATTTTATAGCATGTGCCTGTGTGGATAGAATGTATAGCTTGTGATGAAAAGCAAGGCACCAAGAAAACCACTGGCTTGTCAATAACCACAATAAATATTTCCCAAATTTTTACTTTCAGTATTCAGGAAGATACTTTAGACTTTGGAGGGTTCAGACAGGAAGCGAAATATTGCTTCTGCTTAATTTACTTCAAAAATCACATTCGCAGCAAACTCGATATATTCTCACAAAAGTTTACGAACGACTTTAGACTGCCAGAAAGTTTGAGGCCTTGAGCGAAGCAAGCCGGCGGGAGATCTGTGAGGGGTTTAACATCGATGATCAGATTAAGTTTTAGATTAATATGCGAGAGTAATTCTTTCTCATGCATTAAAAAAATTCACTTTTGTCTCAGTAACTTAATCCAAAGAGCCCTGAAGATTTATGTCGGTAAAGAAAACTTCAAACAGGAATATGGTTACACCCTGAGTGCATTGGGATCTTCGTACCGCTACCTCGGTCAGTATGCTGAAGCAGAAGACTACTTAAAGATGGCTCTCAAAATCTTTGAATCCGTCGAATCACCAAGCGAACTGAGGGTAATGTTATACTTATTTTACCTTTACGTTCTAGTTGAAGCTTGTTTTCAGCCTCGTCACAATATCCCTTCCCTAACATTATTACTTATTGGGTTCCAGTCTAATAGTTAATTTGAGAGTGCGGTATTGGACCTTGTTGATCTATATGTCTGCAGATAGCATTCATAATATCATCCTGTAGCTCATATGCACCGGATCTTATAGCATTCATGAACCAGTGGAGCAGAATTCTGCCTGGAAACTCTTGCAACTAGATTAAGCTTAAATACTATATTTTTACACCAGATAATTATGTCTTCAAGCTTCACGTTTTGGGAGACTAAACGGATCTCGACTTACAGACGGATGATGAATTGTTATTCCAACATAAATTGTTGTGAATGGGGATTATTCCCATTAACGACACGAGTTATGTTATCTAAGATGTAAGATACTTGTCTGCACTAATCCTCTATAATAATACTGATTTTACCAATATATAAACTTTCTGGCAACGCGACAATGCTCTTAGTTTGATTCCGATGCTATGGTGGCATGCCTTCAATGTTCCAGGATAAATGGCTTTTTGCCATCATTGTTCTTGTATTTGTTCTGAAATTCCTTCATACTGTCATCCAGGGCCCCTTTGTTTCCAGCAAAGTAAGCTGTAGTTGCATTTTGGAAGAGTGACAATTGTTTATGCATTACTTTCACCTGTTGAGGAAGTAGATAAAAGAAACAAATAGCAAAACTGATCCAACTTCTACTCGGGCGCATTGCGTGGAATAAACGTTTAAGGTGTCTACATGCAACGTCTAATAGGGCACTCCTCACAACAATTGTTTGCTCATATTAATGAAACATTGATACTTAAAACCTACGATGACTTCTCATAGATACCTATGTCACTAACCCAAGATACCTCTTCCCCCCTTCAAGCAAGACTAACATTTCATCTTGGATATAGTCACATCAGTTTTAAACAGCTGATATAAATTGCACGCTCACACAAAATAAACAGTTCTAGCTTAGACTTCGCAATGTATTTGTGACCTCAAACAAGATATCTTATATAATGTCTTTCTTTAGGATTTTCCACTTTTTAAATGTCCAAAATTTTTCATCATAATTTCACTAAAAGTTATGTCTGTTGATTATTGAAAATTTCTGTTAAAATACCGTATCAGATGAAAATAAGTGGCATCGTCAAGGAAATTCAGATTTTTTAAGTGCTTCCGTCGAAACCCCGCATAAATGCTCAAATGCTTTTATTTTCAAAAGGGAATTCTATAATTTTTTTCATGTCCACCCGAGTAAAGCCCATAGCGGTAGTGTAAAAGACAACATCTCGCCATGATTACTGAAAGTGGGTCACATGAGACGTGAATTGCAAAAATACCTTGTTTTCTTCTAAAAATCTGAGTTTGATCGCTAAATCACCCCGAAGTCGATCAAATTTGTCTTTTTGGACATCATACTTCTGCTTTGCCGCTTCAGCTTTGTGAACTGTCGCTGCTGTTCTTGGTCCAACTTGGATGGATTCCAGGTCTGTCCTGTAAGCATCATATTCTATTCTGGCGGATTCATAAGCTTTCACTGTCATGATGGAATCCTCTATGGTCTTGTGCACCAGAGTCGTCAAGTTAGATGTAAAAAGCTTAAGTGCCCCAAGAAGAACTTCTCCATTCTTGACCAGTAATCTTTGGTACTCAGAATTGTAGTTAAAGTCAGCCTGAAGTTCTGGAGATTTTACCCCTAAATCTGCAAAGGCATCGGCAAGACCTCTTTGACTTTGAACCATATTCTGTAAATGGTTCGTCATCTGTTTTGCCAGTTTTAGAACATTAACATACTTTACTTGGGTTTCTTTTAACAGAAGAATCTGTCCTTCAAGTTCTTTGTCCACGGTCCTTGTGCCTTTACCAAAACGTTCAGAAAGATACTGCCTGGTGAATTTATAAGTTGAAATACTCCATTTCTTTAAGTGATCTATTTTCTGAGACGCATTTGCTCGAATTAGAGCTTGGGAGGTGGGATGACTACCTGAAGTCGTACCTTCAGATGACTGCCAAGGCGTTGGTGATGTGGCGGGCCCTGCTGAGATTTGGTCAATAATAAAAGTTAAAGGTTTAAGCAAACAGCTACAGCTTTAAGGCTCGACTTTCTGAATAGCGAACTATAAAATATTTGTTGCGTTAATATCTCTGAGGAGATGCACTACCTCAGATGGCGTTTTGTCCCTCAGTTGGTTACCAGTACAAGAACAAAGACACAAACCTACTGCAAAAAAAGCTTTGTATATCCCGTTTTGGCCTGAGTTTATGAGCTTAGACGTACAAAAGCCACCCAGGAACTTAAGATCTACCGGTGGTGCTCAAGTACAAATCCCACCAATGACAAATATATTTCAAGACAGTGCTGTGACTCTTTTGATTAAGCTCTTCTTGAGACATTTTTTAAACACAGCAAACCATGGCGTTTTTAGCAGAGGTTAAGCGCTTACTTAGCCAAACTAATGCCGTTAGAACATGCTAACTTGAACCTCCTCAACTAGTTCCTTCCAATTTTTATGATTGATGTAATATATAGCATTTAACTATCATTTTTTTTTTGCTATCGTTATCCTTCCTTTATTGTATATCAATCGGTAGGTGTAGAGCTACTCTCTAGAGATAATACCGGTAAGCATGTCCTAGACAGGGAATTGGCTTTGGCCTCAATAGCTCAGTGATTTGTTGCGCACGTACAAAGGATCTCCATTTGTTTTCTTCCCAACGAAAAGAGGAAAACTTTACGACTAATGGAGTTTGAAGACTTTCATAGACGATAATTACAACTAAGTGGGCGTATTCCCTATGTTTACTTCATGGCCTATATGTCGTAATTAAACGGCTCTGGATCCGCCTCTAAATATGTGGTTGAATGTACCAAAAAACCGATGAATACGATGTTGACACAGTAGCTGCCGATTAATTTGCTCTAGTTTTCAAATGTGCATGTCAACGGAGCCCGGTTAATTTTCAAAGGTAAACTTGTTAGAAATATTGAGCGTTGGAACATCTTTTCCGAGATCGTACGACCAAGAAATCTTGACTCACAGAATGATACTAGTTTTTCTTATTCATCAATGTAAAACGTGCCTCCAACATTAGTAGAAAACCGCTCTTCGATAAAGATGTTGATTTAGATCTCATAAGATAGAATAAATAACTTATTATGTTTCTCATTATTAGCCCCCTAAAACTTCATATTTTCATATCTTTTCACTGGTTGATCTCCGGTTGCAACAGCTTACCTCGAGAGGCTTTGTTGGTATCCTTCATTGATATCATCCTAAAAACACGGACTAGTTTCCTTCACCAAGCTACGAAATTAAAAATCACAGACGCGCAGTGAATGTGACTAAGTGAGCGGCTAGAACAAGCACGGGCACCGGTACCCGCAATTACCTGTAGCACAGTCCGCAATAGAATGGCAAGACTATTCGTAAGGAGTTTCAACTCCCACGGGTCTGTAAAAGGCGCAAAACTGAGTAGATAGTACAAGTACAGTGGCTCAGCTTAAGAAAATTTCATGTAAGAGTTGCAGCTTACTCATGATGTAAATTATGATGGGAAAGAATGACCATGATCGAAACGAAACTTTAGTAAACAGCTTCGCGTGTACAACTCGTAATACACAAACTGAACTCTAGATCATGTTTTCCACGAGAATTGTGAAGTCTGTTTTTCATGTTTGTTAAAATAAATTTGAACAGAGCTTTTGAAGTATGCTTTTAGTAAACAAGTATTATCTTGTCTAATTTTTCTCACCGCAGTCGTTTGGAGGGCAAGAAACCTATATCCAGACGAAATCTCTATTGCGAGAGAACTTGCAAAATTTTTTGCATGTATCTTTTGAAGAAAATTTTGAACACGCAACCTATGGGTGATATCAGAATAAAATGGCATTAAGTGATAAAATTATAACCAGAAGAGAAAAAAATCAAAAGAGTGTTATGCCAATGGCCACCTCAAACCACCTGGTTTTTTTTCATTAGGTTGCTCTAATTCACTGTTGTTTCAAACGCAAGCGGTAAGGATATATCTAACTGACTGCAATTATCTGGCCTGAACAAACTAAATGGTCTCAACCTAAAAACCTTACCTTTCAGATTGGCGCGACACTCAGCCGTTTGGCCTCTGTGCAAAGAAATATGGACAAATTAGATGAAAGCATTGCTTCCTTGGACATGGCACTTAAAAAGTTTGGATACAACGACATATACAGTGCTGTTATTTTATCAAAGCTGAGCGTGGTGTACCGCTACAAGGCGGATTTTAAAAGAAGTCTCCAGTTTGCGTTGAAAGCTAAAAAAATTGCAGATGACCAATATGGCACAAAAAGTCATCCCGGTAAGTTATTGTTAATTCTCATCGTATTCTCCACAATGTTACCGTTTTGTTATTAATAAAACGAAGAGGTTGAACTATTCATTACATTAGCTACGTTAATCCTTGAGAACTTTTGAACTCGAGAGGATCTTTTTTCGTTACAGCTAGAGCTACAGCATTGTTAAATCTTGGACATGCGTTGAGTGATGTGGGAGATGTAGACGATGCAGTGAGAAGTCTTACAGAGGCCTTAGATATCAACAAGAAAATCCATGGCAGTATCCATCGCATTGTGGCCGCCAACTACAACTATTTATCTTATGGCTACCTACAGATGGGAATGGTTCAACAAGCCAAGAAAGAGCTACAAAACGCTATAAAGGTCATGCACCATTACTCTCGCTCTCACCCAGGTAATAAGCGACATTGTTACTTTCAATAGCAGAAACAGCTCGAAACTTACTCTCGAATCGTATAAATAGATTGAGTTTAGGTCCTCTGTCGTACTTTAAGATGAAGAGTAAGAGGACATTTTTTTTCTTTTATAACAACCTGTCTCACTCTAACGGCTTTTGTGTGTAAACGATCATTAATAAAATTGATTAGAGAGGGGTCTCCCCTCAACCAGGATTAGATTCGACTAAGATAAGAAGCTAAATCGAGGACATGTAAGGAAGCCCTTAGGATCCGGTGCAATTGTTTTTGTCTCCGGTGCAATTGTTTTTGTTACGAGTTAAAATCAGGGTCTTCTTACCGCCAAAACACCGCGATGGCGAGAGATTCCCCAACGATTGTAATAATTTCGATCAATGCATATTAGACCCTAAAATCAAAGATGACGTATTAACGCTTACAGCTGTTTTTTTTCCTTTAAGAGAGAGCTAATTCTCTAAAGAGGCTAAGCAAGGTCTGCTTAATCCTCGGGGAAACCATCAAAAGCGCAGATTTAGCTGAACGTGCTCTCCAAATCTACAAACAAACGCATGGAGATACCATGGAACATAGAGAGGTAAGCCAAAAAACACTGCATAGTTGGTGAGTTAGATTTTTATGATAGGTACAAGTACACTGGCCTGTGAATTTTCCTTTTTGTTTGGAAGGAGCCCTTTTCAGGAGTACTGAGGTTAAGGAGTCACAACTTTTGCTCATGTCTAGGTATATTAAATACGAAAACTTATCTTACAGTATACATAGTCTGCCTATCGAACAATTTGTTGATTTCTCTTGAATTTTACTGCCGGGTAATGGGTAAAGGACCCTTATCAGCTATTGTTTTTTCTATATAACTTGCTCAATTTAACAAATAATTTTCACGTTGCCGTGCCTCTGTTCAGTAATAGATCACAGCTGACGTTCATAATGTGGTACAAACAAAACAGTGGCAAACAAGGCAAAGCCGACTGTGTTACTAATGTTCCCGCCACATTTTGACGTCTCTTAGTGAACTGTTCCTGTACAGACCCGCGGCAATATGGAATCTATTGGTTTTACATAACAGAAAGCAAACTGTTGAAAATGGTGAGGTCATCTATGTGTCTGTCCTCCTGCATGTCGAATTCAGCTTATCATAAGAAAGCCGTTGCCTATCGACCATTAAGACGGTCAGACGCATGCATCTATTTAAGCCAGCAAAAAGTTTGTTCAAAGTGACCATGGCTGAAGCAGTATTACGTAAAAATATGTCGAAGCCTTATAGATTTCCTACAATAAAAAGGTCACAAAGACATTTGGCCGAAGTCGATTGCGGCATCAAGAGAAAATAGCCACAGCATCAGGAATTTCTTACTAAGACTGTAAGTTAGGCTTTCAAACCAGTGTAACAATAGTTATTAATAAATATCGATAAAAATTGGAATCAAAACATGAGCGAGGACTGAACATATTTGATGCCTTGATACACAATGGGGGAACCAAGTTCTTCAACTTCGTGACATTGATTCGTTTCCCTAAAAAAAATAAAAACTTCTAACATTAGGAAAAAAATGATCGATTTTCAGAAAAACAGTTCCACTTAGAGATAGAGACTCGGATTAAATACCGAGGAAATGATAATATTCAGCCCTGGCAAGGAGAAACAAATGTAAACGAACACCTGATTCCACCTCGTACCAAATATCCTTCTAAGTGGAATTCTCTATACGGTAACGAGTGCATACAGACGCACAAGGGCCACACACCAGCAAATTTAAATTGAAAGTTTAATTAAACTCGTCATTCCATGAATTGTTTCGATGATCGCTTCTTCATAACATGATCACGAAAGTTTGATATTTTTTCAAATTACCTTCACACCCTTACATTTATAAGTAAGCGGATTTTAGAATTTTAGTGCTGTGTTTTGAGACAAATTTAGATTATTCACAGAATTCGATTAGGACTTGTGTCGTAACACACGTGTCCAGTTTCTCTCCACTCCTTTGCAAACAGATTTCAACTCAACAGTAATGAAGGGAACACCTTAGTATTTTTTACCTCTTTCCCCAACTATCCAGGGCTTCTACTTGCAAGGACGAAATTTGTTTCCGATAGGTTAGCAAGTAACTATATGCCTTTTCTCTTAGTAGGGTAACAACATAAAGATAAAAATTATCATGATTTTATGTTGACAATTAGTAGGCGACACTACAATTCTATTGTATTGCCTATTTCAGGTGCGGAGGGGTGCAGTTCGGGTGGCTTACGCTTGCTCTAAGCTTGGTTTGTCTGACATGGCTGAAGAATATCTCAAAGAGGTAGAACTTGGTTTTCCCATGGGCCAAGAAATTAGGTCCCACCCCGAATTTGCCGCACTTCTCCGGAAGAAAACCGAAATTACTTTAGATAGCTTCGAATTCAACTGGCCTTTGAACGAGGTGAGCGTCCAAGAAATACTTTCACGGGCAAACAAGGATTTACTCCAAGCAGAAGAAATTTTGAGCTATCCATTTCGATTTAAACAACAAATCGCATTAACAAAGAAGGAAAAAGCGCGATTAAGCATACTAATGGGAAACTACGGCAACGCGTATAACGACATTCGTTCAGCTCTAAACATTCTCCCGCGGTATTGCGATTATTTGAAGGCAGATTTTTCGTTGATAAGGAGTGATGCTGAAAGAGGCCTAAATCTGGTTAATAGATCAAAGGTGTCTTTGGAAACAGCTGAAAATATTTATCGAAATATTTTTGGTGACGACCATCCAATGGTTGCAGTCACTTTGCAAAAGCAGTGTTCTCTACATTTGGATTTCGAGCACAAAAGTAACACTGGCATGAACGAAACCCATAAATATTTTGAAGCAAGTCACAAAGCTTGTGAAGTCCTTAAAAGTAACTTGGAGCAGCAGCTTGCCGGTATCCAAAGAGATTTTCTCAAAAACTACAGTTTTGAGCGACACCCTATTCTTAAACGACAGAAGTCGCTTCATAAAAGGTTAACGCGCAATCAAGGTGCTTGGTGAGCTGAGTAAAGACACTCCACCAAAGAAAAGGAAGACAAGAACATTTCAACAACAGTTCACAGCAGTTTATAGAGCCTGAAAACGATTCCCTTTCTATTCACCAATTATTGATGTAACGATAGTTCTGCTCTTTCATTTATTTCATTAATGAAACGACCATTAGGGTCACTTTCTCATGTCATGGCTGCCTCACATTACGCTTTTATGTCCAGTGGTAAAGATGAACCCAACTTGCAATTTATCATAGATTTCATTCCAATAGAATATACTCTTTTTGAACACTTATAAAGTGAGAAATCACGATAATCGTGAATTCTTGTGAGTGGTGGAAAAGAGGTGGGAAGGGTGGGGATAAGAAAGTCTCCTGGTTATGAGGAATAAACATTATGTAAAATCACACGTCGTTTCTCTACTCCCATGAACAGCCAATCGTTACTAACCACTTTAACTTACGATCTTCATCACTGTGTACTACTATTGATGGACGGTTTCATCTAGAAACGTCTTTAAAGTACAAAATTAAAATATTTTGTCTTCTGTAATATATTTTTAACTGCTCTCTGACTAGTTGCTGTAAGTTAACTGGTTATGTCAACAACTACTTAATTTTACTTAATTATACTTTTTGACCCTTCTAGGAGTTTTTAGACTTTCCAGGGTTTCTAGTTAGACTAGTGTTATCCTTGAATCGAGATAAGTCACGAGGTATAGCTTTTTATGTAAAAAAAAGTGTGAAGAGTATCTTTGCGGAAACGAATCTATTTTGATATTCGTTTTTAAGTTGCATGCTTATGGAACAAGTTATTGTTATTAATTAGGAAAAGTGAATCCGTTCCTCATTTAATCCTTTCACTCCCAAGATCTCATTTGAAATTCTTGCTACTGTCTGCCATGCAATTCTTTCGATGTTCCTTCAGAGAATTTGGTATTGGTTCAACTTATAATCCCCTAATTGTAATTTTGGTCTATTCTCATTACTTGTCTCCTTGATATTGTATCAATATTGTAAGGAGAGATTCTGTCTTGGTCACTCATGGAAGTGAATTTGTCATAACTTACACTAGATTAGAAATTCAAGTAATGCAATGAGGGTACTAGCCCTTTACTAGTGTTAAAAATTTCCACGTGCAGTGGCTACTGGAGAAGAATTAGTCTTTAACCCTTTACCCCCCTAGGGAAGATAGTAAGTACAGATATCCTCTTCCCTAAGGGCAACTAGCTTAAAAGTAAGTGATCTTGGGGGCCCTCCGAAAAAGTTTTCTACAGCAATAACTAAGCTCTACAGAAGCACACAATGGAGACAAAAGTTGTAAGAGAATCAATGAATTCTTTAATTCTTGGTCCCTCCCAGGCCAACCTATTGTACAAATCTCATGACATCTGTCCTAGTTTCATCAATCAATTTTTCAAGCTTCAAGCTTTTCCTGCAATTATGTACTTGTTCTTAAAGCTGGAAATTAACAATGTTCCTGTAAATTAAGTTTACATAACAACCTTCCAATTTGTGAAAATCACACAAATCCCAAGCTTTATCCAGGGTTATGCTGTAAATAAAATACACTTTTAAAGCAAATTGGGATTTTGCCCTAGTTCTTTTTATTTTTTTGTTACTTTTTAAATACATTTGTATAAATAATGTTCCCCCAACTCTCCCCAAAACTTTTAGAACGGACGCAAACTCTTAAGAATGATCAAGCTTTACCTGATTATTAAAAATTTTTACATCTTGGATTACAAAGTTATCACAGAGGTTTTTTGGGTACTTTGACCTGTTAACACCTAAAAGGAAGTGCACATACATAACACACACAATCAGCCAGGTCAAAATGTTCTGTGGCCGGCAATCTAGTCACCTACAATGAAATAGCTGCCAACTTCACACATGTCAGACTTCTGTTCAGGAAAAGATTTGGCCTCTGCTGCTTATTACTATTGCTAGCTTGCCTGCCACTCAAAATTTCGACTGAAATTATACTTACATACATGTGGGATTAGGTTACATGAGCAGACCTGCACTATTGAAAGAGATCAATGAATTATAACTCAATGAAACATTGACAAATAAAATAAATGAACAGAAATGACAAAAATTAAACTAACAGCAGACAGTACTGTTTCAGCCTTCTGGGCCTGGTCAGTGCAGTGATCTTCAATTAAGTGCTTAATTTGGACATAAAACCAAAACTTGGTATAGTGAAATATTATTAGTTTTCTTTGAATATTCTTATTCCAGCTGATGTATATTATTTGAATCAAAGTCTTATTAGCATGTTAAAATCACCTAGGGACAAGGCATACACTTGCCAAAATTGCTTTGCATCAAGTACATCATTACCATCTTCAGGTATTTCTAATTTACTTGTGAAAATCACACAAATCATAAGCTATATATGGCATACAATCAGCAGCAAATTATTAGAAAGGAATGCAGTAATCTTTAATGATAAGATTACTTAGTAGCTAAATAACAAATAGCCCAGTCAAAATGTGCTGGTAGCCAGGGATTTGGCCGTCTACAACAAAATATCTGTTAGGCTTCTAGTCTGGAAGAGGCTTGGCCTCTAACTCCTATTACTATAGCCAGCTTGCCTACTTATCAAAAACATTTTGACTGGGCTGAAAAAATGTTTCAGAGAAAAATGGTCATAACAAGCCAACTTACGGCAAAATAAGAAACATAAAAGTAACACTTCAAACTGATACAGAATATAAGCCTTGCAGGGTTTGGCTCTCAATAACATTTGTTAAACTAGCCAATGTTGAGTTTAACTGCTCATTAAAAATGGGCTGACAGCCTGCAATTTGGCTGCTTACAATGAAGTAACTTCCACTGACTTCACACCTTTCAGACTGCTTTTCAGGAAGAGGTTTGGCCTCTGCTGCCTATAATTACTACAGCCAGCTTGTCTACCACTAAAAAACATTTTGACTGGTCTGTGCAAGTGTTACTAGCATATAAAAAGCACCTTCAGGTAGATTAGAGCAAAGCACACTTTGTACCAAAATGTTTTGCATTAAGTTCATCTTAACCCTTTTCAGGTATTTCTAGTTTACTTGTGAAAATCCCTCAAATCACAAGCTATATTACATCATACATTCAAGTTCAGGTAGGCAAACCTTCTAAATTAGTTGTGAAAATTTCTTAAACCAGTCATTTTATGAATGTTTGACTCAATTTTACCTCACTAACTTAAACTGAATAAAGAGAAACTTGAAATTTATTTCTTCTCCTTTTGAGGTGTGCATCAAAATTTTGAAGTCGTGGCAGGCTTGAACTATAGGTTTACAAGAAATCTGCATGCATGTGTGTTTTCAACATATAATACAGGGATTATGACTACTTCTAATGACTTTACTATTGAGGTTATCATCTTTCCACAAGCTCAGTGGAAAGTGAGTGAGTGGGACTGATAGTGACTGTGTTATATGAGTAAATATCCAGAGAAGGATAAAAGGCAAGATATGGTCTTCACAACTTTCTTATTTTAGTTTTATAACCTATTAAGCTTACTCATTTATATTCTTGCTGTGTGCATTATGAGGATGCCAATTAGTTTAACTTTCATGCAGGTCAGAGTAAAAACATGAATTAAAATAGCAGAGCTAATTTCAGTCCTAATTAAAGAGGAGTCTTGCTTTTCCAGTTTCCCACCCTTTAAAACTCTCATATCTTGTGACCAATTCCCTATATCAATGTTTAGTTTGGGTATGAGCATTGGAAAGAAACCTTATGCAATAATAAAAGCTTGAGCAAAAGTATTTAATGCCATTCAAATAATAATATTACATGATACAATGAGGCAACTTTCACAGCAAAACTTATATGATCACACAATTCCAAACAAAGGAAGTCAGGTTATTGACTCACCTGCTTCAACATTTAAGAGCTTGAGGTACAAAGAAATAGACATGGTAAACAGTTACAATTAATACAAAGTTGAAAGTTTGAAAGCTTAGAGATATACATTACAATCATCAAATCCTATGTATCCTGGCAAAGAAGGGTCAGTTACCACCATAACTTCTCCCAAACATTCATGCTTACAAGAAATCATTAATTTTTGTCACTAGGTGGTTCTGAACTTATCATAGTTCTACTGATACAAATGCATTTTCCTAAAGTTATCTCATAGCTTATGACTGTACAGGTCATGTGGATGGTTCCTGTTTGGGAACTGACATTTCAATTACCTCAGCAAACTGTAATCATCAGAATTGCAAGCCAAGGTGTATCTACTGTGTGCTCAAGTTTCCAAAGTAGTCACCTAGTTGTTACAGTCGGAATCCGGTCGTTTGGATACAAAGTAGTTTCGATACAAGTCGAAGTCGTTTCATCACACATGTAACGTCGATTCGATACAAACTCACGTTATATGAAGTCGTTTCAAATTACGGCGCCTGATATGTTTACAAACCTCTGTTTGGTTCTTCTGTTGCTACTTGCCGGCTCGCTTGTTCCGAAATTTCACTTTCAATTATCGGAAAAAAGCTAAAAAGAAGTCCCGGAAGAGGTCGAACATAGTACAATTTGGCAGATGGCGTGACAGCTTTAGCTCAGTTCTATGCTCTATACTCTCATAGAGCACGCTCTTTCAACCAATGACAGCGCGCGTTATATCCGATCTTTATTATAATTAACAAATAGAGAAGCCTTGACTGTGCTCTGTTCTGTTATAAAGCACGCAGGAAGCGGCTAGAGCACGAAAGAAGTGTAGGGAGAAACACGAGACGTAGTCGAGTGTTTCTCCCCACTTCTTGAGTGCTCTAGCCGCTTCCTAAGTGCTTCATAACAGAACGGAGCACAATCAAGGCTTCTCTATTTGTTTTATAATAAAGAATCCGTCAAATTCTCGAAGCATTACATTCAATTTTCAAAACAAACTTTATTTCCAAAGCGAACAACAATGTCGTCAGCATGCTCTATACTCTCATAGAGCACGCCACAATAAGCCAATCAGAATCCCTGTTAGAATGGTTCAAATAATCTGATTGGCTCTACA